AATTAGTCGATATCATGCACATTTGTCTCATATATCAGTTATAATACCGCCCAAAACTCATTAAAAATTTCGATGTTTGATTTTTTTGTTGACAAGCCATTATATACAAAGAGGCTTACTGATGTTGATCCAACTGCATTGGCTAATTTAGGGCTATGCCTCGACAGTATGCAAAACCGTACCATTAAAAAGCTTTTAAACAGCTATAGGTCGATAACGTATATACGACACAGGTTATTTGTGCTGCACTTGAATTACACCTGTTGTCGGAAACTTTCGCTTTAAGAAATTAAAATAAGCAGCGTCTGACAACGCATTCACTCTGGATTAGCAGAGCTTGTACAATGTACACGTCAAATTTCGCTCGCATGAAATCCAATTTGAAGGCTTAAAGTCTTTAATGAGTTTAATCATCTTATATTATTATCTTCTACAATGCATAAAAGATCTCACCGCGGGTATAGCTACAGTTTTAATCCAATATGGCCTCATCTTTCATGTTTTTTTCCTAATTTAAACGTAGTGTGCGTATATATATATATATATATATATATATATATATATATATATATATATATATATATATATATATATATATATATATATTATATATATATATAATATATATATTATATATATACATATATATATATATATATGTATATATATATATATATATATATATATATATATATATATATATATTGACATTCGACTAGTACTTTCTAAGCGAATCTATTAATCTAATAATCCTGTCCGATACATAAAAGACCTCGCCGTATACAACAGTTTTAATCCTTGGCAATGGCCTCATCTTTCATGTTTTTTTCCCATTTTAATTCTAGTGGGCGTAAATACGGTTTGTAAACATACTACAGTACTTTCTAAACGAATCTGTTTTTCACTAGTCGCGAATCCGATGAAGGCTATATATGAATTCGTAAATGGATAGAGTAAACGCTCTTGTACCGTTACGATTTGACGACAGAACAAATTAAAAACAGATGTATATATTTATTTATAAGCTTACGTTGTATTTCGTTAGACCAGGTAAATTTATATAGAACACGATAAACCATCAATATGAATATCTGTTCTGCAGAATATCGCCAACAGAAAGCTAGTTAAACAGTAAATTTACGAAATGACGCGGTTGTGTTTAGTTTTCATGCAAATTATTTAAACGCGACAAAATTTGCATGCATGCATACATGAGGTCAGAAAATATGCCGTTATATTTTGTCGAAATATATATACCGCCATAAAGGATTTTGAAAACTGTAAATTTTCACTCTGTTTTATATCTCAAGCCGTGAGTATATATGATCACGCAAATTCTTACTCATAAAAATAATTGCGATGTGAAAAACTGACAGATGTTTCAATCAATAAGCATATACTGATATAGCTATATATATAATATATAGCAGCTTAATAATAAAGATCCGTATGTTTCAAATAACTTAAACTATGATCAACTGACCTGAAATTGAGCAAGTTTAAACCCAGAGGAATGAATTTGAGAAATAAAATACGATGGACCAACACGCTTGTCTTCAAAACGCACTTTAATATGCTTTTTAACTTTAGTTCATGCATTCGATGCAAAGTTTACGCTCGCTCATTCCAAAGTAAACACTGTCAAAATTGCGGAAAGATTCTGGTAATTAAAGTCGATTTAATCAAAGCCCCCAAAGTCAGGATTTTCTGCCCACTCGTTCTTATGTCATTATACTCATATATGAAACTGACAGTTTATACTTTATACATATAAGGCAGTGATACAGGTCTTTATATAATAGAGACTGTTAATCTAAATAATCGACAATTTACACAAAGCCTATAATAGTGGGATTATATTGGCTCTATAGGCTTAACCTAATAAAGAAATAACGATTTTAGAATTAATTACAACTGTAACGTTCTGAGACTGTTTTTGCTGACAAATGCGCATGCGCATAAAGAAGATGAATATTAATGTCGATTCGTTCAGTTAAAGAGAAGCGGCAAATTTGAAAATCGTTTCGTACTGGGAAGTTGACGGTTATATACACCTAATAATTGAAATAGATAATACATAGTTTCATGAAGTACTTAAAAGCTTAAAAAAGCTTAATGCGAATATAGCTAATTAAACAAACAACAAAATCTTTGAACCAAACAAAAAAACACAAACAATTAGTTGAATAACAAAACAAAGAAACAAAAAATGATAAAAAAACAAAATCATCGGTTTTAGAGTATTGTCTTCTGACCAGCTTTTACTAAAGCAATCGGATTACTCGCAATTGCATGGATAATTAGCTCACGTCATAGAAATCTTAAGCTCGAGTCGGATCGTAATCTAATTTTTAAAGGTAAATAGCAACACGATGCGAAGAAACAATGTTTCCTGTAAAGTGGAGGTAAAAGTTGAATCATAGGCGTACGAGACAAGGGACAGGGGGCAAAAGTTATAATTCGGGCACATTGTATAATTAAAAAATTCGGGCGATTTTTTTTGCCCCAACCCCCCCCCCCAAACGAAACTGCGCCCGTACGCCTATGAGTTGAATATAGATAATTATAATCTATTACTAAACTGTGCACAGAATTTCACCACAAATAAAAAATGTTGATGAGATATCCAGAGACATCTGACACACTTAGTTACTTTAATATCTTGTTATTTTTATATCGGAGTTTTATCACCAGCGATGGCTTTGCGCAAAGCGACATGTTACATTTTCAGACCTCTCGATGTACCAATTTACGATTTACAATTTCGTGTGAGAAATATCGATAGTGGAAAAGCGGCCTTAATTAAATTAATAGAATTTTCTTGACCCAGCGATTGCGGCAAATCTCAAACGACTTTTTTATCAGTCGATTTATCAACCCCATCATTTAATATATTGAAATGTACAGAGGAAATATATTGCACGCAAATTACGATATACACGAAAAAATAATTTAATCGACGTATAAAAATTTCATGAAAAGAAAATTGAGAGAAACTTCGTTCGTAGAATTCCACCTGGTGAAAATAATGTCCTCTGTTGGATTTTGAAACTATATACAGCTGCTGCGGTTACGTAGGCATCTCGAGAAATTAGTTTATACTGAGAAGAATTGGGTTTTCTTGACAAATATACTGTCCAGACAGCCTTTTACAAAGTGCCCCAACAACCTTCCCCTGTAGATGTACTTTATTAATGTTAATCAACCCTCTGTATGCATTCCGGTTTTATCAGTAAAAATATTTTATGCTAATATAGTTGCGCTTTTAAAGATTCGTTATTCGACGTGATGTCACGCCGATGATATTTGCATATGCAACAAAGATGCCTTTCTTGCGAAAGTAGCAAGTTAGCAAAATTCTATGAAAGACTTAGTTCAGCAGTTTCGAGTAATCATGCAATGAAAACATGAAATTAACCATCAACAACATTTGAATGTTTGCATGGGATTTTGTACGATATACGGATCTCAAACAATATCCATTATGTATATAGTTACAGTAACTGCCCAGACAATTTAATCCCTTTATAAACAGCTATATATACTTGCTACTTGCTAATGACAAATTGAAGGAGAAATTTTAGAGTTAATTTTGTTTCAATGATTAGATAACAAAATGTTATAATTTTTATCCATTGTGGCTTGCAACAGCGAAATTCGTCTGAAGATGTTGGACAAGTACTATAGACATTAAAAAGCCTACGTCAATATTTGGTACTGTAATTCGTTTGAGAAAGAAAAAAATACAGTCGAAAATTAGTCAGGAAGACACTGAGTTTATCATAGTCTGAATGTTTAAATGAATGGAAAATTTACTTCGTATGAATATAATTAATAAAACATCAATCAAATTATCGACAAATTTCATCAACGATTAAATATATTTTATAATATTCCAAGATATTATATTGTTATGTTTATAGACTCCTAATATACGAATATACATACAATAATAAAAGTCGTAAACACAGACATAGCCTGAGAGTTTGTATCGGACTTTGGCTGAATGATGAATGCATGGCAACAAAGAAAGTGTCTTGTCTAGAAAACAAATACGAAATAGTTTCGTTTTGTTTTAATTTTTTCTTGTTTCAGTGTCTACCGAAAGCGAATTTCCACCCGACAATAAATCTTCTGTCGTTACCCGGAACGCTAAAACTTCACGCTGTTTGGCGATGGCTCGGTGCTTGAGACATTATAGACATAAATACTTTATAGCAGGCTTTAAAACGTCAGCAATAAAGTTTAATTTACGTCAGTCAATTAAATACAGTAAAGTTAATGAAATTACTCAAATTAATTATTCTACATAATGTATGACAATGCTATACATTACAATTTGTAGCACTACTAAATATACTCAGCGCTAAAGTAAATTTCCTGTCACTTCAAATAAGAGCACAATATACATAATGTGTTATATTGGTTGTAATTGTATTTTTAGCGCAGTTAAACACAACGAATATGTTGCAATTCAGTTAAATTGTGTAAAATATTGACTGATATCGTCCGGCAGTTAACCGACTTATACGAAGGGCTGTAATTGCCACTAAAATGCATCCATTTATGCCCGATTGTAATTACCTCACTCCGTTACAATACACAGCGTTATATGAAACAGTTTGTGTAATTTATTTCAAATGATATATTTAAAAATATCCAGTTAAAAAAAGTATAAATATGAACGCATTCTAATTTATAGACAAGTCAAAATTCGCTACGGTGCATTTATTCAGTATCAACAACACCGTTACAGGTCTTCGCGCAGGTTTTTAGATGTCGGCACACACACAATCAATGCAGCGTACATACACAAACATAGATTTAAGGCAAAGGCTACCGACACACTGATATCAAGTCATTCGGCGAAAATTATAGCCGGGTAAACGGCCACCGGCAACTAGCTTTTATAATTTCAAGAGACAGCATTCAAATGCAAAACATGTCATAGAATATCTGTCGAATATGTGAGTGAAATTAGGCACGTATATCTTACTTACGATTCGTGACGGCTTTAAGCTCTCGGCCAGTTTCCAAGGTAAATTTGAAGTTATATATTTTAATCGTTGATTGTGTTGTGCGAGGCTAACACAGCTTTGCTGTGTGGCTCAAGCTGGCGTAAAAGTTTTGTCATTGTGTTCAAAAGTATTTGCATGTCAAATTGTCGTGTTTGTTTGTTATATATGATTGGTTCTTATGCGGCAATGGTATTTGCATAATCATGCATACCTGCAGTTTTCGCCTTTGGCACTTTTCGAGGGGCTAGTATACGCGCAAGGCTTGAGGTCACGTGAACAAATGGAAGAGGAGGACTCCATATCACAAGGATGACACTCATGCTGGAAGCATGTACACGTTCAAAGCATGTTCGTTTGCATGAACGAAGCATGTTCGTTGAAATAAATTACTGTAAAAGCAGGAGATCTTGTCTTAGGTAATTACTCATAAATTTAAACGGTGGTTTAAATAATTTGTTGTTTAAAGTTAAATTAAGACAGTAATTAGCCTCTAGGGCGGAGTTATGCACACGGTATAATAGATAACGAACATCTTTAAAACCGAATCGATTTCAACATCGAGTCTAAACTCTATCATTCTAATGCCGTTTCAGACGAAAGCTCAAGGACAAAAGGCGGTATTTGCAAATATTTAACAGGTTGGAAGCCAGCTTAAAAAATCTTCCTCTTCTGCGCAGGTCATTACCCACGACCCTCGACACACTTTCTTCGATGCTCGAATGCTGCGCGTCGCTTACTGTGCAAACTATTCAAGAAAACGTTTCGAGCCGCGAGAAGCCATGCCCTCCGCAGAGATCTTAAATACTCTTGTGTTGTGTATATTCTTGTGTGATGGTCGCTAGGAGAAACACAATGCAATGAACTTAGCTCCTGCTGGTAATGGACACGGTACACGCCATGACGCCAGAGGGCGACGCACGACATATGCAAAGTCGTTGGGCTTATTTGCCTGAAGCTGAAATATTAAGTAGTCTGCGATAGCAGACTGATCTCTGCCTCCCTCCAAGGAGGAAAATGTTTGGAAAATGCAGATACTGCTATAGACAAGGCCGGAAAACTTTCAGTTTCTAAAAGTCATACTTTCGAGACAGAGAAAGGTTCTGTGTCGCAGAGGAGCATCGATAGAGTACAGACGGAAAGTACACCTGGAACGACAGTGAAAACCTCTTTTGAGGGAAACGATGCCGTAAATTGTACTTTGAAGACAAACTGAAAACGATGAATATAAATGGAGAGAGAATACATGTTTCTCCATCTCCTCCACGGGGGGAGGCAGAGATCAGTCTGCTATCAAAATATTAAGTTGAAGCTGAAGTTTTAAGTTGAAATATTTAACCTAAGATGTCGGCCTAATATCAACTGACGTTATTGAAGTTTTGTGTCATATTTTTTCAAAATGTACACGTTAGGCGCACGCCATCGTTGCTGGAAAAGTGGCTGCCTAATGAATCTTATCATTTCTATTATTTTAGTAATAATTTGATGACTTTTGATATAAATTTATTGTCAAATGACTTTTCAACTCCACAAATGCCAAGATATTAGAGATATAGGTCAGAGGGCATGACAGCAATGACGAGACTAAAGAATGACGAATATCACGCATTCAACAGCTTGCCATAGAAGGCAATTAGTATTAAATATTAAATATTTATTAATTATTAAAATATTAATTAATTATTAAACTAATAATTAAATATTAGTTTCGATTTGTAATCGGCTCTGAAGGCATCTCACAATGACGTTTTTGAGGTACTTTAAATTTTCTCAAACGGGTTTAAAAAGTTATAATAACATGGAAAGCAATTTTTTTAGAATCAACAAAGCATTTGAAGAATAACTCCAGCCTAAAATTAAAGAATGTGGCCGTTATAAGGTCTCACGCTTGTGGTTTTGAAAAAAAGTACCCCAAAAATGGCGGCATATTCGTATGAAGGCATTTTTCTGTCCTTCATTTGCGAAGGCAAAATGAGTATGTCTCTTTTCAAAAGGTGGATCACGGGAAACCTGCTTTTCAGCGATTAACGATTATTTTTTATTGACAATTTGGCTTTTACAGACAATTAAACTGATGGTAGTTGACAAAGAAATTACAAATAAATTTTTAGATGATGCATGTTACATAATCTATCTGAAGTAATTATTTCATATTTAGCTACATTTGAAATTTTGCATCAGAAGCAAGGCATTTGATCTGGGATGAACAAAAAAAAATCAAAACCACAGCTATGTATAGAAGTTATAATATATCATTGCAATTTGGATTGTTTATGGTCTATTAAATTTGTAAATCAAATTTTGTATTAGTTTCAGTTTGTAATCAGCTCTGAAGCCGCCTATGTATTAATTACAATACAATTATCTTTCCACACGACGGCCCCAGCCCCCAGGCAGTGAAACGAACATTTGTCTAGATCACAATGGCTGTAGCCTGAAATCTGGCTTCATTCATGTCGGGAAGTCGCTCCCACGAGAAGCTTTCAAAATTGAAGGCTTCGACAGACTTCAATTGCAATTTCTTATACCTTCCTCCGAGAACCACGATTGTTTTTTCAATAAGAACTGCCATGCATCCTCTTCTTTCCTGTAACATGGGAGGTAGGTAACTTGTAACTGTATCCTGTCTTCACGTTATACATAATAACCTTGCTCATTGCACCACCATTCTTTTCTGCTCCACCAACAATCACGACGTTTTCCCCGCATTTGACTGTCGCCATTTCACTGACCGGATACGGGAGTTCCGGTAACTCCTGACACGTCTTTTTCTCGATGTCATAGCTCAACACACTGCTGACGTTGTCCTTCCAGCTGGCCATTTCCGTCCTCCAAAGATCAAAATTCTATCGTCACACAGTACCGTGCTGTGAAAGGCTCTTGGCTCTGGCATCGTAGACACAAGATTGACGCTGTGAGATGGCTCCAGTTCCATTTGGTACATGCAGTCGGAGACGTCGTCTTGTTTTTCATCGTAACCTCCAGCGATAAACAAACTATCGTTGTACACCACACTACTGTGGGCGAACATCTTCGTAGGGAGTTTGGCGGCGAGGTAACCCCAGTTAATTGAGAGATCAGGGATGCGATGGATATCCATGCTTATCATGTTATCCATTGCCCCGTCATCACACAAACCACCAACAATGGTCGCTTGATCATTGTAGACAAATGACGATGCGCTGTCGTGATCCTCTGTCATGGGCTTCAAGAAAGACCACAATCTTTGACGGTAATTAAACTTCTCCACCGAGTTCCTTCCAACTCCACCAGCAACCAGTATGTGTCGTTCTTCATGCCTACCACTTGCTGTTCCATTTTCATCACCTTGCGAGCTTTTTCTCTTCAAATTCTCAAGCACGGTTTCTTTCAAGTTATCAAATCCTTCTTTCATTTCGTCTAATCTCGTTTTCATTTCTTTCATGTCGTTATCCACTTTTCCTAACTTCGTTTCCACGTCCTCTTGAAAGGTTTCTAGTTTCGAGATTATCATCGTCACTTTCGCGTGCACGATTTTTAGAGTCGTGTCCACGCTCTCTACTCTCGTGTCCGTCCGTAACATTTTCGTCCTAGCATCGGTCACTTCCGCGTTCGTCTCGGCCAACTGCGTGCTGGTATTTGCCATTTTCGTGTCGAGTTTGACTATTTTCGTTTCCATGTCCGCTATCATCCTGGTAAGTTCCTTGCAATTTAGCAATTTCAACTCCCTGAATTTGCAAAGAACGTTTTCGTGATATTTACGATCTCCTTCGTTGATTACCTCGACACAACCTTCATTTCTACAAACGACCGGCGCGAAGCCACATTCCACGACATGTTCGTCTAAATTTTGCATCAAAACTGGTTCCCGACAGCCCCTGTCATAATACTCACAGCGAATTCCGAGATCATTCAGGTAATCCTTTACAATTCTTGGAGCGTCGTTTAACGTTTCGGCTGTCAATTCATCAGCGCAGGTTGGACAAGTATGAGAATTCATACGAAGGTGTTCCGTAATACAACCGCGGCAGAAATAATGTTGATTGTTACGGCACATCACAGGATCTTTCAAAACGTTGTAACATATCAAGCAATGGAAATTTTGGTTCACATTCGTCACAAATCTATTGTCATCGTACCCTGGTGAATAGTTTGACGCCATCGTTGCAGTATGTCGCAATTATTGTGTAAATTTTGTTCGAATTTCGATCGATTTCATGTCAAAACCTTGTCGTGCGAACAGCCACCCAGGGTACTGTAATGTTGCTATTGAGTGGATTATGCTTTCGTCTGTAACAGTTTTGACCTTAGAGCTGTTTTATAAAATTGATGTGAATTACTTCCTTTTCAGACTTCGTCGTATTATCGAGAGCTTTCCAGGAAGGGAAACGTTGCGAAATGTTATTTGTTTGGAAATACGATACCATAGAATAATAAAGAAAGGCCTGTCTGCATGGGTGACCGACACAGGGAGTAATATATTAATTCGTATCGGTCTTTGCCCTTTAGTGGCATTGCAATAGTCAGACCACTTGTGCCACAAAAATTAACTGACTTTGAGAAAGGTTGAAAGCAAAACATTAGGAAAAAAGAAAAGTTCCTTACAATTTAAGATCTGGCGAACGCATTCTTCAATGAATGTTCCTATATTCTCCGATTCGTCGACGTTGCAGCGCAGGTCATACGACCGAATCAACGAGTGCGAGTGAGTTTGCGATCCTTCACATCGAGTTCATAGCAAAAATCTGCTGTGCATATAAATCTCTATACACATATAATAAAATATTGTATACGTTTATCATAATATAAACAAGATCAAGTTTTTTGACACGCAATATTGCCATTACCATCATGAAGACTGCCTAAGAGATCACTGCCACTGGGGGATGATAAAGTGTATTCACTCGCTGCATTTTAATAGAGTGTATTTACCAATTGTTAATTCGAAATCTTCTGAAAGAGAGTGGAATAAACACCATCTATTCAGTTATCAATCTATGACATTGAATAAAGCATATAGAACTAGTGTTGCTGCCATAGCAACATGTAGCAATTCAAATATTAGTATAAAGGACTAGGTTTTTTATCTTTAGCTTCATATCCGACAACGTTTTTAACCGTAAGCCAACAAAATAAAATATATAAAAAAGCTACGCGTTAGAACGAAACATAATACTTTATTTTTATGTCCTGGTCCTCGTACTCATACCAAACCTGATACTCAGAGTTGCCCCATTCTCAATACTAGTAGAAATCTAAAGTACTGACCAGGTTAAACATAACTCGAAATCAATTATATAAAGCTAGACCAATTGACGAGGCATATAGTTCTAGTTCAATTACAACCAAGCGTAAGTGTAAGTAAATTTTCCACTCAAATTGCTTTCCCCATTTTCATTTAATACGCTATGATCTCTCTGACAGGCCGTAAATTCTATAAAAACCTTTGTTTTTCACTTAACTAGATATATGAATTAGAGCGTTGAATATGGGGTATCGTTAAAATTTGCTATAGACACGTTAGCTTGTTAAGGGAAAATTTTACCTATTATAAAAGTACACAAATTATATTAAGCCCCATTTACACTACGCACAATTTTTGGTACAGTATCTTCGCCGCAGCGTGGGCCGTGGAGCGAAGGTAAAAGACCCTGGGTACGAGGTTGTTTAAGTCATAACAATGTTCAGTTTTAAAAGAGTTGTTTTTGATAGTGCATTCCCTTGTATCCCTTCATGTATGGAAAGATCAATTTATATTACTTAAAATATACCACTAGCTGCTGCATGCATGAAAGAAGTGTTGTTCTATAAGCATATAAGCGACGTTTAATAATAATGTTGTGTTGAGAGTTGAGACCTGCATAGATGAGCCTTAATCTGCTGTGAAAATATCACACATGGCAAACACTGAGCGTAGATGCCACGAAATTTGAAGTAATCGGCTCAGTGAATATAGGCTTGTATAAATCACCGAGCCTGAGGCGACTAATTGTTTAAAATAATTTAATAAATAATGAACGGCCACAAACATCAAATTATATGCGCTGTATATTTAAATTTAGTTAAGATTGACATATATACCTTTCCATTTGGTTTCTCCTGGCGTGCGAATCACGCTTCTTTCGTGTGCCTTGGTCAACGTTCACAGAAATATTAAACCGCGGTACCTTGTATGATTCTTTTTCGGATCTGTGCCTTTATATTATGCGCGTTATTTCGCCTAATTTCTATCACTGATTGTCTCCTTTTCACATCCTTTACAACACTGCGATAATCTTTGCTAGCGATCGGCAAAGAACTTTTATTGTAAAAGACATTTCCAAAGCTTCGCTCCTTTCGAACTCTTTTCACTCCTTCGCATTGAAGGACAATCGTGAATATATAATTAGAGTGCAAAACCTACTTAGGGGACCCGGGGTACAGTGACAAGTCCACAAGGTACAGCGACACGTCTATTTTGTGCGATTTATGGCAGGCATCTGAAGCAATTTTTTTTCCCACTCCCCACACAGCTAACCCAAGCCAAATATAAATGCCTAGTATAAATACATAAGAGATGCCTGCGGTGGAGGCTAGACATGCATACTGAAGAGCAATTTTCCGGTGAAAAGAATGTTGGGCGAATGGAAGTAGAGAACGACAAAGGAGGACATTTTTGAAAAATACGTATTTCAGTATATATATGCTGGGAATCAATGTCCCTCAGTCCGTCTATCATATAGCCAAGTTAAAAATGGTGTGAAAAGTATTCTATAAACTTTTAAAGACAGTTGAAAAACGATTTCTACGATGAAGACCTCACAGACTGAGGGGGTCATACACAGGTTGTGTTGAATTAGATAAGTTCGGATATGAATGTCAGATGAACTATATTGTTCAGGCGGGGTATGCACGAACAATTAAACGCAGGGTTTTTTTTAAGAAAAATTTAGAACTGCACATCTTGCATTTGCAGATTAAATTTGTAGATTCAGTGTTATAAATCATTCATGGGAGGGAATATTTTTGGAAGTTTCGAAAACCGAAGAGAATTTTGTAGGTTAAAAAGCAAAGAAAAAAATGAAAACATTTTCGTTATTGCCAAAATTTACTATAAAAACTGAAATAAATATTCTGGTATACTGCTTATGTTATTGAAGCTGTATGTAATCCATTTGTATTTAGATATTGAAAGGTCGCCAATATTTTTTTCAACTGCACAGTTTTTGTTTTAGAATTGCACAAATTGATTTAGAACTGCACATTTTGTGTAGAACTGCACGTTAAAAAAACCCCTGAATTTTTAAACAAGATCACTGGATTTATAGATCACCAGAGTCAAACCAAACAATGAAAATAAAAGGTGATACTATAGTGGTATATGGAATATATAAAACTAAAATTGTTTATTAAACTGGTATTGTAAACCGCACGTCTTTATTTCGGGTGTGCTTTGTAGGGTGTGCTTTTTAATGTCGAAGTGTCATTTTTGATATATTGTTTTGACATGCTGAAAAGCAATCTTCCTGATGTTTCCATGCATTAAAGCGTTAAATATGGGATATCGTTAAGATTTGCTATAGACACGTTAGCTTGTTAAGGGAGAATTTTACCTAAAAGTACAGAAATTATATTAAGCCCAATTTACACTACGCACAATTTTTGGTACAGTATCAAAAAAACGGTACGGGTTAAATTTTAAACCGCTAAATAATTTGCCAAATCTCACCCGTACCAAATTAATCCTTTTACATCATGTTCAATTCCAGTGTTAGTATGCATATAAAATTGAGAATGACCGACTGACTGACTGACTCGCTGGAGCGGCTGATTGACTGCATGACTGACAGAATGACGGATGTGAATTTTCGCCACTCCATGCAATTTCTTTGAAGAAACTTTGCATAAACAAATAAGACGAAGGATGATACGATATTGATGTCTTTAATTGTATGGTATTGTAAATCACATGGTTTCGTTTGCTGCTGCCAATCTGGGATAAGCTATATGCTCAAATTTTCTCAATCTGATCTATTTTAGGCATGCAATTATATCATGGATTGTGAGCGTGACTACGTTTCCTTTCGTCCAGATGAACTATGTTGTTCAGGCGGGGTATGCACGAACAATTAAACGACGTCACTGGATTTATAGATCACCAGAGTCAAACCAAGCAATGAAAATAAAAGGTGATACTATAGTGGTATATGGAGTAAATAAAACTAAATTTTTTATTAAACTGGTAAATCGCATGTCTTTGTTTTGGGGTGTGCTTCGTGGGGTGTGCTTTTTCATGTCGAAGCGTCCAGAACCTTTTCTGATATATTGTTTTGACATGCTGAAAAGCAATCTTCCTGATGTTTGTAAGAGTGGTGTTGCCAGACCTGATGGAGTGTATTCGCGCCGACGCCGGTTGGGAAATTTTAAAATTTCGACCTCTAGATCATCGGAAACAACATTTACAGATGCGACCATATTTGAACATTGAAATGATGCCTCTTACCTGCTGTAGAGTGTATATAATACCAATAAATCACTAATACTGTAGTATGTAAAGTAAAAAAGTAAAGTAAAGCACGGAGGTATCAACCGCACCCCCCCCCCCAAACGATTTTCTCCACGGATTTGAACAACTAAAAAAAGGGCCTGGTGGGAGTGGGGTAGACTTGTCTCGTGGTGACGCTACTGGATAGTCCCCTGGAGTGAACTACGACGACAAGGCGACGCATACAACGCGATAGTTGAACTTTATCATTCGTTTCACAATCTCTGACATTGGTGACGCGACTGTATTTGTTAATATGAAAAATAATCGCGACCGGAGCTAATTTATTGCGGCATATCTATTTTAAGTTCATTTTGCATACTATAAATTTACATGTGCCTGTGTGTGCAGGGTGTCTCAAAAAAAACGCAACCACTTAAATATGCAAGAACATTAATACAGCTCTAAATCGCAATAGATAAGCACCCCTTGGAATTGAAAATGGCTCTTAATCCTTCATTTGAAATGCTAAAAGTCATTTTAGCTGAACTATGGTGCAAACCCGAACAATATTAATATTCTTGCATATTTAAGTTGTTGCGTTTTTTCTTGAGACACCCTGTAGAGGTTTCTATAGAAGATATCTAGACGATTGTAACTTGTGAATATAAAATAAATTGCAGAAGAGACAATCTGGTGAAAATTGTTACTAAATTAAAATAGACTCGATATTAAATGAAATGGAATCAAGTGTATTTATTCTTATAGACAATTGACAAAACTGATAACATTTAAAACACATACAATCCACGTTTACTGCCCTATGATTCAATGACACACAAAAAGAAAATAAACTGTTGTGACCAACGACATCACAGACTTTATGCGAATAAAAATCATCACGAAAGATGATACGATAACGATATTCATGAATACCAATGTCCTCTTTGCTGCTAAACCAGGGGGGGAGGAGGCTTATGCTCATTTTTTTCCAAGGTCGGAAACGTCGATTGTCGTTTGACTACGTTTCCTTTCGTCCAAAGAAATCTGTCGCGACGAGTCGGAACGCGACATGCAATATTTTTGTTGTTTTCCAACAGATTGTCTGATGGCGTGAAAACGACGCATATTACGCGATAGTTCAACTTTTCCATTGGTTCAATCCCAACTTCAGTAACGCGAATGCACTTCTTATAACGAGTAATACTCGAGATTGGACCTAATCCATTTCATCCAAGCAATATATTGATATATTGTAGCCGACAATCTATGCCGGCATCAATTGTGGTTTGACAACGTTTCCTTTCGCCCAATGACGTCTGTCGTCATTGTTGAGAGACCCATTCTTCAACATGATGGAGATCTTCCGGTTGCAGGAATGTTAGGGGGTGTGGAAAACGACAGGGGAACACATAATACGCGATAACTGTTGATGAAGCCTGCATATTGCTTTGGAGCTGAAGACGTGAACATTTTGAAGGTATGTTGTTATCGTCCTTTATATTGAAGTTGTATCGCGTTATTCAACTTTACTACCATTTTTTCTAAAGTTGTTGTTGAGCGAAAGAGAACGCATTGGTCCAATTCCATCTCCGGGCATCATTACTAATATTTAGCTGTAAAATTTGAATTTGAACTATAGGCACAGCACAGAGTCGCTCGTTGTTCGGTCAGTAATGTCATTTATAGGAATCCAATGACATACACGCTTCAGTAAAGAGTTGTGTTTGGAGTGTCTGTACCATAGCCGGGTTTAGAATGGTGTGGTGTAAACTGATCGCGAATTTGTTTTTCTTCAACTTTAGAGAAATATTGAATTGAAGAAAGATTTCTACGATGAAGACCTTTGTTATTCTTATTCTGGCATTGACCGTTGCATTTGGTAGCTGCTCAAAAAGGATCAGAAAAGATCGTAAGTTGAATTGAACAAGTTTTCACTATAACTTCTAAATGTCAGAAAATGTACAATACAGTAAATTTCGGTCCTACCCACATAACGGTCCTACCTTTTGAGTCAGTTAAATTGTATATATAGTTGTTAGCAACCACGCATGTATCTTTGATCAAAATTTTCAAGAAAATGTCTCTGATAAGACTGTTCAATGCTCATTTTACGAGGATCTATAACAATCAAATTTAAAAATTTTCTTGCTTCTTAAAAGATTCCTGAGCGTATCCTGTCTCCCGGAGATTTGTATAGGTAATAGCATGATTAGCAGTTTTAAAAACTTCAAGGGATGCAAACTTAAATGTATACCTAAGCGATCCCGAATATTTTTTTTCCAATTTTATTCATTAGGGTTTTACCCCAAGCAAACAAAAGGGGTCGATTGGCTTATTCTGTTGTTTCATTGTTCTATTGTATTGTTAATTAAGCTATGATTTATGAATATATACAAAACCTTTTTCGTCGCTTTTCTTAACAAACTAAAATTCTCATTCCCCTTACTTTCGTGCACGATAACCCAAAAAGTGATAAAGCTAACTTGATGAAATTTTCATGGTTGACTTTAATAAAGACAATTGGTTCGGTGGTGAACTAAAAGTTTTGCATTTCGTTCATTCTAAGTAAAATAGCGACTTCAGACAGATCGTAGAAGTTTTATACAAAACGTTCTGTAAAACGTTTAATACTGGACAAGTTTTATTTATTCTAGTTCAGCTTCAAATAAATAAAACCGATTCCGTCGTTCTAGAGTTAAAACCTAGTTTGTTATCGTGTTTACAAAAATCGTCTATGACTATTTTCCACCATTGGGTGTGTCTGGTCTGGGTAACTGTAGTGATTGAAGATTCCTACAAGTCTTTTTTCACTCAGAGTAACTTGGTTTGCAATATGGCATGAACAGATTTTTATATTTTTCAAAATTAAAGAAAAAAAAATGGTATTGGACCACCTTAACTGCACTGAAATCAACCAATCACAGTCAAGTAATACAACCGGGATTTTGGCATTAAACTGAACGCTGTAGTTTCATCGATGAAATACTTTTATTATATATTATTAAAATGGTAACAACGGGATTTTGGCATTAAACTGAACACTGTAATTTCATCGGTTCATCGAATGGAGCAAAAATTTTGCCGAAATTGACAGCTCTATATAATTAATTCAAAAATATTTGTGGCTATGGCCATTCGTCGGAGGCACATAAGCATGCATGTTTCATTTCTTTTTATAGAGACAGCTTGCGATTGGCCTGATTGCGAATGTATTTACATAGACGATCCTTGTCCCGGAACTCACTATGATTGCTCAGAAACAAGATTCTGTGATATACCAGACGACAAACCATGCTGCAATTGAAGTGGGTTTTTGGGGTAGTTAAAAGTATCGCTGAAGTAGATGTAACGTTGCATACGAAATAAATGTTTCGGTGATATAATTTGTATTGCTGGTCTTTATATATTCATTGAATCGTAAAAAGAAACTTTCGGTGAAATTTGCTTCTAAAATGCAAAAGATGAATGGAAACAGATACATGTGTGCAAATTTTCGTCATGATTAATTCGACAATGAGACGCTGGTAAGGATGAGTCAGTTGAAGTTCTATGGAGAGAATTACAGGCACTCTTGGATTTATTCTTTGGAGTTTTGCCTTCTCTATATTTTCTGAAATTGCTGAAAAATGGGGTTCATTACGTTCATTTCTTACCATATAGGCTACGATTGTTTTTAAGGCAAAACCAAGGACGGGTGCCTTGTTGCGACGGTTAACTTGAGCTTTGCGTCAAAAGCAGGGTTTCCACTTAAAGGCTAATTTCCACTCCGGAAAACGTGCAGCGGATCGGATTTTTTTCCGAGCCTGGTCCGATCCATGAAGTGATTTCGGATCGGATAAAAAAAAGTTAAAACTATTTGAACTTTTTTTTATCCGGTCTCGGACGCTTTCGGATCAATATAAGCAAAAAATTTCAACAGACGGCGCACGCGCGGATTATCTTTCGTTCCGATCCGCTGCTCGTTTTCCGGAGTGGAAATTAGCCTTAACTAAAGCCCGGTAAAGCCCTCAGCTTAAATTCAAGCCCAACCTATCAGTCCTCAATCAGTACATGTATATTCGCCACAAGTGATTCAGTAAAGTACTTTATATTCCGTTATTCATACCTGCATGCTTATAATAGGTCTTACACTCATATTTACATGGTGTTTCTTCCCAGCTCTCTGTTTAATGAATATACCGTCAACTCTTAAATCCTTGTGTCTAACATCGTGAATATTGATGAAGACCCGATGGCACATGCGCATTTGCGATGCTCGAGAAAAAAATCGGGTGTTCCGGGGGTATATACCTTTTAAACAAAACCAACACCAAAGAGAAGCAATGTCGTAAAATTCACAGGAACGACGACGATTCCTCGATTCTTTTCTATGAACTTGGCAAAAGGGCCAAAGAGTTGTTACATAAGAGCAGTGAAAATGATTAAAAAACCCCTTATCTTCTGACCATGTACAAAAAATCGCCAAGACATCAAGGTCACCTCCCAGAAAATTCACAGACTGACTGACTGGTTTGAATTTTTGTCAACCATGACAATACTGTCTACTAGGTTTCAAGAAACTTTGCAATAAAAAGCAGTAATTGACTAGTCAGGCAGGTATTATCAACAATAATAGTTAGCATTCAGGCCAGACTGTCAGTATAAAGGCTGAGAGAAAAACACCGAATAAAGCATTGCAAAGCAGCAAGTAATTTACCACCGAAGGCTGGTATCAGAAGAATGAAAAGTCAGCCCTCAAGTCAGACTATCAGACATCGATGGTTTGAAGTCAGACGGTTGAAAGTGTAGTGAGAAATAGCGAACTCAAAGACATTGAAAGTATAGTGAGAATTAAGTGTGAAGTCAGACGTTAAAATTATAAAACATATTAATGAAAAATAGAAAATATTAAATTATAGCCAGGCTGATATTAATAGACAGCAGTCAGTGGAAAGACATGATATTCAAGTATTTTTTACACTAAAACTAACGATAACACTAAACGAACACAACGAATAAGCGAAAAAAGAAATTTTCTCAATAAAGTAAATATACTTTGCAGTTATAAGTGTTCAGGAGGACCGTGCATTACAATATCTAAGCTGGTTAGAAAATAATGGCTGCTATATTCATTAGACAGGGCTGGTCGTCGCTGCTAATTTCGATTCCGTAGTCAGTCGAACTCATCATTGATGGTCGTTCTCATCATTTAACTCGATCCCAGGTTGCTAGAACACTGCCGATTTAACAGCCTAGTCCCTAGGCCTCTCATACAATGAGGCCTGGGACTAGGCTGCCGATTTAAATGACCAACATATATAATGTTAAACTAGTGGGCTTTTTATCGATGCATTGCTGTCCAGTGGTCAAGGGGTTTGTTCTTGTGCGTGATCTGTGTTCGAATACTGCCTCTAACCACTTTGTTTTTTCTTTTTTCGTATTTGCAAAATCCCGAATTGAACGAGTGAAAATACCTTTTGGTTAGTTATTTGGGTTATTTGAGGGTTTGGTTTATTTTCTGTGTATATTTGTCGTTAATAAGAGTGCGGGCGGGTGTTCTAGCAACCCGAGATCGAGTTAAATGATGAGAACGACCATCAATGATGAGTTCGACTGTCTACGGAATCGAAATTTGCGTCGTCGCTACTGACCGAAGATCTATAGGTAGAACTGAAGTGACATGTTGAAAAATCGACAGAAAACGTTCGAGAGGTGGTAATCATATATAGAACTGATTGATAGTAATCATATATAGAACTCAATATATATCTGCAGTAAGAAACTGCGTTCCACAGGCTCTAGGTTTTTTTATTCTACCTTTGGAGCCTGAAACATCACTTCAGTTAACCTTATGCAGATTATCCAAATAATTCGATGCCACATTTGTAACCGATATTTTCAATGAATGTCTCCTATACAATTGCTGTCCGGCGTTGAGCGAAGATTCGTCGACGCTGCAGCGAAGATCATTCGACCGAATCACTGCTGCTGCTTGAACTGCTCTCTTCATCTGAACTGGATGAACTCGAGCTGTCTTCGCTGCTGGATTCGCTTTCACTCTTTCTCGATTTACGTTTCCGAGAATTGTCTTTTGATAGTGCGAGTTTCTTTTCGCGTTTGGAGCTAGTAAAATGCAACCAAAACGTTTAGATACGTACATCTTGCCAATAGAATAGAATTATAGTAGACTTTGTAGGGAATTAATATATTTCTACAAAAATACACTGAAGGATAACGGAGATATGAAATAAAGTCTGACTCCGATTAGTCTAATTTGCTTCACTGTTGGTCAAGTCATGTTATATGCAACATCTGCAAACATCTTGCTGTAATAGATGCAGTTATGTAAGAAATGAAATCGTACATTATGGACAGTACATACGAAGTTAAATGAATTTCTTATCCACACAGCCACTGAATTATATGCATAGTTTACAAAACAATAATTCGCAGAAATAAGGTCACATACCATTGTGATAACATCTGAACAACGTCATGTACAACATGTTTATATTTTGCTACCTTTCTTATCCAGGAGATGTCATCCTTCCTAAAACACATCTATGTACTGACCTCTCGGTTTTCTTGCTCTTAGATTTCGTTACTATCTCTTTCTTCTTCTTCTTGTCGTTTTCTTTCACTTCCTTTCTTGATATTTTCAATTCCTTTTCACCCCTCTTCTTTGCTTTCAAATCGCCCCTATTCCCTTTTCCTTCCTCATTCACACGTTTCATTTCAGGTCTTTTCTCCTTTTGTCCACGAGAACCTTTTCCATCCGAAGTTTTCATCTTCGGTTTCTTCGCTGGCGGACGCTTATCCGTCGATTCGTCACTATCGGAGTCGGAGCTCGAATCAGAGCTTGAGTCGGAACTACTCGAGCTATCCTCGGAGGACGAAGACGAAGAGGATCGCGTGGAACTTGGTTTCTTTTTGACTTTCATTTTTGAAGATTTCTGTTCCAAAGATCTTTGGTGTTCGGCTGGACTGCGTCCAAGCTTGTTCGCGCGGGATTGTTTGGGTGAATGAAGATCGTCAGTGGCCATTTGGGATCGTCTAGGGGACTTGCCACGAGGCGGTGACTGGCTCAGACCAAAGCCTTGCGACGACCTGCGACGATGAAACTTTCATTATTACGAATATAATTAAGAGTAACGGGAATCAGATCATTTAACTACTGTAATTTTCTTTCAATTTCTGTTAAAATACACTCTTCGGTCTTCTATAAATACATACCTTCGCGGACTCTGGCGTCGTCTATTTACAGCGCTCTGAGGACGAGCTCTCCTTTTCGGGCTAGGTGAGCGCCGACCTCGTTTGGGGGGACTTCGAGAACGGGATGGTGAAGCCCTCCTCGGAGGACTGGGGGAAGGGCTACGACGTCGCCTGGGCGGACTAGCAGGCGGTGGGCTAGACCGACGTTTAGGCGGGGGCGACCGAGCCCGTTGTTTCCTTGGTGGACTCGGTGTGGGGCTTCGGGGTTGTTCTTTTTCTGGGCTTGTTGATGGAGAGGTCGATGGGCTTGGAGGCTGCTCTTGGGGTGTGGGTGAACGCGATGGACTGCGAGGTTGTTCTCTTCTTGGGGGCGAGGGGCTAGGAATCGGATTCGAGGATCTTTTCTTCTTAGATGCAGACTTTTTGGGATGTGGGGAATCTGAAGGGGTATGGGGACCCTTTCTCGTACCGCGGGGTCTTCTGTCTGGACTTGTTGACCCAGCTGGAGGCGACCTTCGGGTTTTGTGCCGAGGGCTAGTGCTTCGACGATTCCGTTTCTGCGATGCTGGTGAGCCTGAAGGGGTATGGGGACCCTTCTTTTTTGAAAGCGGGGATTCCGATGGAGTGTGCGGTCCTCTCCTCCGAGGTGAGCCTGGGGGAGTGTGTGGGCCTTTAGAGGTGTACGGCTTAGCTTTGGGTGGTGTTGGCGGTGGTGGAATTGCTGCTAATGGTTTCCATTTTGATGTAACAGAGCTCTCTTCATGCTTCTCTTCAGATTGCCCGGCTGCTTCGGCAAGTTCAGCCTCTCGCATTGGTGTTGTTACGAGGTCGGATGGACTATATCTCTCGTCAGATTTAGCTAAAGATGGTGGCCTTGAAAAACAATATCGATCAATTTATCTGATGATGTATGTCTGATAATTCAGACAATGGAAAATTTCTTTCTTTAGCAAAACATCAAACAAATAAACAGAATGACAGAGGAAATAAGGCATACCGGCTATTGTGGTAGTCTGGTAGACTTGCAAAGGATGGAAACTATAAAGGGGGACTTTTTGGAGTGATGCATATAATACATATATATACTCACCTCACTTCATGGACGGGCTCTTGTCTGGGACTTCCAGATCTAGATCTACCTGGAGACGATCTTTCCTTTCTTCTGGCAGGACTAACGGAACGTGACCGGTATTTCCTTGCTCGTTGAGCCGGACTCGGGGAACGATCTCTTATTTGAACTGGACTGGCCGAACGGGACCTACTTTCGCTGTGCTGACGGCTTCTGCGGTCCGCTTTGGCCATGGGTCGCCTCTCTTTTGACAAAGGTGCTGGACTAACAGAGCGGCTTCCACTTCTACGACGGCCTCTCCTTCGATCTGCACTGGCCATAGGTCGCCTCTCTTTTGACTGAGGTGCTGGACTAACAGATCGAGACTTGCTTCTGCTTGGCCGACGGATGGCTCGACCCTTCGGAGGACTAACAGAGCGGCTTCCACTTCTAGGACGGCCCTTCCCGCGGTCCCCACTGACCGTAGGTCTACTACGTTCTCTGGACTGACTTGGTGGACTCACGGAACGTGATCTACCCTCAATAGGCCTACCATTTCTTCGATCTCCACTTCTCATAACTCTACGTTCCCTCGACCGACGATCCGGACTAATCGACGGGGATCTACTTTCTTGCCTTCTTCGTGGAGGAGGACTGGCTCGGGGGCTACACGGACGTCTTCTCGGAGGGCTTCGCGATTGGCGCGATCCGGGTCTCGCACGACGGCGAGGTGGACTGGGGCGGGGACTAGAGCGACCTCTCCTGCGCACAGGGCTAGCTGACCGAGATGGTTCACGTCGTCTCCGAGGTGGGCTAGGCCGACGGGGGCTGGACCGGCGCTTCGTTTGCCGTGGGCTGGCGGACCGGCCTGAACTCGGACGCCTCTTTGGACTGCCTGAACGAGATCGGCTTGGACTGGCACGAGCCTTTCTTCGAGCAGGACTAGGCGAGCGAGACTTGCTAGGGCTGGAACGACGCCTTTGCGCCGCGGTACGTACATCTTCTCGGCTTTTCCTCCGTGGTGGACTCGTGGAACGTCGGCCTCTTTCAGTGACCGGCGACGGACTATGCTTGGACGCCCGACCCCGATGAACGGGACTGACGGAGCGGGACGGACTAGGATCTTTTCGAGGGCTTTCAGAACGCGACCGACGCGCATTCGAACGGACCCTTTGACCTGGATGACTATCAGAACGTGACCGCCTTGGGCTAGGCTCGCGTTTTCTCTGAGGCGGGGATCGGGTCTGTCGGCCTGGGCTCGACCTATTTCTGCTTCGCTGAGGACTGGGGGAACGTTTGGATCGACGTTTTTGCTGGATAGGACTCCTGGAACGGGACCGACTTGGGCTGACACGACCTGTTTAGTGCATTAGAAAATTAAAATCCGGTTAGACGTGCAAAGGCTGATTGCCAAGCACCCCGTTCCAACTTAACCCCTCTGCTATTTAGCATAAACTGCGGTTAAAACAAAATAATAAACCTTCGTCCACAACTTACCTTTCCTTGGGGGGCTGCGAGATGGTGGAGGACTAGACCGACGTTTTCTATCAACGCCGTCTGATCGGCGACTAAAACGAGGGGGAGTGTCGTCTTTACGCTGGGGAGGAGATCTTCTTGGTGGAGACCTCGAAACACGAGTTTGTTCTCGAGGGGGGCTGGCAGATCGCGAGGCACGGCGTTTCTCGTCAGCTGGAGGTGAAGCAAACACAAAACATTGATAAGGAATTTCTATAATGTGAATTTACATTTTTGCAGGATTCGCGCGGTTTGCAAGTGACGTAAAGGTTTTTTAAACACGATCCAATTTTGTCAGATCCAATTCACTTTGATGTATGGAATGCAGTCTGTTATAGATGAAGCAGTACTGCATTGGCTTAGTTGATTTGCTGCCCATAAACAATGCACGTTCACACACTACAAACCATCCATCAAAGAGGCGAACTGAACAGACCTCGCGTTAGTTACCTGGACTTTGCTGATCTTCCTCACTTGAATCAGAGGATGACCTGCTCGGTGATCGTTGTTTTTGTAACATTCTCTGTTTTCGTTGATAATCTGCAAAAGCTGCTTGATATATTTGATCTGCGGGTTTCAGCTTCTTTCCTGACCCTGCATCTTGTCCACCAGATTTAGGCTCAGAATCATCGTCCTTCTTTTTCTTTTTGTGTTTTTTCTTCGCTTTGTCTTTAGGGTCCTTCTCTTCTGCTGGTAGCCTTCGATCTTCACCATCTCTGCTGTAGCTGAAGAACAAGTCGAACTTGGTCAAATACTAAAATTTGAAGACATGGGCTTTTTTGGCTGGCCGTAATATAACATAACTCCAATGTTTCAAATGAATAATAAAATTATAGGAAGGATCAATTATGGAGTAAATGATAAAATTATAGAATAGGTGCTATTAGTATCGAATAAACACCTGTGTTTAATCTGATATTTCGAGTGAATGGTCAAAGTATAGAATAGTTGTTATTCCAAATATGATGTGAATGATACAAGTATGAAGTATAGAGATGTTATTCTGAATACAGAGTGCCCCACTGTGCCTGACAATAATTCATTATCGAACACAACACACCAACAGAACACCATTATTGCATTGACAGTTACAATGAGTTAACACACTTATTTGCCTTATTTCACACTTATTAAGTAAGTAAATGAACGACCTCAGACATAAATTGCTCGTGTTTCCATTATCATCACCGAATAATATGAGTTGGATTTTGGTCATCATTGGTCAGAAATGAATTACTTGCAAGAAGAGCAAATATTACACCACAAGTAACAAGATATCACAGCAGATCACAACAAACACTAACTACTACCCATCAAGTGGCAAACGTCTGAGCAAGAGAAACATACAACTCTCAAAATATACATCAATCTGATTACCTTCTTTCTTTCTCATTATCGCGATCTCTTTCCTCCTCATAACTACCTTTTGGTCTTGTTTGATCAGGTGAAGGAGAGCGTTGCTTGTTTTTACTGAAATAAAATTATAATTGATAATTAGGGTCATATGAAGAACATAAATAGCTTTGTTAACCTAACCATCCCTAATTTTGTGTTTTAGTCCAGTCCACAGTTAAACCTACCACAAATGCATGTTTAGCTCCTAAAATATAATCAGAAGAAACTATTAACAATATCTATCAATATTTGACATCATTCGCTCTTTCCAACTACCTTCTTGGAGACTTCTCGCTTTTCCTACTGCGTTCAACAGATTCTTGCCTATCTGACTCAGAACTAGAAGGAAACAATAGAGGTATGATCATTAGAATAAAATACATGTATATATCTGAGTCTTGTCATGAAATACCCTTGTTGTTATGAATAAAATGCATCTGAGACTTGTCAACCTGAATCACATCTGGGTAATAATGAACATTTGATGCAAGAAAAAATTTTGCAAGAGAAATTGAATAAGAAAATTTAGACATAATCACAAAATACTTTAATTAACATATTAACTGGCAGCACTAGAGTAAAACCATCTGGCATTAGACAAAGTAAAACACTAGACAGGGTAAAATACTAGAATGGCTCATCTGGGTGCACTGCAAGCTGATGGGCTAATAGCAAAAAAAAATGAAATACAAGTACTAGCCTACCTGATTACCTGATTAAAAAATATAAATACATTTTAGACTAATAAATGTTCATGCAGTAAATAAAAATAATTTAAATCAAACAAGAAGAAGACTTCTACACGGCTACACCAGGAAGGTACCTCTCAGATCGATCTCTTCTGGCTCGTTTTTCCTTTGCTCTCTTCTTTTTCTTCTTGTCTCGATCACTGCAATTTACAGATGTAACATTAAAAATTAGAAAAAATTCTACAAATGTATTTATTTCTATTTATATATATTTCATTTTGAAGTTAATGAGTTCACGGCAACCAGGTATATAATCCATCGTAATTATCGCTACTCTGGTTTTAATAAATGAAAGTAATCACCACACAAAAGATTAATTTTCACGACCCAATGTTTCGAAACTCCGGTCTAGTGTCTTTATCAGGAGTGATCTGATGTTGAAACTCGGTTCCTTATACATACTCTCAAAATGACTTCATTTTGAGAGTATATATAAGGAACTGAGTTTCAACATCAGATCACCCCTGATGAAGACACTAGACCGGAGTTTCGAAACTTTAGGTTGTGAAAGTTAATCCTTTGTGTGGTGATTACTTTCATTTATTAAAACCAGAGTAGCGATAATTACAATGGATATTTCATTTTGTCGCTTTTGTCGCATTTGCCGAAAAAAGTACAGGAGTTCTACTTCTTATAGGTATTCTGTGGTATTGTTCTGTGTGCACTAAAGCAAATTCGAGAAGTGTCTATTCATTCTTTCAAATTGATATATACTTTATGTGCCGACCAAAAAGAGTAATAATATTTATAACTACCCTAAACAAAAATAAAATTTGTTAACTTATTCATCTAATCAATTAATAAATTACCTGGTACCAAAAATCTGAAAAAAGAACATAACAAAGAACCATAAAGTAAACAAAACCAAATACTATTTTTTTAGGTAAATGTCAAGAGATTGAGATTTTCAGCATGTTTAACCACACCAAATCTCTATGTTACCTTTCAGAACCACTGCTTGAGCTGTAGTCGGAGGCATTTTTATCAGCCTTTCTTTTCTTTGACTTCTTAGATTTGCTGAAAGAAATGGAATTAGTTTAATAAAATAAAATACAAATTGGATCTATTTCCATCTGTCCACAAAATTATCATCACATGAAAAATTAGAATTAGTATCAACCATAGATTGGATATTGTACAGTATTCACAAATAAATATGGACACTATTTTGTTTTTTTTTTAAAAGTTTTGATTCAGTTCTGAAAACATATTTTTGATGATGTGATTTTGTGGCAAAGGAAACAGATCAAATTTCTTTTCAATTGCCATTTCAGATTTTACCACAGTCTCCTGTCAGAAGAATAAATATGCAGCACAATTTTTTTAACAAACCTGTGCTGTTAACATCATGAAAAAAAACATGCTAAACAATGATTTCTATCATAAGAATTGCTTTTTGGTCTACGACAATACTTGGGGCACAACATTTTATGTTAAAACATATGACTTTCATACACTAAAAGGTTTTGACTTACCTGTTCAAAATTAAAAATATATGCCAAGACTACCTACACAGTGTTTACAACTATTGCTGGGAAACAGAAAAATGCATAATTTAGCTTTTAAATGTTTACACACTGACAAGTAATCGAAGCATTTAGATTTTCTAGTGCCAGCTTACAATGTCTACTAGCAATATATATACAGTATTTCTAAGTGTATACCGGATTATTGATATGTTTTCCAAACACAATATGATATCAAATCCAAGTTTATACATATAGACATTGTCTACATGTACTTGGCTACTGTTTTAACCATGCAATTTTGAAAGGTCTATTATCAACTATGGCAACCCCAATGTCATACATTTTCCCATTTCTTTGCAATTGTTGAAGACACTTTGAATACGGCTGGAAACTCTGGCCTGATACATACTAGTTCATTTGTATTTTTTCATACTATTCAATTGTTTGTTAAAATTAATGAATTGTGTGTAATGAATTGTGTGTAATACCTGTGTGCTTGTCATTTTTATGCCAAATACTAATTGTGATGTGCATTGAGTAGAGATTAAGAGACTCCATATAGACTTATATTAGTAGTCTCTTGAATTTCCATAATGAGATAATCCAAGATTTGGATGATGGAGCGGTTTCTTAAACGAGTAAGGATTAAAATGCCATATGAAACTACACTAATATTACTGAGCTAATCACTTTAAAAAACACAAAACTATTAAAACTTCATAAATTGGCCAGCAATTATTCTAAAGAAGACGACTTGTAAGTTGTAATGCTTATCAAATTGTAACCCATAAAAAATGTTAACAATTTATGGAGTTTTAATGGATGTGGGTTTATAGAAACTCTCAATAGCAGTTGTTATTATTAAATTACCTTGATTCATACTTCCTTGCTTCTTTCTCTTTCTCTTTTGCTTCTCTTTCCTTCATTCGTTCAAGTGCTTGCAGTTCTTGATTGAAAGCTGTGCCTCCTTTGTAGTCATCTTTGATACCAAATGCTTCTTTAAATTTGGCATTTTTTTCTTCATTTGCTTGAGCAATTTGGTGGGTCTCTGTGAAACTGGATGGGAATAGAACATTAGATTGAAAAAGCTTATTTTAAGAACTGGGAGAGACAGATGATTTAATTATGTTGATGAAATGGACAAGGACTGAAAAATACAGTAAAAACTTTCAGAAGAATATGAAGAAAAACTCAGGTCTAATTTGCCATAGTGTCAGGGTTTTCGCCGGTCATTCGGCGTACATAAATTGACAGGTATCGTTGATACTCACCGCAAATCAAAGAAATCTGTATCAACTTTCTGATTATAAGTAGCCTCCTATATCTTCCTGCTAGAGATTTAGGCTGTGTTCGGTACCTGTGTTCGGTACCTGTGCTTGGCACAGGTGCCAGAAGTCAAGACTGGTTCATAAAAGATGCCGAGCACAGTGCCCTTGTTGAGCACTACCTCTGGAGGTAGGACCCGTTCTTAGACACAGTGGCTGACTTAATTTGGACTTCAGCCCAACTTAGATGCCAGAAAAAGTGATAGGCACCAGTGCTGGGCACTCAGTCTGAACTCAGCCTTCCAATGATGGATACTTACACAGGTCTTCTGTCACTATCTTTTTCATCATTGAATCCACCTTCTTCCATCAATTTTTCTCTAAGCTTTGCTACTTCATCATCAATTTCAGTTTGAGAGAATCTAGAATATGCAGAAAAGAAAGATTGGCAAAACTTTTGAGTGATCATCCACAACTGCACCATGCACACAGCATAGATTGCAGATTATATGCAATGGGACAGGACACTACATTGGTTGATGGCACTTACCATGTTATTCATGCTAAACAATTCAAATTTTGAAAAATTTACGGCGCGTTAAAATTACCATTGGATACAAATGCTAAATACTAAAATTAGTAAATACTTAAATCACACGCTAGGAAGATAGAGCATGAATAAACTGTAGAACTAAAGCGTAGTATATACTGCATTTTTTAAGACATTCTTCAACACGTGCAAATAAACGAGTCACTGACTGACTCTCATGTTTGAGGCAAAGAACTGTCCTGTCCTGCATAAAAACACAACTTACCCTTGTTCTTCCAGCGTATCTTGTAGTTTTGTGCATTCCACTTCAATCTGCCTCTTTCTTTCATGCTCGAGTATTTCCTTATTCGGTTTCTTTGTCATCGTCTGCTCAAACTTCGCCATATCGACGGCAGGCTTGTAGCTGACCCGTTCCTTTTGGTTTGCAACGAAAGATAAATTTCGAGTAACGTAGCCGTTTGTACCCGAACCACGAGGAGTCGTAAGACCAATATTATTGTACATGGCTTCCTCTCTTCAATTTGAGCTGGACTAACGCGATTTTAATAGGAAAAACGCAGGTTTTACATCGTTTTTTTTGTTCAAGAAACGCGCTTCGTAATTTCACGGTTTTTCCATCATCATGCTTCATTGAAACCTTCCCATAGTGCTTCGCGAAACCACTCTAGTTCCCCACTGACCTCAACACTGCCAGGATGCGTAATTCAGATACGCGTATATTGGGAATTTCTGAATGGTTTTGACCGCAAAATACTGTTGCAGACTTGTTTCCAGTGCGTTTGTGTGGAACCAAGCGGCTCTTCCCTTAGGGAGAAGGGGAGAGCCGAAAAAGGAACGGTGACGCACAAGTAACCTCGATATTTTTGCTGCATATTAGCATGGAAGGGATTATATTGTGTCAATTACTTCATGAGCACAGTCACGAGATATTTTTATAAATGTGATGACCTTCTTGATATCCTGTTTTGTGTAGTTTGTATACATGTCGTGTATCTAAGCGTGAAAACGCGTACCAGAAAAGGATTGGGGAGACCAAGCCTATTAAAAATTAAAATATCTCACTGTATATACATTTTCTGCCAAAAACTGGAGGTTAGATCGGAAGATGCCTTTGTGACAATGTTTAATTAAAATATTTAATGCAATGGATGACTCAATAGTTAATTCCATGGTCGGAATATCTTCTCTGCTATTTCTGCGGTATTTATTGGCTGTCAGTTTTCAAATTTACTTCGCTCTTCAATTCTCATTGGAGAATACTTGGGGGAAGGCCAATAAAAGCACGTTCTTTAACACCTCCAAAAACACCCCTCCTCCTCCTCCTCAATAAATGGCTCTCATCTTTAGCAGCACATTCCAGTTAACTCGATCCTGTGGACTGAATATAGGATTGCTCCCACACTTGAAACTGGACGCGTATTATATACTTGGTGTAGGAGAAGTTTTATCATGCGGCAGTCCGCCCGGTTGTGGCATGTTCGAAGTCAAAACGTTCGTCAAAGCCGAGCAGTAGGCCTAAATTGAAGAAAAAGGTAACTAAAAAAGTAATAATAATATAAAAATAATAATATCAATAATAATACTAAAATAATATCAAATACATTGAAAACAAATTTTATGATCAATTTGGTTGGTATGGACATAGAAAAACAAAGAATGTCTCAAGCGGAGAGGTTCTTCACGTGACGCCACTCTGACACTGTCACGTCAGTTCGGCCATGTTGATTTCTTTTCAAATCTGCACCAACATGGCGGATTGATGCAATAACCGAGAACCTTCTATGAATACACGTTTAGATTTATAAACTTACCTGGTATTTTGCCCTTTCTAAGATTGGATTTGCGACTAAAAGCCAAAATTAGAAAAACACATCTTACTCTTAGCAAAGTCTGACTAAATATTTTGAAATAACAAACTACTTTTCGCAACCTCACCTTTGGCTAAAAGTGTTTCTGAACTAAATACTCCGACAACATAAACTGGAGTTTCTGTGTGTCTGCCACTTGAACTGATCAATCTTAAAATGGGAAATTATTTGAAGTTTATCACGTGAGTCATTTCTATATAAAGATCTATTTCAAACGCTAGCAGATTGCGGTTTAGAACCATGAAATGCGATTGGTTTATATCGAAAAATGTAGTCTCAAAAGCATTTTCGATAGACCATCACATTGCAAAATTTCTCTTCGCGCAAACAAACTCTCCCGATGAAAAACAAGCTCTAGGTTTTTGCGCGTTTATATCTGTGTCAAATGTGTTATCATTGCTTGATGCGAGGCTTGATGCCTGTTCTCGCACAGAACATGTTTTTGTTTAGGAAACGTAATTTTTTTGTACCTTTCAACTGGTTTTTCCTTTCCTTGTTGTCGAAGCAACGCAGCCAGTGACATTTCTGGATTCTTGAATGGAATTATATCTTCCAATTCCTGACCGTATAACTGAAAAATCAGGAAATCGCGTACAAAAGAACTCGCCCGTGAAGCTCCCTAGGGAATAAGAAAAATAAGTTGACTACGGATTGCATTTTAAAATTTAAAATAATATTTTCCTAAAAACATATCGAACTTCTGGCTCTGCCACAAACTGCTTCGAGGAGTGGTTACTAGTAATGGTTCTTCATTACCCAAAAAAATTTATATGCAAACGCCGTTGGCGATGCCGTTGTTATTAAAACCAAGCACAGTGTACCGATATAATGACAATCACAATTTTGACATATTTTGGAAGCCATTAAATGACTTGGCGCCAGCTTGTCTAGTCAAAGGCTTTACCGACTTTGGCGACTTATTTGTTTTGATTTCACTGGAGGGTGAAATTCTCCTAAGTTTCATATTTTACAAGAAAATAAATGTTTACCATTCCAGGTAAACTGCTAATTATGCATAAAACTACAGATTCACCTCAACTAAGATTTGGCAATATGAAATAGTTGAAAACAAGCCCAGCAATCAACAGGCAAATTTGTTTGCACTGTAATAGTTTTAAGATGCATGGCGGGATGGTCCATCAGTTTTTAGATGCACCAGGCTGTTTCTCAGTAAACCCCAGTCCATTTTTACAACTCTACACAATGGTGGCATGAGAGTGGGGGGGGGGGGCATTTGCCATTATCCCTATTATCAAATAAATCTCTTCCAAATGAAGGCCATATCCAATTTTGATGTAAAATAATGAAATAGCTCAGTTCTGCCAAGCACTGTGGCATCATATCTTTAGTTCTCCACAAACCTCATTTATGTGAATCGCTCCAATAAGGGCAAGTAAAGAGTCAGCAATTATGTCATTTTTTGTAGGACCAATATTTGTTATGTCGTCTGAACTCAATAAATCATACTAAAAATAAAAATAGATGCAGACATGTGTGCAATAAACTCTAGTTTTCATCTGAAATGAATTAAGACCCATCATATTTGACTAATAAATTATAATCAGACTTACTTTTGACTTTATAAGTTCAGGAATTGATAGAGATCTTGCAACATGTACTAAGGCTTCTTGACTTAAAATATATTCTTGCAGGTTTCTGAAAACAATAAATTGGTTGCAGTTGTAAATGATCTCATATCTCCTTTGATTCTAGATATTTAACCATTTAACTTGTATCAACTTGGGCAATGTAATGCTATTCAAATATAGAAATTCATGAAAATAACATACCTGTATCCATAACTTGGAAAAATGGGATAAGAGAGATATAGGAATGAGCTTATGATTTGGGAGGCAATATTAAATCCTAAACCAAAATTGTTTAAGGCAAATTAAATTCTGATGAAATTTTCAAAATTATGAACTTGACATGGTGACATCAAATATATATTTTAATTTATGCTTACCTAGAACTGCTAGTTTTCCATTGTGGTCAACTAGTTTGTTCTGATCACTTTCAAAACTTCTGTGCATAAAAGCTTGTCTCAGTAGCTCATTGTCAGGAGCAAGCCCAAGGCGATGAGCAAATGCAGTAATTTCTTTTTCATAGTTTTTGCTGATAAACTGCTTGTAATCAAACTTTCTACATAAAAAATAAAATATAGGAAAGTCTACAAAATGGATATCTGAAAGAAATATGCATTGCATTTACTTTCATTATATATAATTGCCTAAAATATTCTTGTACTTTTGCATAGTGATATCATAATATAAGTAAATTAGCTTTTGGTCCAAAGCTTTGCAGTAAAAAATACGTATTGTGTGCAAATGATGAAGTCCCAAGTCAACCGACCGAAAGCTTTGCAACATTAAATATTTACATGGTGTATGTACAAGCCCAGGGTGCATTCAGTGTAGACAAATCGGAATATCTTCGGCGTAGAGTTAGGGTATCCTTGGCGTACTGGCGTACAATCAACTTTCCTTGGCGTAGTGGCGTACACTGTTTTTAACTTGTCGGCGCATAAATACCGGATAAACAAACCAAACTTTGTAATTCAAAGGTCCACACACCCACCGACTTCAACTGCATGCATTTAAGTATTTTAACGACAACAAAGGCATTTAACTTCTTAAAAATGGTCCTCTAAACGTGTAGCATTTTTTGACTCACGAGTCGAACGTCTTGGCGAGTCTGCGATCGGCGTAACGTCCTGGAGTGGGTAATTGTCGTAAGTATGGCCCAGGGTGGGAAGTTGGCGTAATGTTAAGATTGCTTTGGCGTATCTTCGGCGTGTGAAATACACCGAATGCACCCTGGGTACAAGCTAATTTACTTATACTGCTTAAAACTGCTTAAAAGTTTCAGACGTTGCATGTCCATAAAATGATGCGCCCTAAAACAAATAGTAAAGATATTTACCTTGGACCTTGTTGTTTCATTTCGTCCATCTTTTTATTCCACTCTCTCCTTTTTACATCACGATTACTCCCTCTGTAGAACCTTGCACCTGTAAAATTTTCCGAATTCTGGTTACAATGATTTGCTTATGCATCACAGTCGAAATTCTAATAAAGAACTTTGTTTGATTGCTTTGAAAGTTTACTGGCTAAAAATTGTACAATCCATATTAACACACTACATAATTAGTAAAGTACGAATAATCAATGTAAATTTATAAAGATATAAAATCAAGCTTGAAAACATTGACATTACTGTGTGGTTTAAAAGACATCCCGTCTCTTCCTAAAGCTATAATATAAACCATATACCAACCTGATAGAGCTGCAATACAGTTAGGGCAAAATTTTCCAGAAACTCGTGCATTTATTGACGCTAAAACATAGTTCACTCCAAACCTTGAAACGTTCGCCATATTGGAAGTGACATTCTCGTGACTGCAATTCCTTGGTTAAAGCTTTAAGATTCCTTATTACAATACTTGATAAAGCGAATTTTTTGGGCCATTGAATTTGTTTTCAGTTTAATTTTAATGGCGAATGTTAGTTGTTCATGCTGTCGTTTGCAATGTACATTTAAAATATTTTAAAATATTAACGTCAGGAATGAGGATAAGTCAACATCAAGCAATACGCTCAAATCCAAATCCTTTCAAGACAATTTATACGATTTACGAATTCCAGTTTTGAAGGAAAGCCAAGCACATGCTCTCTTACGCCAAGAGGAACTTCATGTTACACTGAGCTAATCATCGTGATCAGAGAATCTGAATAGAACTTTTGAAAAGATTTGGTTTAAAAAATGTTTTAAAAATGTGGATTACAACAGTGTTATTCTACCGGCACGTTCCAGGACGAATCTTTTCTGGGTGAGTAATATTAATTTTAATCATTTTGACTATAACTTTATATGCATGACTCACTTTGCATGGAAACTGACAGGGAACATTATATGTATTTTCTTATAGTAAACATCGTGCAGTTATGAAAGTTACGAAGTATCAAAGGAAACGTGTGGATAGAAAGAACCAACAAATCGAGAGTAACATGGAACTACTAAGTTTTCCTTTTTTAACAGTGGTAAGAAAAATGTATGCCAGATGTTCCCCAACCCAGCCAGGAATTGCCCCCTTCTCCCCTTTTGGTTCATTCTGGGCTTCGCCAATTTACAAAACAAACCTACACTTCTTACAAATGGTATACGGCAGTTAATTTTTCACTAACTGTCTTCATGAGACTTAAGTACTGAACTCAATAATTTTACTTTTTTTTGTTTCTATACCAAAAGGTTTACATTTTTTCATTTTTCATTTTAGTCCCAAGAGCACTCCCATGCTACTGCAAGAAAGCACAAAGAAAGGAAGGATTTCTTTGACAAGATTAAGCAAAATAGAACACTAGGAAAAACTGCAGTTCACAATGTGACTAATTCATCTCGAACACCTGGACTTCTTCAACATCTTAATGTTACTAAACCTTGATTGTCAAAATTTATAAACTTTATTTCAAACTTTACTTGTTCTCAGATTAGCTTCAATGCCAGGAATGCATTTTTAAACCAATTGTCAGAACCATCTGCCAGACTCTTCATTAACAAAGTCAAATTGTTGATTAAAATAGGAAAGATTTTCGATTTTTGAATAGGGTATTCTCTCCCGTTCCATTATAACCAAGGAGCAGCGTGGCAGTGTCTTCAAACAACTTAGCATCAAAAGTGGTAAAACAACTGCCTAAATAGACAAAAGACTTCTTGAAGTTTCGACCTGACGGCCTTCAGGTCAAAACGTCGAGAAGTGTTTTGTCTATTTAGGCAGTTGTTATACCACATTAGATGCTAAGTCATTCTCCCTAATACAGGATATAAAAAATCAACTCCCCTAATAATGGGCCATGTATGTCAACTAAAACAATACCTAGACTTCGAAACATGATTGATAACAAGATACTTATAAAATAAAAACACAACTATACATTAATTTAATTAGATGATTTTTTTATTTCTTAATTTTGACACATCTGGGGAAGCATGTATTTGTTAAAAAATATTTTTCATAATTTTTTATTTATAAGGTATAAACCCATTCTAGCTGTAGATCATTAGAGTTCCAAAGAGATGACCTTTGATGTCCCATGGACCATCAATATTGGTGGTAAATCATCTGTAAAAAGAGAGTGTGAAATTTTGAAGTCATGGCAATCATGACATAGCAATGAGCTGTAATACCCTTTCAGTGCAGCATTGAACCAGTTTTTAAGAATAAAAGGGAGTTTTGGGAAGTGTGAAGAAGACTTGTACTTGCAGAGGGTAAATCTTGTGAGGTAATTCGATTGAGGGTAAATTCAGTGGCGGATCTAGGGGTGTGCAGAATAAATTACTGCAGCTTAAAATCGGAATCGCATTGGTAGATTTTAATGTAAAAATATTCTTTTCAAATCAATAACCAATAGCGTTGTTATTAAGGTGTTTTGAATTTGAAATTAAGCTGTGTAATTTATTCTGCACACCCCTAGATCCGCCACTGGGTAAATTGATTTTGTGGCACTTCACTCAATGTAGGTAAATTCTAAAGGGTTTTAAAGGGTCTTAATTTCTAGTGGAATCAAAGAGACGAATACCCTTTAAAAACCTTTAGAATTGCAGTTGCAGAAAACAATATTCTCCTAGTTTTTGGCTTACACCTACCAGATAGAACCGACATTTGACGCATAAAGTTATTGTGGAGACTTTCATTCTCAGGCACTCCTGGAAGACTTGTAAAAATGACCGCTGTAACAGAATACGAGAATCAATATTAGTTTTGATCTCAATTACTACACAGCGGTCCTCAGTAATAAATAAACAATATACTGTATAGACATACCTGCAGTTCCAGAATGAACTCTCATCAATTGATTTAAATGTTCATACCACTCCATTGTTCCAACCCTGGGCTAATTTTGAAACAATTACATTCCACAATTCAATTATTGAAAGGGTCGATTTTAGCGGACGGTAATTAGTCAAACAAACGAGATAATCTAATATTCGCGCGCCTGGTTACCTCGCCTGGCGGCTTTTTGTCTCGTCTGACGCCTTGTTGTCTGGCCTGGCGGCTTTTTGTCTCGCCTAGCGGCTTTTTGTCTCGCCTGGCGCCTTTTTGTCTGGCCTGGCGCCTTTTTGTCTGGCCTAGCAGCGTTTTGTCTCGCCTGGTGCTTTGCTGTGTCCCTTAGTACGCTTTTTTGCGCTAGGCCTCCTTTTTGAAAAATCTTTTTTCAGAAGGTTTGCGCTTATTTTGAAAATCAGCACTGCATGGTTGGAGAATGCAAGAATGACTAAGGATGAGATGCAAGAATGAGGTTTATCATAATCATTAAAAAGATAACTATTTTCATTACTGTCATAAATGGTGGTTTCACTAAGCTACAAAAACCCGGTAAAAAGGCTCTAAAAGAGCGTAAAAAAGGCGCGAAGAAAAAGGCACGAGAAAAGGCGCAAAAGTAAGGCGAGTGGGGCGAAAATTGGATTATCTCAAGAGCTTTAGTTCAGGTAAGTTATTATGGCCTCTCACGATTAGCAGTTGATTAACCGATTTGGATAAAGACAAGTGAATAGTTACCCTCTCAGACGAATGCTCATCTGTATCGTGGACAATCTACAAGAATAAAACAAAAGAATGTTGATAGAATATTGACTCTGAAAAGACTTTTCTCACACAATTAATTTCAGAGTTTTTGACTTGCACTACCATCATCAAACTGGAAAATGCATCATTTACCTGCACTTCTCCGGGTATTCTTAGTTGATGAAGAAGAATCATTAATCTTTTTCTTTCAACCTCATCAGTTTCATCACCTAAAGAAAATTGAAAAAAAGGTAATAAAATGCTTGCTGAAAATTTGAGCTAGAAAAACACAATTGGTGTGGAAGGAAAGGAAATATGCAAAACACAATGAAATACATCTTTTGATTGCGAGAAAAGTTGACACTGAGAGAAGATACTGGATTAATTATTGCAAAAAGTTGTTCACGTACCACGAGCTATTGACATGAGTCGTATTTTCGTTCGATTTTCCCAAAATGGCACCATATTTAAAATACAGCTTAGTTGAAGTATTAGAAGGTACGTTTGGTCACATGTTCCTTCACCAGCTACAATGATAAACAAGATTATCACATTTGAATCTGTTAATATAGCTACAACCATGTAAACAAGTTAAACAACTTTTAGAAAGTTTCACTTTTGATCAATTTTACGGCTGATTAAGGTGATCTTATGTAAGTGATCTTAAAACCTGCACATCGAGATCAATGAGAAATAATCGGTGGTATTATTTGAAGTACTTACAGTGCTCAATTGAAGACGCATTTACCGGCCATACGTCTGAAAAACACAGATGAATGGTTGTAAATGATAACATAACATTGTCGCTTTAAAACAAAGGCGGGATATCAGCCAACGATATAACAAGCCAACCGATACCATTTTAAGCGTAAAAATTCATTTTACCAATAGAAGCAGGCTTTTTTATTCCATTCTTGTTAAACAAAGTAAAACTAAAATTAAAAGAGAAACGTTGCATGTAGGAAATGCATAACTCAATAAGATATCAAATTTGTTCAGATTCAAAAAGACATACTTTCGTGCCACGCAAACATTTTTTCCTAAAAGCAAGCTATCCTACAAGAGATATGATACAACATCATTGTTGGTATGCCTCTCAAAATGCACATAGTCAAAAACATAGCTTTATATTGTACCTTGATAATTCCTATATAATCGGCTACACGCATCGATTGCTCCCCCTAGGGAAAATCCACACATACATGTGTAAATTTCTCAAGTCATAATTGTATTAACAGGCTAAAAGAACTGTTGCACCATCCAATTTCGTCGGATCCAATTCGCTTCTGGTGGATGTTTTATAGTCCGTTGACTTGCAATTTCTATGGACAGAATTTCCACTAAAGCCAATGCTGTACTGCTTTGTTAATAACAAACTACATGCCATACGTCAGAAGTGAACTGGATCCGACAAAGTTGGATCGTGCATGTGAACGGCCCGTAACAGCCGATGGCATGAATGACCTTTCATCGAGAGAATATAAATTTATTATACCTTTGCTCTAAGCTTCGGTAGATGCATCATAATGTCATGATGTATTTGCTCTGAAAGACATAACTTGTGCATTCAGTATTTTCAAAGAAAAAGCAGCGACTTCATTCATTTAGTGTTTAATATGAAATACATGCAATTTCACTATAATTCCAAAGGCATGAAGCCACATTGAAAAGCGGGTATATTGAGGAAAACTATAGTGCAATTACCTTTTCTCCTTCTTTCAAAGATGTTGTAATTTCTATGCCACACTCCTTGACTGATAAGGTCCTGTGGATCTTGTTGGTCAAAATATCCTAAAAAGGCGAAGTGAAAAATGTTGATCTGGTTTCTTTTTCAACATTCTTTTAACATCCATCCATTGTATCATCAACATTGACTCATATCTATTCACTACTCACCAAGAATTACAGTATTTGGCCTCATTCCTCCTAACCCAGACGACTATAACGAGAAACATTTAGAAAAGAGTTGAAGGGTCTTCACTTCGAATGGAAATCATACATATGATTACAATTATAAGGCGAAATTTTCGTTTTATGGACAGCCGAAATCAAGTTTAACAAATGAAATTGTGACTGAAATTTATCCTGTCAGTCTGTCACCTTACCATCAATAAGTTTTGCGCTCCAACTCTCACAGATGGCGCTACAATTTGATCAACAAATGCTTTAATTTCGGCACAACGGACAAAATTATACCAATGATCGATCTCTTGCTTATGACGAGTTACAGCCTAAAAAAATGAAACGTTGGTACAGAATTCTTGTTACAGGCAATTGGTGAGATTATGAAAATTAAATTTGAAAATGTGCATTTTTTACCTGTCCATCAAAATCGTCAACAATAACATTTCCAAGAATGTACAAACCAGTCTAAGAATACAAATGTTTGCATGATTGATGTTCTCAAAATCACATCGTTTGCAATTAACGATCTTGTATAGAAAAGCATTTAACAACAACTCTAATCGCAAGCATTTATAGTTTAACAAGACTTTAAACAAGCATATATTTGGTACAATCTGCGAGTTTGTTTGTTAATTTTGACGTGTGTAAATGCATGTAAATTAGAATAATTTGAGTATTACTTGTTTATTGAGAGTACCTTTTTGATGTCATTAACGAAGTCAATAAGCGGATAAGACGATCTAGGATTTGATACCAACAACAATATCTGAAAAGATTTTTCGAAGATATTTATTATTTTATGGCAATTCCCTGGATTCGTGTTTTTACAATTGATGTAATAAAACGAGATAAATTGAAGATTATGACTTAGCCAGCTGAATAATACCTGTGGCCTCCAGTATTTTACGTGATTTTTCTTCGGATCCAATCTCAACAAATATTTTCTGACCTAAGTTGGAAGAAAAAAACGATCATCGGTCAAAGAGTTAAAATCGTTCAAAATGGGTTCAAACCATTCCACAAATACCTGATGGTAAATAACGGCTTGAGTGACGTCACCCCATGGTGTTATCGGGGCCCGATATACGATCACCAGGAATAAGATTATCATGATTGCTTTAAAATACAAAATAACACTTTGTTGAACAAGATTACGATCAAAGATTGCCTTACCGTACCGTGGGTGCACGGTAACCATGGGTCAGGTATTGGCCTCTCTTTGTTGATTTTTAAACAACCATGGGTGAGGTTTTGGCCTTTCTTTGCTGTTTTTTATACCACCATGGGTCAGGTTTAGGTTTTTTAGCATGCAGACGTTCTGGAGAAGCTCGCGTTTTTCATTTGTATCATTCAAATTCACTACGATCAATATTTCGTATGAACAAAACCAGGATATGGAAAGGAGATATGAACATACCCACAGACAAGGCAGCGTAAGCGTAATTCACTGCAAACATGATCGCAAAACACGACAACATTCCCAGCAGAGCTAAAGAAAAGGAGGTGGATTTGAAATCATACCATAAATCGTAGCATACCATGTTATAACCTGCACCATTAACCTTACCATTATTAACCATATCTGTTATACCCTACTATAACCACAACATACCTTACCACAACTATTCTTACTATCATCAACCATACCACAACTCTACTATCCTAATTCTTAGTATATTGCACAAACCTGTTCCTTTGGAGTAATATGGAAACGTTGGTCTGAAATGGATGAAATAGCAAAATATCACTATCGGTCAAATAAAAAAAAACCTTGTAACAAGTTCTCCGGGCAACGGAGGAACGGCAAACGGAAGGGGGGGAAACAGGGAAACGGATATTTTCAAATCACAATATATATATTTCATATTTACATTGTTATATCAGACAAATTACAGTACATTGCAGTTAAAGCAATAAGACTATTTTATTTCGATCGCATCAATGCTGAAAATTGTTTCACGCCGGCCGTTTGAGGTATGGGCACGAAGATTAAACTCCCTTTTATCCACAAACATCCTTTAATCGATAAAGAAATTAGTATATTTAATGTTTACCTAAAATTTGGCGCTGAAGAAACCTTCAGAACAAAACAAGCCAGGTTCGTTACTCCATACGACAGAAGAAAGAACATACTGACTATTGGCGCTAACGTGTTTACTTTGCTCACAAAAATAACGGCCTAGATAACAGATAAAATGTAGCTTGCCCGATGAATACAAAAACATAGTATATTCTATGAATAAAAATTCTTGAGTTAAGTCGAGATTTGACTGAATTTGGCCGCATATAATACGAAAATCCCAAACTTTTCCTCAATGACATGACTTCATTACAACGCTTGCCGACAGAGATTCTCATCTCGTAGTAAATAAACCTTTTCAAAATTTAAATTTCACACCAATTGCTTTGTAACTGACCATTTACTATACATTAAAGTTGAAGAAATCTATGCTGAAAACGCCCATTACTGTGGCCAAATGTTAATTTTCATCACTGAAAAGATCCTTGACAGACCTTGTGAGTCCTATTTACTCACTTGAACCAAAAGCCAGGATACCAGGACCGCAAACACAGGTTCGTTATTTCTTCCAAAACCTCGACCAAAAAATGACACATAGGAACCTAAGTACATGAAAAAATTTCGTTGAACTCTTGCTAAAAACATGCATATCACACAATAGACTTCCTCTATTTCCTGGTGAATAAACTCATGAAGTCGATGTCACAATGCTTTAATGGATATACTGCTTCGACAGCTTGAATTGTACAAAAAACAGCAAGTTATAAACAAACCTAAGAGATTGTCATTCGCGACAGCCTGAAGAACTCTTGAAGCGCCTTTTAAAAGACAAAAAGACAACATTTGTTTTAGCTTTGGCTGTACATCACGATTCAAAGATCATTTCGCTCTTTTAAGCTTCCTGGCTGTCGTTTGCCGTTTCTGCATGACCGAATGATATGGTTATATTTGTAATCCTAAAATATTTTCTGGAATCTTGATATTTTCACACCGAAAAGCAACTTTCATCACAGCCAGACGTTTGGGATGAGTTTTGTCAGTTAAAAATACTGTAGTTATCGTTCCAGTTATATAATAGAGTACACCGGTTGAACATCCTTGCTTGTACGAGCTCGCAATATAGACGATAATCTTTCGTATACCTATCAAACAGCTCAGCGACGCTGAAAGAGTTGCCAAAAATACTCCCATTGTTGTCAAGGCGGGAACTCTATTTATAACCTAGAAAATATAAAAAAATCAAGCGCAATGAAACGATTGAAATTATTCATATACATAGTTCGGGATTGAAGCACAACTTCGATTCCTCTATTTCAGTGATTCTCCTTTAGAGCGAGCAATTTACACACAATATAATCAATAAATATATAAATATTATTTGTGAATTTAAAGATTTTACGATATCGATAGTAAATGTATAATAAATTATTTCAGTGGGAATGAACTACTTTTGACCGAACTTTTGTTTCTATAATTTGTGTCTACACTTTTCTAAAGTAAGAAATTCCCTTCTGCAAAGAGCTAGGTTGATATTGACACGTCATATCCCTTCCGATCAAAGTAGACTGCGCCTTTGTTGACAAAAATAGGACAGTATTCGGAGAACAGAACTCCTTAAAATATTGATGTAACATGAGAAACATTGTAAAAATTGTTTGGCCCTAACTGGTTTTAAATAAGAAAAATTGTTTTCAAAAATCGACATATAGCCAATGGCGAATTATAAAATGATTTCAAACCTGTAGAAAGTTGTATTGATTCACCAGAAGAGGTCTTGTACATGTGGCACTTGTAAAAAACACTAAAATATAAAGACCAACCAAACATCATTGAATGTGTGTGTATAAATTCATTTCAAATTGGAGGCCATGTTACACGATGCAATTTTTCTTGCAACTTGCAATGCCATTCTACTTCTAAGAGATGTAAATTAGCGAAGAGTCTTGCAGAAGTAAAGTGCATGAAGAGTGTTAAACACAAAAGTTTCGTTGTTCCAAAAATATACATCTCTCAAAAGTAGAATTGCATTGCAAGAAAAATTGTACCGTGTAACATGGCCTTTACCTAGCAATAAATATATCGACAAAGTGAACGCAGACGCCTCCAAAGTTCCTCGCGGAATTGATCTCGCCGCATTCTTTAAGTCACCAGACATGTTTGCTCCAGCTAAACGGATTATAATAATTTTCATTATCGTAAGACAAACTAATCCGAGAACAAAATCATACAAAGTTTTGGCGGGAAATTTTCAATCTGGAATTTTCGACAATTTTCTTTATAATTGATTAAAAATTTTGCTTTTGTGGCTTTTAATGTAAGGGAATGGTAAGAATATAATATCTTTTCTTAATATTTTTCTGATGAAGTATCTCACCCATAATTCCTGTGACTCCATTGAACAAGACGCCAAAAATGACTAAAATTGACGGAGTTGCATCAGTTTGATAGTCCACGCTATAGTCCACCTGCCAGAGAAATGACAAAACCAGAGTTGCAAAAAGAGTTCAACCTTCCTCCGGTAGGATTTCAAGTTTTGAAAACCTTCCTCAAAATGACGTTACGTCACTGAGTCAAGTGGCAAGCTACATTTAGTCTTAATTGTAGTAAACAAGTCAATTTCACCGATGGAAAATAGTCCGGATGTAAATTTATCTTCATTCCTGTATTTAAATCGACCATTGCTGACTGCACGTATATAAAAATATTTGATTACATCAGTCACTTTGACATGTTCACAACACTCACGACTAAATGGAAACCACGCATTAGATAAGGATTATCTGCTGTCAAAACTCGACCACATTCATTGGATTCAAGGCGCTGACGAACCACCTCATTTTGTTGTCCTAATTTGTGATATGGACGTTGCAAAAAAGGGCCGTTGGACCTTGAACAAGTGTATCACCATGTTAAAGGAACAGGAGTTCATCTAGCAGAAGTATATAATTTGTATAGGGGCAGTAAAGAACAGCCGGAAAAATCATGCAAGTGAGATAACGCTCGCTTGTTTTAACAAGTTCACGATTTCCAGAATTCGAAGGGAACATCTTCCCTTCAGAATCCGATTAACTTTTATCTTGAAGGTTGTCCTCCATTATTTCAATGAAATGGAGGAACTCAAACATGATCGCTGTAGTAATATGATAATCGTTTGATCACTGGAGAAATCACGTTGAACCATATTAAAAATAATAGATAAAGTATTTCTTACCCAGAGGTTATCCCTCATCGTCGTCCAATTGAGACCGGTGTACAGAAGAGAGGGAGTCTGGTTCTGATAAACGAGAGAAAGGACTCAGTCATAAAGATTAGGGATGAATTTACTTCAACAAAATCTGACGTGGTAAACGTAAATCAATATTAAAACCCTATTCATAACAGAGGTAGTCTTGAAGACATCACGTAACCAGCTGATCTGGGTATAAAATTCAACCAATCAGAAGCCAGATCTTGGGCAAAACTGAATTATCATTTCCTTTATTGCATATGACTTCGACACTCGAAAATATCAAGTAATCTTATTATATTTATGTGAAAACACGTTTATTTTTTCCCAACTGCAAATTAGAGATTAAATTTTTCACTCTTTATACTATTAGTTGGAAGAATAAGGACAAATAACACCAGGCACATGATAACTCAGTTTTGTCGAGACGCTTTATGACGTCATGATCTCAGATCAGCTGGAAGATATATTCAAAAATTCTTACCCCGAATAGTGTATTCTCAGCAGGAACGTTGTGATAGTAAATATTCTTTTCGTGAATAAAAAAGCTTACCTGAAAATGAACCATTTCACAAAATAATTTACCGATTTTCACTGAGCCGAAAATTCATAGGTAATTTTATCATCAAAGCTAATAAACTTACGAATGAGGATACTATCGATATCATAACACCCAGCAAAATGAAAAACGTCGTCTTTGCAAACATTCCTGGAGAAGGAAACACACGAAGACGTTTCTCATAACATTTATTGATAAGAATAAACTTGGTGATGATGGACGTGATCGATTAGGAACGTATCTTACCTGCACCAACGAGACAAACGAATAAGTTGAAAAGCAAGGCCATGGATCGATAAAGAAACGCATACCAGTCGCCAGTCGGTATTCCTTAAAAAATAAGGTTAAGTTAACGTGGTTGCATGTGCCATACACACTGTCTTGATACACTGCTTTTGAAACGTTTGTGCAAAATTATGAACGGGGGAAGGTTATTCAGGGGTATATATATATTAATAATAGGGTAGCATCCATGTTACCCTGATCAGCAGCGTAGCCAGCCTGATGATCAAGTCTGGCAAAAAAAATTTTTAGGACTCCATCATTATTCGCTTCTTTGAGTAACTAATTATTTTCAGTCGATGTCCCGATTTTGAAGCTAAAGTAAATCTCTTTTATTGGATAAGGCTTACTGGACTAGCTATGATGCAAATATGTATTCTCCTGCGTATCTTGTGAAAGTTTCCTATATTTCATAATGCTAGTTTTGAGAACTTTTATACACGGAATAATGTTTATGTTGAATGGTGGTTTGAATTAGTATTACATCAAACTTGTGCATTGAAGGCTGAAATAAGGTTTGTGATAAGTGAAAACCAATAATTCAATGTCGCTTAACATATAGTAGTGTATTTTCCAGTGTCTGGAAATTCTGAGAACGAACTGCAAGCTGGATGTTCTGCGAGTTCAATGGTTTGGTTTCACAACAGCAGTGGCGTGTGTTCTTGGTTCAATCATGTCAGGCAGGTCTTCCCAAACTCGTCGCTCCAAATCAAAACATTCCACTGACTTCATATCTTCGCTTTCCGCATTCCGCCCTCCCATAACCACCACAACGTTGCCAGTTAAGACCGCTGTACAACCGCACCGCTTCTGCTTCATATTCGGCAACATTTCAGAACGTCCTGTGATGACGTCATACATAAGCACTTTACTCAAACACTGACCACGTGCATCGAACCCGCCAATCACAAGCACGTGATCTCCCCACAAAACGGTGGCCATATCTTGCACGCGGTACGGCAATGGAGGCATTTCTTTACTTCCTCTTTTGTTGAGATCATACTGGATAACACTGGCTGTGATCTTTTCGCCATCATGCCCTCCAAAAATGAACAATTTCTGCTGGACCATTTCCATGCCATGATTGGACCTTGGTTGCGGTAATCTTTTCAAGATCTTACTGGAATATGGCCGAACCAATTGTATTTCGTAGACAGCATCAGAGCGACCTGTCTGGGCAAAGCCTCCGGAAAGGAACAACGAATCCTTGTGGCAGACGACTTTATGGGCTGAGCACTTTACGGGAAGCTTGGCAGAGAAATCTTTCCATTGTGCAGATGGATTCGTAACGTTCAAGCATTTCATCGTTTCCTTGTTACCACCACTACCGCTGCCTCCAGCGACCATCATCTGATCTTGGTACCAAAACGAGCACAAATAAGAGCGACCATTGAATTCGGCACGGCTCAGACGTGTCCACGTTTTGTCCTCCCAGTCGAAACACTCCGTGCATTTATTCATAACCCGACCCCCCCTGTGTTGTCCTCCTACTAGGAAAATGTTCTCCCTTCCGTCTGGAGTGGGACAAGTTGCTTGCGAGCTTTGCTGATTTTTCGGTCCAAAATCAATACCTTTTATCCCGGTCACTGCGTCTTGGACAGCTTTCGTAACTATCTCCTTCAATTCATTTTGCATTCCCACTTTCATTTCTTTCATTTCATCTTCCACTTTTTCTTTCAATAACTTCATTTCATTTGTCATTTCATCTTTGAATAGCTTCATTTCATTTGTCATCCCATCTTTCAATAACTTCATCTCATCTTTCATTTCTTCTTTCAATAACTTCATCTCATCTTTCATTTCTTCTTTCATCTTTTCCACTTTTACTTCTATTTCACTTTCCATATCCACCTTCATTTCATTTCTTATCTCATTCTTCACTTCCTCTTTCAGTTCTTTTGTTATTTCATCTACTATTTCATCAGTTAGACCAACCAATTCCCGTTTCATCAGTACTTCCATTTCTTCTTTCATTTCTCTCATATCATCTTTAATTTTTTTCTTAATTATGCTTTCCATTTCAATTTTCATTTGATCTTGACGGACCATCATTCTATTTTTTATATCTTCAACCCTCTTCTCCAGCCGTTCACAATCATGGCATCTCCTAAAACCACATACCTCAGTCTCATGATGAAGCTTGTCCCTCGCATTCACGACAACATTACATCCATCATTAGAACACTGGACGGGAGAGAATCCACAACTTTCAACGTGACGTTTGAGTTCACCAACTTGAACCATTTCAGGGCAACCTCTGGAGTTGAAATCACAACGAATTTTTAGCTCAGAAAGAAAATTCGTCACGATTTTCGGAGCCGGCTGTAGTGTCTCAACACTGAGGTAAATACGACAGGTCGGGCAACTCTCCGACTCCTCTAAATGCCTCTTTATACACGAAGAACAATAGTGATGTTCGTTCTTGCACATGACAGGATCTCTAAGAACCAGCAAACAAATCGGGCATTGAAACCTGTCGCTGATGACAATTTCAAAGCGATCATTTTCATACCCAAGCATATCATTACTGCACGCCATTACTTCGTCCTCTCACAACCCCAAAAAATAAAGTTGATGTCAACAGCTACATAACTAATAACTTTAACACCTGACGCTTTCACATCATGAATCTAACAAGCACACGACGATGCTTTGTTGTTTAATGTTCAATTACACATTATTAAAACAACAATATTGAAACCGGATATAAAATCACGTGACGCCAATAGTGCGCGTGATGGCAGGGTTCAAGGAAAGTCTGATAACTTGTGCTTGTATTTCCTGGAAATCGTGGATTTGTGAACGCAGTGAGATATTTATGATAGTTGGCAATCCATTATTGTTGTACGACACATGAATAGAATGAGGTTTGAGAAACGGATCAGGCAGAAAGCAAGATTCGAGTTTTCCTTCTGTCGCGGGGCAAAAATCCGAAAAATGCATTACTTGAGACAGCACTGCGTGATCGAATTACATTAAATAATCTTTATTATATTCACTTTATAAGTCACTGGAGCAACTTTAAGAGATAAATGATAAATTTGTCGGGCGAAAATATGTTAGAAAAGAATTTCCACTCATATTTACGATATAAGAAAAAAGCAAGAAAATTAATTTTATACTATACACATAATGCATAATAAATCAAGCCTCTCGGAAGTCCAATTTCCACAATAGCTATATGCTTCAAAGTGGGCACTAATATAAGAAATACAGACTTGTTTTGATGAGGTATATCTGTTTAAATTAAGGTTTATGTTTTTTGAGCAATCTGGTTGTTCACCAAAGAATCTGGTTGTAGAACAATAAACAACAGTCCACACCTACCGTTACCATGGATTAAACCGCCTGTATTCTTGCCAAATGCACTAGTCACAGCCTCGCTAAATCCTGAGAGAAATAAAGTGAAATAGCCTCGTGAACAATCGTTCTCAGTAACGAATATGAGTTTATACGAGTACGAAATTTGTCATTTTCCTGCCAAATTTGGTGCTGTTTGCTTACGCCATATGACGAACTCGTAGTTGTTGGGCTTTTGGACTTTAAAATAAACTCGTACTCACAATTCAAAAGCTCGACGGCTACGAGTTTTGCACGATGGCGTGAGCAAACAAGCGAAAAACAATGATTTTTGTAACCGTGTAGTCACTGCTAAAGCTTCTAATAACTTAGACACAGGTGAAACCAGAGATATCAATATTTTGGCTGGGTGCTAGAGAATTGTAGTGTCCGGAATATCATACTACGGAAACTCACCAATCAAATACAGACCAGATGATACGATGTTAGCAACATAAAATATGACCCCAATCGAGCCGCCAAACTCTGGTCCTAATGCTCGGCTAATCATGACTGTACTTGGTGTTAAGTCGATAATGTGGCAATAAAAACATACAAATGATACAAATTCATGAGACATTAGATGATCCATTTAGAATATTGGGGTGTGGTCTTGTCATTATCATTACAAAGCTGTTACCAAATTTTGCAACACAGTGCTGGATTCTATTTGCACCCCACAAAAATTTGTGCAAAGGATACAATAAACACCGCCTACTTTTACATTTCCATTTGTTGAAATTGCCGAAACAGAAAGGGTAGTCAGTCCTGTGACGAAATATGCCACAAATAATAGAGCACAAGTCACGACAAATCCAACCTACATAATTGGAGAAATGGGGTTATTAGAGAAATGGGACTATTAGAGAAAGTGTGTAATTGGAGAAATGGGTTTATTAGAGAAATGGGTTATTAGAGAAATGGGACTATTAGAGAAAGTGTGTAATTGGATAAATGGGTTTATTAGAGAAATGGGTTATTAGAGAAATGGGACTATTAGAGAAAGTGTGTAATTGGAGAAATGGGTTTATTAGAGAAATTATGAGGGATGGGCTTATTAGAGAAATAGGGTGATTAGAGAAATAGGGTAAAGAAATGGGATTATCAAAATGGAGTTATTAGAGAAATGGCGTTATCAGAGAAATGGAAGACAGAAAAGCAAGTCAGAAAATAATAACTAAGTTGATACACCATGCACAAACCAATACACCAACCTGGCCTATAACATAACCAACGCGTTGAAAAAGAATAATACTGAACATTGACAGAGTACATGGGATAATGACGCCAAAGAATGTTGACAAGTGCCCATGTTGATTTGAATCTACAATAAATTTTACAAAATAGTAAATTCAGGAGTGGTAAATAGTAAATTCATTTATTCAGCTATATTTACATGGCTAAGAGTCCCCAAAATGGAAAATCTATGATGTGCTGGCCAATGATTCATAAACGCTGGTACAAAGCATCACAGATTTACATAACTCCATTGGAGAGTTTGCAAAGAATCTGTAACTACCGAATGATAGAGGCAATCTTACACATACTTTACTAAAACAACAGATTCCTGTCTCTTCATGAAGGATATATACACAAGAGGGCAATCAGTGTCAACTGTTTTCTCACTTTTCTGTGATAGTTAAACAAAATCTAGTTTGTAACCCAATGTTATTCAGCATCAAACTTCCATAAATTCAATTGTCTGGCTTCAGGATATTTAGTATTAATAAAACCAAATAAAAATGTATGATATAATAGAATAGGAACAAGTATACACTTGATGTAAACCGTATTTATAGCAACTGCGACACTGTTACAACAATATTGAAACTACAGAGATTCCATTGTGTACACTTTAAACCCTGTAAATTATGAGGCAAAAATATAAAATATTTTTAAACCGGGAAAAAATTCCCTTTAATATTTGGCAGAGATGAGGATTCAAAACCATTTCAAGTTTGTCAACCTTATGATGCTCACGTGAGATGTGGTATAAGAGCTAATGCTCTTGAGAAATCAGAGAAGTCTGAGTATATAACATCGGTTCGAGGCAAATTACGCAGCGATCATACCTCGATTTCTTACGGTTAAGAGCGGCGTTTCTTCTCCAACACTATTCATCCCTACAGTGCAAGTATCACCGTCAGTTGAATCTTCAGAAGTATTTATTCTCTGATTACTAGATCTTGACATTTTCAGTTCCTGCTGCCGCCTGCAACGATTGTTTTTATTAAATCCTCGTGGCTTTGTTTTCCGGTACCCCCCTGGATTAATAGAGTGCCCAGATAGCGCTTCCCCCCCTCCAAAACAAACGAGAGTTTTCAACCCAACCTCGTATCCAGGGTCTTCTGTGTTCATGACGAGAGTGACGAGAGTATTATAAAAGTTATCCTGGGAACGAGGTTAAAAAGTTATTCATCGAGGATCTAATTCATGGGATCTAATTTTGAAAATTGAAATCATTAGTTTCAAATTCGTTTTATACGGTTCGGTTCGTTGAAAATACCTCGGATACCAGTGTCTATCTTCTCCGTTTACGATTTTCGTTATTACACAACACAGCGTATGATTGGTCAATTTGTAACCGGATGCATATTTAAAGGTGTTTCGAGGAACTGAGTTTCTGGGAATTACAGCTGGTATTGCGGTAATGTTTTTTCGATACACCGTCTTGTGAGTACAGACAAGTTGCATTTGTAGACAATGTCGAGGCCGCCAAAGCGCCAATGTGTTTTAAATCGAGAAAGTACAAAGCCCCAGTCGGAGAATAACCCATCTTATGCGAAGAACTATTCGCGGGTTAGCAAGGAATGTATTTCCATGCTTATAGCATTATGGATGCAAGACTTTGTCGACGATGATGATGAAGGTACGGCAAATCAAGTTCATCAACACAAAAAAGTCGGTGCAGTGCTTGTGCAACCAGATGGCGATGTGATTTTAGGAGCAGATTGTTCTCGAGGCGATGTACACGCTGTAGTCAGACTGTTGACGACCCACCACGACAAAGCCAAGGGCTGTAAAATGTTCATCACTCGAAAGCCATGCTCGTGGTGTACGAAGCTTTTGGTTCAATCCGGAGTTCAGTGCGTTTTGTATCTTCCCTACGAGCCAGAATATTACGAATCGCCAAACAAGAAGACTCGCAAAGAAAACAAAAAGATAGACGCAGCCAATAGTATATATACGAAGGAAGTGGACAAGCTTTTCAGTGCCAGCCCCATTGGCCACACACCCTTTGTTTTTGAAGTGGATAAATCTATTCTGCAACACGCCGCACAGAAAAAGCCTTTAAAAACTAAAAGCAAGAAACTTATCAGAAAAGAAAAAGAAAGATTAAGGGACAGGTTCAGCTTAGACGAAAATTGGATGAAATCTATTGAGAAGGAGTAAAGGAACAAATTCAAGTCTGGTTCGACAACGCTATGCACTGGGTCGCACGAGCTAATGTCATATCATGCCCATGGTTGAATTACGAGTTTAAACTCAGTAAAGATTCAGAGAAACGCGATAAATTTGATCCAGTCGGTAATGGCATCCATAAAAAGCAAGCACGCCTTTTGATGACCATCGCAAGAATTTTAGCACAGCGCACAGACGACCCGAAAACTGGTGTTGGCGCGGTGATTTTGAGTCGAAGTTCCGATCGCAAGATTCTCTCGTTTGGCTGGAACGGGTTCCCTGCCAAAGCACGTTATGGCGAATTTCCAAGAGCGTCGAAGCACGACGAATCTGACTTGAAGAAGTATCCGTATGTAATTCATGCAGAACAAAATGCTATTTTGAAACGAAATGAGGAGAAAATCGAAGGTGCTATTTTGTTTGTCACCAAAACGCCTTGTGATGAGTGTTCGCCTATCTTAGCCATGCACGGTATTGGAACAGTTGTTGTCGACGAGGATGTCATGTCTTGCAAGGAAAAAGATGGTTATAAAAAGTTTCCCGACTTGGTTGAAAAGGGCAAGTTCACTTGTTACGAAACAACAGAAACAGCAGAAAGAGAAAAATGAAGCTTTGAAGCGGTTAAAGCCTTTTAAATGTAAACACTGTCTGTGTGGCAAGATTAGATTTAGTTTCCAACAATGTAATGACAAAAAGTAGGACTGCAACACTACAACCTACTATAGAATACGTTTGTGTTTGACTTTAATTAAAATTTCACGACTGCAAACTTGTGCATAAGTAATAATAGCATGCATCAGTTAATTAATGGTAAAATCATATAGAAACAATTTTATGTACAGACTATATCGTGAGTATAGACTGTAATGGGTGGAACGTTTTAGATCAAGACATTTAGTTGCACGAATTTTAATGTTTTTAAGAAAACTACAAATGCACATTAAACATAATATATACCAATATATACCATGTAATTGTGAATTTTAGGTAAACAATATATTTTCATGTATTGAGTTTTCATTTTTTATATACCAAGGGTTGGTACCAAAGAGAAATGGGTTGGCTAAGTCAATTTCTAAGAACGAAATATAAAAGGTTAGGTAAAACGTTTTTCAACAAAGCCAAGATGGTTGGGTGAATTAGTTTGGCATTGGATCTCTTCCCCTCCCCCCCCCCCCCCCGTCATATCCTGTTAAACCCTACCTTAAAAATAGATCGAGTTAGAACGAGGTGAAAAGGTTTAATTGTAGGCCTTTCATATAGAATGAGGAACCGCAAGATTTTCTTTCTAAAGATCAAACAATAGAAGAAACTAACTTAAAAAAATAAAACATGTTTTTCTTTTAAAAACGATTTAACTAAGAATCGTCTTCATCACCGCTGTCTCCCATCTTGTATCGTTTCGATTTCCCCAAACTCAGGTCATCTTCATCGTATTCATCATAATCTCTGCCGTAGAAAAACTCGGCCCAGATCATGCAGTGGTCAGATGGCACTCCTGGTACACTCTTACTGCTGTTACTGGGAATCCATTGATGGGTTTGACCCTCACGACAAACACCTAAAAAATGCCCGATCGTTTCATTATTTGCTCAGGCAAACAGCATGACTTTTGCAATATTTACTGAGCTTTCAGATGGGAAATTCACCTTATGGTAGATGTTAAAGAGTAAGAATGTTTACATGGAAAGTACTGACTTAGGAGGGATAAAAAAGCTAATTTTTGAAAGTATGGATTAGGGCGCAGTCAGACCGAAAAGTTAGGAAAGGTACCATCATTTTACAAGTTAAACAGCTGTTTACAAAAGGAAAAATGCCTCTGTCTCAAGAATTGGGTCCGGACGCAGATGATGTACTACTCACCAGAACGTCCGGTATACTCTTGTCTATCAGCTCTCCCAGATTGTTTAATCCAGATGTTGTCGTACGTCATCGAGCCTTCGAGGTTTGTCGGACTGATGTTGGTGTGTGTACCATCTTGAATAGCGTTCACAAATTTAGCGTCGCGGAAATCATCGAACGCTACACAATAAGAAACAGTAACATTGTAAAATCTGGATGCCTTAGAGCGTGCACAGTTGACTAAGTTCGAACACGATTAAGTAATTATTGCCAGTTTTCATTTGTAACGTGTAGACAGGCATATTTCTCAACACAATCTATTCCAATATAACCAGGGAGCAGCGTGGCAGCGTCTTCAAACAACTTAGTATCAAATGTGGTATAACAACTGCCTAAATAGACAAAACACTTCTCGACGTTTCGACCTGAGGGCCTTCGTCAGGAGAGTTAGTTAGTCTATTTCAGTCGAGGATAATAAAGATCTAATTTGTTTACACAATAACTTCGGCGAAAATCTTTGTAACACTGATACCACAGGATATTGCATTAAAGGTAAATAAATATCTGCTAAAGATGAATCCATAGATTCGAAAAATGCAGATTTAAAATTGTGTAATGTGAAATTATGCAGACCTTTTTCGGAATAACTTTAATCACGTTTTACTTACATTCATCGGTTGGCGTAAGATTAAAATCACCAGCAACCATAATATCGTCTTCTCCTGCAAGGAATACCGTCTTATGAGCGATAAATTCGAAAGACCGCACCTTTGTGCACATTCATTTCAGTGTTGTCCAAGAAAAGTGGGGTTAGATCAATAAACAAAACTAAACACGGTACGTTTTATTGCAAGCGCTTGCATACTGGCTTAAAATTATCAAACTTGGCGCATAAAACTTCCTCTTTCGTGAACTAAATATGATTGAAGTTAACAACCTTGCTATATAATCGGCAGGGCCGAAACTAGAACGATAATTGCAGGGGGGGGGGGGTGGGGGTGTTTATACATATATTCAGTTCTGCCCGACCGATTACTTTTGTAACCTATTGCACTTACAAAAGAAATCCGTCGGGCAGAACTGAATATATTCGACCCTGATAATCGGTCTCAGTGATTTCAAACTTTCCAACCTACCTGGCATGCTTTCACAGATCGCCTCGAATATATTTGGTATGGTGTCGATCTCACCCTACAGAAAACGAAGAGGTATACATGAAACAAATAACAGCTTAAGTTAACTCTTTTACTTCCAACATATTCAAAATCATGAGGAACAAACATCACCATTTTGACTTAATATCCAAACCCATCTATTCAATATCCAAACCCATCCATTAATATCCAAACCCATCCATTAATATCCAAACCCATCCATTGATATTCAAACCCTTTCATTAATATCCAAACCCATACATCCATTAATATCCAAACCCATCCATGGCCTAAAGGCCTTAACGATGTTTTAACCTCTCACAAACCTGTAATCGTTCGATATCTTCATTTTCAAGTCCTGTTGCCTTTAAATGAACGCTGAGCATAACAAAATCAAATCTGTAAGCCTGAAAGAAGTGAATGGACCGTTTTAGTTGAAAGCATATCGTAATACATACTCATCGATCATGCAGTGAGCAAGATTCACCCCAGACTCCCTCTCGATTGCCCTTACTCGATCCCAGTCCCTAGGGTTGTGCGAAAATTGATTGCTTTCGAATTCGTCTTCCCAAGATGCATGAAAGATGCATCCTACCCACTGATCAATGAGTATATAAATTATCTGTCTGGTTTCAAGGGGGGGGGGGATTAGCCCACCTTGAAATATCCGATGAATGGTTTTCGTGCAAAATCTTTCTTTTCCCCTCTTCTCCGTTGTTTTCTCTCCAATAAACCATGATCTTTCAGTTCAATCTTACGGCTAGTATCCCAGAGAAAGCCATTGCGTTCGGATGCCTTCAAGCAGATAATATCATCAGTTAAAATCACATTAGCACTGTACCCTCTGCGAGCGAGCAGGGGCTGGTTGTTCGAAAGGAGTTTAGCTTAAACGGTGGATAAGTCCAAAATGGAAAACAAAATTATCTATTTATTGAACAACTGAGCTGAAATAGTTTAATGTAAATAGTTAATTTTTAATGGAAGTGCATATTTAATACACAAGATGCAGGTAACATTGGCTTATCCACTGTTCAAGCTAAACGCTCGAACAACCGGTTCCTGGACATCAGATCAATGCAGAAACTGGTAAAGGACAGCGGTTATGCCAGAGGTAATCCGCCTCAAGATTCGTTATTCGCCGAGGGTACGCGCCGAAAATACTGCTTTGAAATGTGTAATCTCCATGAAACTACATTTTCACTGAGCATTCTGTATCAATCACTTTTGAGAATCCCGGCAACATTTATCTGGAAAACGTTTCCAAGTCCAGGTTTTAAAATTTCCCATTTTGCAATGAGAAAATACCCAATTTGGACTTAGATAACCCTGGGCTATACGTCATCAAAGAAACAGCAAAATAGACAACAGCCCTCGGGACTTATGACGCACAAATTTGTCCGATGAAATTTTGACTGGGACGCCAGAAGATCGATAATTGGGGGGGGGGAGGCATATATTCATATGAATCAATTTCACAGACCGTAAAAACAATCCATTTCAAAAGAAACCAATAATGCAGAACTCGAATATATGAAATATGCCCCCCCTCCAATCATCGATGTTCCGTCGTGCCTGAATTTTGAACCCAATTACATACTCTGTACATCCTGCCCGCGACCTCGGACGTCACGCATTCCCATTTTCCGCGATGTCCTGTCCAGCGCTTGAGATTTGGTGTCGTTGGATTGTTTAGCTCATCTCGTATCTGGTTGAAAACAAATATTTTAAACGTCAACGTGGAAGATTGTGAGAATGGTACTTTCATAACAATGTCAACTTATGTATGTATCTCACGGATACCTAAGATGGCTGACCAAGCGATGCAGTTGAGGCTGTAATATCGCGCAGTTTGACATCATATGTAGCAAAATGCTATACACAAAATGACTGACCGCAGGTCAAGAGGCGTAGCAGGTGGGGTCGGGGCACTGGGGTGAAAGCAGTGCCCTTGGAAAAGTGTCCTTGCCACAAAATGGTTCGAAAAATTGCTCTTTCAAAAGTGTGCTTCACTGCCAATTTGAGAATTTCTCAGAGATTTTCCCTGTTTGAGAAGTATTCCGGAAACTCTGAGCCCCCCCCCCTCCCTGCCTCTTTTCCCCGCTACCATATTAACTCGTTTTCCACCGCTTTGAGTGGCTTATGGTCTCGGTTGCCTACGAAATATTGATCCGCTCTTGTCTTTACTGACAAGATTGCCACATATCTTACAAGCATACATACATGCTAGCGACAACAGCTAAGTGCTCATTTCCGTCAGGGGCGTGGTTTACAAAAACGACGCAAAGGACCCATGTCACAAGCTCAAAAATATGAATATTGTGACAACAGGTATGATCAACGAACCATTTTCCAGTTCCTGCCTTTAGGCTTCGTCAATCTTTAACTCACGCGGGAGATTCCATAAAATTGTTTCATTATATTCAAAGGTTTTGCTTAGAAAGACACCGGTTCTTAATTTCAAAGAACTGATAGATTTTACTAGCTACATGCATTATTTAATCAAAAAGATTATCTTTGATGATGTGGTGGTGTTGGTATAGTCACTATTTAATGTTTCACATTTTATTCACTCACCATTTCTAAAGCTCCTTCTTCGGCCAACTCTTGTGCGGCCAAAATGCTTATTCTAAAAGCATTGCAAAGAACGTAAGTTAGAAATAATACTTTAAATGCCGAAATCGATTAACAGAGAATGCATGCCAAAAGCTTAAGTATTAAAAAAAAGAAGAAAAATCAGATATCAACACCAATACTATAGACCAGTAATTTGTACGCATGAGCGAAAAGGTATTAGCACAGTCTGTAACAGGCTAACAGCTAGTTTTATACATCCAAAAAATACTGCATGGCTTTCAAACTGAAAACTGTTTCATTCAAAGGAGACTTATTGTCCTCAGAATAATGAAATGGTCAGCAATAAATTGCGGAAGCTTTCACTATATACTATCACATATATATATGTATAGTTTTGGGCAGAATGACAAACATTTATACTACCGTCGGGAAATCGAAGGTGTGTTTTATGTGAAAAACAAGCGTCATTTTTTCAGTTCTAAAAGGATTGCCGCGTATTTGAACCACAGCCAGCAAGTATAGAATGGTTCGTTCTGATGGAGTCAGTGAACAGTTGTAAACAAGTCTAATCTCACGAACTAACCATGCATGCATAATAGATCTGCAATGTTTTTTGAAGGTGTTTTGAATAAGTTTTGCTGCAAGCTAATTCATGACACGGTATATAGCTAATGTCAACCTATTGGTTGACAATGCAACCAGCTTATCCATGTGCACTGCCGGGCGCACAAGCCGCACATGACCCAATTTTCGCAATGGTTTATTTTGTGTTTATATTAAAACAAATGATCCGTTTAAAACGGGCCGATATTTATTATCGACACACGGAATTTTCAATTCATTGCCGTAGCGTCCTACCTCCTAACCTTTGAGGCGAGACGGCCAAGTTTTACTTATTACGAACAACACAAGTATGAATAAGACAAAAGGTCATGTTTATACCAGTAATACCACATCTCTGAGCGTGAAAAAGGCCAAGGTTTCGCCGTGTAAACGCACATTGGCCTGTAGTTATGAAATCTAACCCATACACGCAAAACAAAGCATAACAACGCTATAGACGGGTGGTCTAGATAGCCCTAGGTCACGGAATAAAACGCTTCTCGCTAAATCTACGCCATGCAGAGAATTCAAACGAATAACCGTCACGTTTTAACACGACTGGGACTTAAAATATTTACCTAATTCAGCACAAAAAGCTTTCGTCTTATATTTGTTCATTAGACGACCACTTCGACTTCGTCGTATTAGGATTAAATTCCGCGCCATTTTTGAAACGTTTATCGAGCGTTATTGACCGCTATCGATGATAGAACACATAGACTTGAACTAGAGCAAGTTAGTAATCTAAGTTACCTAGTTGAACTCATACGAGCACCTTTCGTTCCAAAGGCATTGTCATAAGATAAAATAGATGTATGTATGAGATGCATGTAATAATTAAGTTCAGAATGCGACAGGTATAAGATTAAGAGCTACATATTCTGCAGGTATGCACCAACATGACACCATGCAGACCATTAAGGTAATCTTTAAGATCAATTACAGTGTGTAGAACTGTCTCGTTCTTTAAAAATAATGTTTCAGTTTACTGTTTATATTCTTGTTGTATATGGTTGCCCTTGTTAGGACTTAGGAGCTGGATTAGCCAGGTATTCAATAATGGCACGCTTCAACTACATTCGTATACATCATATAATGCTATTGATGCATGCTCACGGGAAACGTACATAGACAAAATCGCATGCAGTGCTTGTGGTTTACATGGTCGACGTTGGGCTTGGCTGACAGAAAGCATAGAAAAGCGACCTTTATTTATGTCGCGTTTATTTCTGTTTACTAATGTTTCTTTTACAAATCCTTTGTCGACATTTGACCTGACGTAGTAATGCTTCGATGTTTGAACATATTACATTTGTAAAGACAAGGCAGTATTTCTTACCCGTGTTCCAAAATAGTCATACAAATGACTTCTCTGACACCAGGATTGTTTGCTTTCTGCTTTGTGAAGCTAAGCATGTTATAAGAACCAACTCTTATCACCGTTCTGCCTTTGTATTTCGAGGGAATTGCTTCGACGGGCTTTCGTTTCTGCACGGTCAAAGGCAACCTAAATGCCTCGACAATCTCATCGCTGGTTAACAGAATCACTTCTTCTTCTTCTTCTTCTTGAATTTGTTCCGCCATAATTCACTCTCGAGTTTTCTTTCGCCTAAGACGAATTAGCAAATACGTCTTTGTTATGCAAACTACACGCGTGTAAACACAGAAATACTAAATTTTACGATGAAATATTATACCGGTGGAATGTGCGTCATTCTTTATCTTTGCATACGTATATATATATAAATTTAAATGTATAATCAGGGTAGGTATTAGGTAGGTATGCGTCGTAGTCGAGTGAATAGCGGCACAATGGGTCATTGAAAAAAAATGAATAATCAAAGACCTATGATGGTTTTAGACGTCCGTCGTCTTCTCTCTGTTTACAACGGGAAAACGTGGTTTTTCACGTCTTGCCTAGAACGGTTGCATTTCAGGACCCAGCGAGCCCCACCTCGGTCCTCGAATTAGGCTCTATAGAATGGTCCTTAAACATAAGCACAATGTTTTTAACGCCTTATACTCACTAAATCGGTACAATTAATAATATACAACAACAGCTTTGCTATAGCATTTATTTAAACGAGAATTTCAGCTGCGTCGTCGTCGTGTTGCCGTCCAACATGCTTAAGGTCCCTAATGATAGAATAACCGCCGGTATTAAATATTAGATACCTTGGGTACCTGTGACCATTTCATCCGTGCCTGGCCTTTCTTTTGGTAGCCTGAACACTAAAAATCCATACTAGCCGTGCCCTGCCAATAAATTGAGTATAGACTATAGTGTGAACGGTGCCTTATTCGCACCGGAACCAGCGATTTGATAGTAATTATGGTGCCGGTTGTTCGAAAGGTGCATGGTTAAAGTTATCTCCGGAATAGTGACTTTTTGAACCGTCGTAAAAAGCTTTAAAAAACGATAAAGTTACTTATATTCAATTTATAATCGGTGAAAAGTATTTCAACTTCAAAATTGTGAAGTTCAATCTTGAAGTTCAATCCATGCCAAGTGCATGGTGAGGATTTTTCTAACGTTTGAAATAATCACTATCCAGGGGATAACTTTATCCATCTTTCCAACAACCTGCCCCTGGCCTGCAGTTTAGCATAGACATTAGAGATCAAACATTTCAACTGAGCAAGATAAAGCAAGAAATATAATTGTTCTGACAGCTCTGTTCTTGCTTACTTTGTAAAAACAGAGTAATGTCTTTATATTATACAGAAGTCTCACTCTTTGTATTTTGAGTCTGATATTTTTTGAGAGTGTGACGCTACCTAACGCAAGCCAGATACGCGAGCCCACGAAAGCAACACACCCTCGCGAGGCAGTTGACTCAGCCCGAAAACCATCCGCACATGTGAGAAACTTGCCTCTCGAGGCGAATTCCTCACGAAAACTATCCGCACACGACAAAAAAACTTTAGCTCAGCTATAAAAGCTCTCGTGTGCGGCGGGCTTAAGCTTTTCAATTGCGCGTAGTGTAAACGGGGTTTCAGGCTAGCAAAACAAAGGCCAGGCAGGCACGGATGATTTGGGCACGGGTATCCATTTTAGGCCCCGCCGTGCCAATGAATTGAGTGTGTAAACGGTGCTTTAGTGTAAACGGTGTTTTAATTGCTACAATATGTAATGAGAATTTTCCCCCACGGGCCGTGAGTCGGTCCTTACATCTCAACCGCCAGCCTCTGCAACCAGTATAGATATCCCAATATATTAATAGATATCCGCCAATATATCAAGATATATCAATAGATATCCCAACAAGGCAGCTTTTCAGCACGAAGAAACTAGAGAAAATAGTCAAAGCTGATTTTTAAAAGGCTATCCAAGGCCGTGCGTGATGTACTGAGTATACAACGACAATAATATTACAAATTTAAGAAATCACTAATCTATACGTTCTTAACTACAATTTCTATAATGATATTGTATATTCAATTGTAATCACACATAATGAATATATTTAATTGAATATATTTATTAATCATTGTAGGTTATATGCAAGGGCTACTTTTATTGTATCTTTAAGGCTGTATCTTCCACTCGTCCCAATGGTGAACTCGGAGCCTCGCTGGTATTCATCCATTGAAAATGCTTTGATTGATTTTAATTACATGCAAACACTCGCAGCGATGTTCCCAGTGGGTTTTCGTGATGAGTGGAGAAGGGCCTTTAGTTTTTATATGCATTTGTTGACCTACATGTTAAATAGTAATAAAAATTTAGAAGCATTCAAAATTTTTAGCCTTAACCCAGGACCGCCACTGTCGACAGCCTATTCGGAAAAGGCTAGTCCTTTAAAAGGCAGTTTAAAGTGTTACCTGTCCCAAACAACTAATGTAATTGTTCATTTTGACAGAAACTATCTGAACAACTGTCTCATCAAGTGTTCTGTCCTGTACCAATTCCTGTTCAGGCTGCTCGCCATTGGCATTGCCTTCACCATCATCACCATTATCACGATCATTCTCACCATCACCATCATCACCATTATCACCATCACTCTCACCATCACCATCATCACCATCATCACCGTTATCACCATCATTCTCACCACCATCATAAGCTGTGTTATCAGGACGAATAACCAAAATAGTTTTAGCTAAATCTGGATTATCTTGCACCATACATTAAACATTCATTTTGATTTCCTCTTTCCACGCTGCCCTCCAGTCTTCACCATTTCTTGCATCTATTATTAAATTGTATGCATATGGGAGAGCGCCAATCATCAACGATATCAGAAGACTATTTGTGGATGTAACATCGATTTTTCTGAGGGTTTCAAGTTCTTCGTAAAGAATTGTCGAAAGCGGAATGATCAGAGTAGCGACTGTGACACTGTAATAGAAGAAGCTTTTGTGGTACGGAAGGAGCCTTTCTCTGATTTTATAATAGAGTTTCCGGGAAACTACAGGCACAAGTTTTGTGTTACGGCCTTTCTGATGGCGAATTGTCTCTAAATGTTTCTCCTTGTAAGCATTATCTCGACACTCTTCGTAAATCATTTTTTTCAATGCAAAATATTTTTCTTCATACGGCTTCCAGAAGTTAAAGGAATAAAAAGCCATCACAGCGAAAAGTGCAATGTAAGGAATGAAGTAAACAATGTTGAAAAGTATCCCCATGAAGAGTGGTGGCACGACAAGGTAAAAGAAAAGAAATGAAAAAAAAGTAAGATGTGCGAGGGGGATTACTGTTAAAAAAACCAAAGAAGCACCTCTGCTTGTAAAGGAGAGGAACGTGATTGGAAGAAGAAGAATTAACAACGAGATGAAGACAACAAAAATATAAAAAAAATAAATGAAAGGGATAAAGATGTGAAATGTACATTTCTGATACAAATTATTGCAATATCTTTGATAACTAAAATAGAACTTCACAATAGAAACCCTCCATCGTTTGATATTCAATGTCAAAGAAATAATTTTAATCGTGTTGTCAAATGTTGTTTCGCTTGCCCAATTCATGTCACGAATATCGTATTCCAAGTGATTGTTTAGGAAATTGATGATAGAGGTACACAATTCAGGTAATATTTCTTCAAAATTTCGAAATGATCTCATGGTAAGAAAATCGAGGGGAAAAAGACAAAAAAGCAAAACGACTAGACTAACGTAAACCAGTTTGTTTACCGCAGGGAATCAGTTACTCAACATCCAGAAAACCACCAATCCGAGAATGCTAAATAACACAAATTTACGAGCGAAAGATTTCATGCACCCACATTCTTCCCAAATAACACGGGTAATAACAGAAGATAGAGACATGGGGCTTTCTGTCAGCTTGTAATACTCAAAATACTTCTGGCGCTGCTGTTGCGCAGAAGATGAATATATGACTCTGCTCAGCCAATAAGAGAAGAGAAAAGAAAGCATGCATATGGTCGCAAAATATAATATGAAAAATGAATTTGAGGATACTGGCTTTCGAAATTTTCTCACTTCATGACAATTAGTTTTACTGGGATAGTTTATAGACTTGCAGCATCTTTGAGGTGAGTTAACATGGGGTCGATAACAAATTTCGTGAGTTGTTAGTTTGCTGTTACCTTGAAGCTGTTGCAATAAACTGTCCACAAAATCCAGGCTACTGAGATTTCGACCAACACATCCTTCATGACTTATATTGGCATGTAGTTCAAAGCTTCGACGGCCAGCGTTCAATGTCGAAGTGAAGTCTTTACTATCACTGAAAAGATACGAGTCAAGCCACAATGTAATTTTTAACCCAACCATGTTAACCAGTGTTAATTGCATACGATGAAATATTGTTTCATTAAAATCACTGTCAACAGAGAAATGAAGATCCACGATGTTTACGAGCTTGCTTTCAAAGAGTTCACCCAGTCGTGAAATTTGAGCCTTGTCTGTCAGATGAATGCAGTCGTTGATAGAACTCTTGTTTCCATTCCTTGTTTCATTGCTCGCAAGAGCACATGTGAATATGAAAAAAGACACAATAAAACAGTATAAAAGTGAGAACATATTGCCCATTCACTTTAAGCTTTTGCGCACAGAAGTAAAGGATATAAGTGAATACGAGACGAGGGTATAGACTAAGACATACGTATATTACTTTTTCACTTTGACCAAGCACGGAAGTAGACGAATGCAGGATATGAGTAACATGAGATTATGGGATGGCATAGTCTTAAAACCCGGTCAAACGAGAATGGGAGTTGAGAGTTTGCAGGACAGTTTCCAAACTCTTGTGCGATGGTCAAATGAGAATAGGAGACTGGGGGTTGATGAGAGTTGAGAAGCGAGATTTGACCGGATATTACCGCGCGCCTAGCCGGGACTATTTTATACTATTCTGTAATTATTTTCTACTATTTTCCTGACAAGCAATTGGTCTTAATTGCTACAGTAATATGTGATGGGAATTTCCCCCACGGGCCGTGAGAGTGTCCTTACATCTCTACCGTTAGTCTCTGCAACCAGTTTTATTAGATATTCCAACAATGTAGTTTTTGAGCAGAAAGAAACTAGAGTAAATAGTCAAGGCTGATTTTTAAAAGGCCATCCAAGGCCGTGCATTTACTGAGTATAACGACTATGATATTATCATATTACAGATTTAAGAAATCACTTATCTATACATTCTTCAGTATAACTTCAATTTCTATAATGATACTGTATACTAAATATTTAATCTTACATACTGAATATATTTCATTATTATCAAATGAATATATTTATATGAATATTGTAGGTTATATGCAAGGGCTACTTATTGTATCTTTAAGCCAGACTGTATCCTGAGTATACAACGACTATGTCTATAATATTACATATTTAAGAAATCTATACGTTCTTAACTACAATTTCTGTAATGATATTGTATATTCAATTGTAATCATACATACTGAATATATTTAATTATTATTAAATGAATATATTTATTAATATTGTAGGTTATATGCAAGGGCTACTTTTATTGTATCTTTAAGGCTGTATCTTCCACTCATCCCAATGGCGAACTCGGAGCCTTGCTGCGAGGGTTTTGATCCAATGAAAATGCTTTGATTGATTTTAATTACATGCAAACACTCGAGCGAGGCTCCGAGTGGCTTCTCGCAATGAGTCGAAAAGGGCCTTTACTTTTTGTATGCATTTGACCTTAAAAGTAATAAAAATTTAAAAGCATTTAAAATTTATCGTGGCTACACGTGCGTAAGAAAAAAGGAAAGTGGAAAGTAGCCTTAATTAACCCGGGACCGCCATTGTCGACAGCCTATTTGAAAAAGGCTAGTCGTTTAAAAGGCAGTTTAAAGTTTCGCCTGTCCCAAACAACTAATGTTATTGTTCATTTTGACTGAAACTATCTAAACACTTGTCTCATAAAGTGTTCTGTCCTGTACCATTTCCTGTTCAGGCTGCTCGTCATCTGCATCATCATCAGCCGTGCCATCAGGACGAATTACCAAAATAGTTTTAGCTAAATCTGGATTATCTTGCACCATACATTTAACATTCATTTTGATTTCCTCTTTCCACGCTGCCCTCCAGTCTTCACCATTTCTTGCTTGTATTATTGAATTGTACGCATATGGGAGAACGCCAATCATCAACGATATCAGAAGACTATTTGTGGGTGTAACATCGATTTCTCTGACGGTTTCAAGTTCTCCGTAAAGAATTGTCGAAAGCGGAATGATCAGAGTAACGACTGTGAACTGTAATAGAAGAAGCTTTTGTAGTACGGAAGGAGCCTTTCTCTGATTTTATGATAGAGTTTCCGGGAAACTACAGGCACAAGTTTTGTGTTACGGCCTTTTTGACGGCGAATTGTCTCTAAGTGTTTCTCCTTGTAAGCATTATCTCGACACTCTTCGTAAATCATCTTTTTCAATGCAAAATATTTTTCTTCATAGCGTTTCCAGAAGTTAAAGGAATAAAAGGCCATCACAGCGAAAAGTGCAATGTAAGGCATGAAGTAAGCAATGTTGAAAAGTATCCCCATGTAGAGTGGTTGCACGACAAAGTATAAGAAAAAAAATGATGAAAAAGTATAAGGAGTGAAGCATATTGCTGCTGCTGCTGCTACACGATTGCCTTTCACTCCAGAGAAAATGATTAGAAGAAGAAGAATTAACAACGAGATTAAGACAATACAAATATAGAAAAATAAATGAAAGCGATAAAGAAATGAAATGGAAATTTCTTATACAAATTATTGCAATATCTGCAATTTCTAAAATAGAACTTTACACTAGAAACCTTCCATCGTTTGATATTCAATGCCAAAGAAATAATTTTTTTGTGTTGTCAAATGTTGTTCCGCTTTCCAAATTCATGTCACGAATATCGTATTCCAAGTGATTGGCAAGTTTGTTTAGGAAATTAATTTGAAGGTTAGACGTTTTAGAAGATATTTCTCTCATCTCTACAATTTCTATTGGTGCTCTAATGTTTAGAAAATTGGGGAAGAAAGATATATTGTGGGAGCAAACACAAGACTAAAAACAAAAAACATAAATGCCACTTGATTCTCACTTGTTTTAGGGGTATAACTTATAATGTTACTGAACATCCAATAGAAAAACAATGCGAGAATGCTAAGTAAGGTACATTTACGTGCGAAAGATCCGATGTACCCACCAAATTCTTCCCAAATAACAATGCTAATAATAGAAGATAGAGACATAGTGCTTTCTGTCAGCTTGTAAAACTCAAAATACTTCTGGCGCTCCCTTTGCGCAGAAGATGAATATATGACTCTGGCCAGCAAATAAGAGAATATCATAGAAAGTATGATCCCAAGCAATATGAAATTTAAATTTGAAGATTTCGAACCGATTTCTCTCTTTTCATGACATTTAGTTTTACTGAGATAGTTTATAGACTTGCAGCATCTTTGAGTTGAGTTAACATTGGGTCTATAACAAATTTCGTGAGTTGTTAGTTTGCTGTTACCTTGAAGCTGTTGCAATAAACTGTCCACAAAATCCAGGCTACTGAGATTTCGACCAACACATCCTTCATGACTTATATTGGCATGTAATTCAAAGCTTCGACGGCCAGCGTTTAATGTCGAAGTGAAATCTTTACTATAACTGAAAAGATACGAGTCCAGCAACAATGTAATTTTTAACCCTACCATGTTAACCAGTGTTAATTGCATACGATGAAACATTGTTTCATTAAAATCACTGTCAACAGAGAAATGAAGATCCACGATGTTTACGAGCTTGCTTTCAAAGAGTTCACCCAGTCGTGAAATTTGAGCCTTGTCTGTCAGATGAATGCAGTCGTTGATAGAACTCTTGTTTCCATTCCTTGTTTCATTGCTCGCAAGAGCACATGTGAATATGAAAAAAGACACAATAAAACAGTATAAAAGTGAGAACATATTGCCCATTCACTTTAAGCTTTTGCGCACAGAAGTAAAGGATATAAGTGAATACGAGACGAGGGTATAGACTAAGACATACGTATATTACTTTTTCACTTTGACCAAGCACGGAAGTAGACGAATGCAGGATATGAGTAACATGAGATTATGGGATGGCATAGTCTTAAAACCCCGGTCAAACGAGAATGGGAGTTGAGAGTTTGCAGGACAGTTTCCAAACTCTTGTGCGATGGTCAAATGAGAATAGGAGACTGGGGGTTGATGAGAGTTGAGAAGCGAGATTTGACCGGATATTACGCGCGCCTAGCCGGGACTATTTTATACTATTCTGTAATTATTTTCTACTATTTTCCTGACAAGCAATTGGTCTTAATTGCTACAGTAATATGTGATGGGAATTTCCCCCACGGGCCGTGAGAGTGTCCTTACATCTCTACCGTTAGTCTCTGCAACCAGTTTTATTAGATATTCCAACAATGTAGTTTTTGAGCAGAAAGAAACTAGAGTAAATAGTCAAGGCTGATTTTTAAAAGGCCATCCAAGGCCGTGCATTTACTGAGTATAACGACTATGATATTATCATATTACAGATTTAAGAAATCACTTATCTATACATTCTTCAGTATAACTTCAATTTCTATAATGATACTGTATACTAAATATTTAATCTTACATACTGAATATATTTCATTATTATCAAATGAATATATTTATATGAATATTGTAGGTTATATGCAAGGGCTACTTATTGTATCTTTAAGCCAGACTGTATCCTGAGTATACAACGACTATGTCTATAATATTACATATTTAAGAAATCTATACGTTCTTAACTACAATTTCTGTAATGATATTGTATATTCAATTGTAATCATACATACTGAATATATTTAATTATTATTAAATGAATATATTTATTAATATTGTAGGTTATATGCAAGGGCTACTTTTATTGTATCTTTAAGGCTGTATCTTCCACTCATCCCAATGGCGAACTCGGAGCCTTGCTGCGAGGGTTTTGATCCAATGAAAATGCTTTGATTGATTTTAATTACATGCAAACACTCGAGCGAGGCTCCGAGTGGCTTCTCGCGATGAGTGGAAAAGGGCCTTTAGTTTTTATATGCATTTGACCTTAAAAGTAATAAAAATTTAGAAGCATTCAAAATTTTCCGTGGGTACACGTGCGTAAGAAAAAAGGTTAAGTGGAAAGCAGCCTTAATTAACCCGGGACCGCCATTGTCGACAGCCTATTTGAAAAAGGCTAGTCGTTTAAAAGGCAGTTTAAAGTTTCGCCTGTCCCAAACAACTAATGTTATTGTTCATTTTGACTGAAACTATCTAAACACTTGTCTCATAAAGTGTTCTGTCCTGTACCATTTCCTGTTCAGGCTGCTCGTCATCTGCATCATCATCAGCCGTGCCATCAGGACGAATTACCAAAATAGTTTTAGCTAAATCTGGATTATCTTGCACCATACATTTAACATTCATTTTGATTTCCTCTTTCCACGCTGCCCTCCAGTCTTCACCATTTCTTGCTTGTATTATTGAATTGTACGCATATGGGAGAACGCCAATCATCAACGATATCAGAAGACTATTTGTGGGTGTAACATCGATTTCTCTGACGGTTTCAAGTTCTCCGTAAAGAATTGTCGAAAGCGGAATGATCAGAGTAACGACTGTGAAACTGTAATAGAAGAAGCTTTTGTAGTACGGAAGGAGCCTTTCTCTGATTTTATGATAGAGTTTCCGGGAAACTACAGGCACAAGTTTTGTGTTACGGCCTTTTTGACGGCGAATTGTCTCTAAGTGTTTCTCCTTGTAAGCATTATCTCGACACTCTTCGTAAATCATCTTTTTCAATGCAAAATATTTTTCTTCATAGCGTTTCCAGAAGTTAAAGGAATAAAAGGCCATCACAGCGAAAAGTGCAATGTAAGGCATGAAGTAAGCAATGTTGAAAAGTATCCCCATGTAGAGTGGTTGCACGACAAAGTATAAGAAAAAAAATGATGAAAAAGTATAAGGAGTGAAGCATATTGCTGCTGCTGCTGCTACACGATTGCCTTTCACTCCAGAGAAAATGATTAGAAGAAGAAGAATTAACAACGAGATTAAGACAATACAAATATAGAAAAAATAAATGAAAGCGATAAAGAAATGAAATGGAAATTTCTTATACAAATTATTGCAATATCTGCAATTTCTAAAATAGAACTTTACACTAGAAACCTTCCATCGTTTGATATTCAATGCCAAAGAAATAATTTTTATTGTGTTGTCAAATGTTGTTCCGCTTTCCAAATTCATGTCACGAATATCGTATTCCAAGTGATTGGCAAGTTTGTTTAGGAAATTAATTTGAAGGTTAGACGTTTTAGAAGATATTTCTCTCATCTCTACAATTTCTATTGGTGCTCTAATGTTTAGAAAATTGGGGAAGAAAAGATATATTGTGGGAGCAAACACAAGACTAAAAACAAAAAACATAAATGCCACTTGATTCTCACTTGTTTTAGGGGTATAACTTATAATGTTACTGAACATCCAATAGAAAAACAATGCGAGAATGCTAAGTAAGGTACATTTACGTGCGAAAGATCCGATGTACCCACCAAATTCTTCCCAAATAACAATGCTAATAATAGAAGATAGAGACATAGTGCTTTCTGTCAGCTTGTAAAACTCAAAATACTTCTGGCGCTCCCTTTGCGCAGAAGATGAATATATGACTCTGGCCAGCAAATAAGAGAATATCATAGAAAGTATGATCCCAAGCAATATGAAATTTAAATTTGAAGATTTCGAACCGATTTCTCTCTTTTCATGACATTTAGTTTTACTGAGATAGTTTATAGACTTGCAGCATCTTTGAGTTGAGTTAACATTGGGTCTATAACAAATTTCGTGAGTTGTTAGTTTGCTGTTACCTTGAAGCTGTTGCAATAAACTGTCCACAAAATCCAGGCTACTGAGATTTCGACCAACACATCCTTCATGACTTATATTGGCATGTAATTCAAAGCTTCGACGGCCAGCGTTTAATGTCGAAGTGAAATCTTTACTATAACTGAAAAGATACGAGTCCAGCAACAATGTAATTTTTAACCCTACCATGTTAACCAGTGTTAATTGCATACGATGAAACATTGTTTCATTAAAATCACTGTCAACAGAGAAATGAAGATCCACGATGTTTACGAGCTTGCTTTCAAAGATTTCACCCAGTCGTGAAATTTGAGCCATGTCTGTCAGATGAATGCAGTCGTTGATAGAACTCCTGTTTCCATTCCTTGTTTCATTGCTCGCAAGAGCACATGTGAATATGAAAAACGACCCAATAAAACAGTATAAAAGTGAGAACATACTGCCCATTCACTTTAAGCTTTTGCGCACGAAAGTAAAGGATATAAGTGAATACGAGACGAGGGTATAGACTAAGACATACGTATATTACCCTTTCACTTTCACCAAGCACGGAAGTAGACGAATACAGGATATGAGTAACATGAGATTATGGGATGGCATAGTCTAAAACCCCGGTCAAACGAGAATGGGAGTTGAAAGTTTGCATGAGAGTTTTCCAAGCTCTTGTGCGATGGTCAAACGAGAATGGAAGTTGGGAGTTTGCAAGAGAGTTTTCCAAACTCTTGTGCGATGGTCAAACGAAAATGGAAAGTATTATAAGTATTGTCAAATATCGTAACTTTCACTTGTAAGAGTGGACAGTTCCGGTCATTTTAAAATTAAAAACGTTTCTGATTCTTGGAGGTGAAATTCCGAGCAATGCTAATGGCAATGATGCATTATTTCTTTTGCGGTCGATAAGACTACGTAAGTCGGAAAAAAGTGCTCTAAATTCTTTCAGAATTTTTTTCATATAAAACTTTCGAGGCAACAGCGCCATATCATAAATATTGGCCTGCACAGTTGAAACGCGCCGATGCCACAAACGTTGCAACAGAGAATTTGCATTTGCCTTCAAGCTGGCGGCGGATTTATCGTTGCAATCTTTCTTGAGGTCAACCTCGTTTCTAAAACAATCTGCGTGTTTGAACTGGGGATCCGTTACTAGGGCTCCCCGGGTTTAATTTGGTCTGAACGAAAAGTGTGGGTCCGACTCCATCTGCCTCCACCACTACGTGCCGCCAAAAGACGCTTTTACGACTGTAATTTTACTTTACAGAATGACCCCCTCGTCTCAAGTACGTGCTCTTGCACGTGATTGTAGTTCTGCTTTCGAGGACCTCATATACATACCCTGGCTGCGAGGTTAATTTTCATTCTCCTTTAATCGTTCGTAACATGAAGTACAAGCATACCACCGGCAAAGGCACAAAGGTAAACAAATTTAAAGGTGATAAAGAAGTACAATCTCAGTGACCAAGCTGAACTTTAGGCAATTATGTTGTCAAGTTTACAAGCTGGCTGTATTCGCAAGACGAATGGCAGATTTACTGTCGGCTGTGCAGATTATATGTGGGGGAGTGATGTGAAAGGTGGTTTTGTCAGAATATTTTACCCCAGTGACGATCCCGAACACAGTTCATTTGTTCATAATTGTGACAGGCGAAAGCCATTTTGGCTTCCGCACAAGGAGTATGCCGTTGGAATGATAAAATATGCCAAACTACCTTCGTGGCTTCTGGGAAACGTTTTTTATTGGATGCTAGGTTAGTTTATGCTGCCTATTGCCATATTTGATAAGCACCCCCCCTGTCTATGACTACAAATTTCTAGGAGGGGGATTGCTCAGGTTTTTTTTCCAGATTGCTGATGGGCGAAAGAGTAACATTTCACAGGGGGGTTGGTAAACTTTCACATTGCATGTTTATGACTATTACTGCAGTTCCATCACAGACCCTATTTTGCTTTATAAAGAAATCATTTGCAAGAAAAAGATATGATTATATATAATATAATTATATATAATATAATATATATAATATATATATAATATATATATATATATATATATATATATATATATATAATATATTATATATGATTATATATGATTATATTGACCCTTTTAAGGCAATGTTCAGTTGGATTGTTATTGGAACAGCTCTCTTCATTTGGCTGTTGAATCAAATGAAAGCGAAAGGCCTAAAAAGGAGTTTGAAAAATTCCCATGTGTTGTCTTCTCACATGGCCTGGGTGGTAGTCGATGTGTGTACAGCAGTTTCTGTCTCGAGCTGGCTTCATATGGTTATATTGTAGCTGCTGTAGAACACAGGTCAGTTGTCAAATGCACCCAGCAATCGAACTCCAATTGGCAAAATTCACCCTGTGTTTTTTTTGTTTTTTTTTAACAAGTGCACCCAATATTTACATGGTATAAAGATGATATAAATTTTTTCATTTACAAACGTGGGCTAGGAGCCTAGCTGAAACCATACAATAAATCACTAAATGAAGCTCAATTAACCAGCCTGGGTTTACCATTTTGTCCTGTCCCCCTTTGCATCATTGCATGGTAGCATGCCTCTCTCAGACCGTGGTCCTTGGCTAGCCAGAATGCTGCTTGAGCCTTACAGATATAGAAAAGTCAGTTTTAAAAACTGTCTTGCTGTCCGGATGCCAGGATTTGTTGCTCTGTTAGAGAATGAATTGTATTTTCTAGAGATAAATCAGCATCTGCAACATACTATCTGAAGGAGAGTGCTGCAAGTCTTAATGATCCACAATGGGTTGAGTATCATAGATTAAAAGAGAATGAAGATGAATTTCAATTGCGGAACAATCAGGTTGTGTACAACAAAGATATAGCTTTGTATTTTTCTAATTTTGAAACTCTCCAAGAGGTTTAGTTATACTTGATTTTGATAGGCCTATCCAGTGGTCATTATGAGATCAGTTCAAATTCATTCCCTACTGATTGTGGAACATTGCCGAAGAGTTATTATAACGAGGCTTTCGTATATTGGAGAATTTGAATTGCCCAAAAGTTTACCAAAGGATTCTTTTTTACTGTCATTCCAGGTCCACCAGCGAGCTAAAGAATGCATGCAAACATTAAATTTTCTTGAGCAGTTGAACGAAGGGCGTCCGCCCAAGAATTTATTAGGAGCGGAATTTGATGGACCTCAATTTAAGGTACGCGAGAAAAGATTGGATTACACGGATTAGCGTTAATCCAATAGAATTAAGTCGCTGACGAAAGATTAGAGGACTGAATTAGCGGAGTTATTCCCATTTCACCTGACGACAAACAGAGACGATATCAATGTCCTGGAAAAGCCTGATTGAGTTTGCTTCAAAGTTTTCCTTTCTGTTTTTCCAGGACAGGCTAAATCTCGACCAGGTGTCCATAATGGGGCATTCATTTGGAGCCGCAACAACAATCGCAGCCCTCGCAAAGGATAAACGATTCAAGTAAGTTCCTGTCTCTAGTCGAAGGTTGAGTGTTCAGCCCAGAACTTCAGCCGTATTCAGGGTCGGCTTCTTGAAATATATTCAAAATCATGATATCATTATCCAACGATACCATTATCCACATTTCCAATAACTCACAGGTGTGGCGTGGCAATGGACGCGTGGATGTTTCCACTTGGAGATGAACTGTATCACCACACAGTCAGTCAACCTTTGTTGTTCATTAACACCGAAACGTTTCATTGGAAAAAGAACATTAAACAGATAAACGAGCTTTTAAACCACGAAACCGGTAAGCTGAGAAAAACTGAAAAGAGAGAGAAACTGGAAAAAAAAACAACTCGCCAAGCCTTGAAGCAATAATCATTTGAGATTCCCATTATCAATAGTTGTTATGAGATGATTGAGGTCAATAATCAGCATAGAAACACATTTAACAGAAGTAGTTTTAAAAATAGTTTGTGGTATGATAATGCCTTATCTGCGACACTTTTTCTTGTTTGAATCATTATTTTCTTCATTTTTTTGCAATGTAGTTGAAAGGAAAATGGTGACTGTTAGGTAAGTAATTGTACAGAACATGTTACTGTTTGGGATTATCACTATAGATCTACTCAGTACTTTAATTCCGTATCTATTGTTTTAAAAGGGGGCCAAATGATAGTGCAGTTTACTTTTAGATCAATGAGTTACTGTATTTTAGAGGTACAAGTCATCTAACTCAGTCTGATCTTCCCTCGGTGGTCCCACCCGCTGCCTGGAGATTTTTGGGCGTGAATTCACAATCATTAGATGTCGGTGACATCATAGATATCAACAGGAAGATCATCGCAACGTTTCTTTCGCAATATTTCGGTAGGTCAACTAACTAGTTTTATGAATACGCAAAAGATCTTATCTGGAAAAATACGCTTGAAATAATACTCACTCTCTCTCTCCCTCTAATAACCACTCTATTACAACTTAAACATTGCATGGTATTTTATGGTTCGCTTATTTTCGTTAATTTAGAACTTGGTAAAGAGTTTAGCGATCCAGAAATATTAAAACAAGACACTGACCATGTACTTATTGGAACAAATGTTGTTGTTTAGCGGATGCGGATGAATGCAACAACGATATAAAAACATAGAAATCCGACCATCCTGATTAGTATGAAATTCATATTAACCAATGACGCGGTAGAGAGAACAATTAAAAAATCTTTGTTTTAGGCAGGATTTGGACTCGCAGCTTCGGATCGCTTGACCGAAGCCGGACCAAATTTACAAAGTCAAAAAAAAAATGATATTGAAAAAAAAATAATTTTCTATTCTTTTAGTTCAAGTTCCTTTTTGTCGAATTTTTCAATTTTTGGAGTTTGTTTCTAAGATTCCAACCTCGATATTTCATGGACGGGTTGGTTAAGAAAATAATTGAACAACGCAGAACGAAATAATTATAGTTTAGATGACATGTAATCTAGATATTTTTTCAATACCTAATAATATAATATAAAAAGCTTTGCATCTGTGTTTTATTTTTACATTCATGTGTATAATATACATATTATATATTTATTATAAATTATTATAAATCATTGGTTTATAATAGATTTACTATCATTCATTACTCTTCACGACTAAAATTTTATTCTGTAATCATATATAACATACCACTGTCTTCGATCATATACAGTATGCTGGGTGTTCCTTGATTTGCTGGATCACTGTTTTCGATTATACTCACATCTTTGAAGCAAATCAATTTACTGCTGTGCATGTGAGTTTAAACTCTTTAAATAGCTCAAAGTATAACAGCCCCAAGCTTTAAAAAAAAGCTGTTTGAAAGGACTTTACCATGAAACTGTAAAATGTTTACACAGTTCACACGAAATTCTTTTTTAAGTATTACCAAATTGCTTGATGTTGTGCCTATTGTTTATTGAAGGGCACGTGTTTGCATGTCTAACTGCGAAGATGTGCGGGTGGATTTACTGGATTACTCCACGAGGAGCTTGGAAAACGACTTTTCGCGTATACCTTACTTGTATTAAAATTCGCGCGGTACTCATTTTCGCTCAGCTTTAAATTCGCGCGATTTAATTTCGCGCACCTTGATGAGACTTATTCGCGCAGCTTTAAATTCGCGCAAGTAATTTTCCGTCTTCGTTCTTGTTGCTTTGTTTAATAGAACTATATTAACTATATGGTATAGCATTTTTTAAATTAAAAATTTGAAGACAAAAGCAGCCGCTCCAAATCTTCCCAAAGTTGTACCAGCCACGTGTCTCCAGGAGTTCGACACTTCATCGTAGCACTCCACGCTGTCTTCGACTGACATGTACTCGCTCATTCCATTCATGGCAAAAATCTTCCCACAATACACAGCGACAGCTAGGCCACCACGTGGCCTGTTCATGGGCGACATTTTCACCCAGCTGTTCGTCGATTGGTTGTACCTCTCGACCAAGGACAACGAGCCATGTCGCTCGTTCACGCCGCCAACGGCAAAAATATAACCGGAAAGTTCCACGGCACCAAAATCACATCTTTGGTGCAACATGGCGGCATCCTCCTGCCACTGGTTGGTATCGGGCCTGAAATGTTCCACAGAAGATAAATATCCTTTCTGGTCGTCAAAACCGCCAACGGCATACAGCGAGTTGTTTACAGGCACAAGAGCAAGTCTCCGTCGCTTGTGATTCATGTTTGACACCAATGTCCACTTATTGCTGACTGGACAATACTTCTCCACATAGCTACAGTAAGAAAAGGTCGAGAATCAGTGAACAACAAAGGAATCAGTTGTCAGAATGCAACATGAAGTATACGAAGCATGCACAGGAAATACAACACTTAGCAGGAAATATAGAGGAAATACAATATAATACTCTACTAGAGATGAGAGTTGACCTGACTAAGGAAAAATGCAATCTGACCTATTTGTTGATGGTTAAGTTAGGTAAATATTAAAAGCTCGTGGTTAAATAAATATAAAAACCAATGGTTAACCAAAGAGACTCGTGTTTGGCCAGGGGGGGGGAACACAACAGAACCAATGTGGATACGAATGACGTTCCTTACCTACAGGTTGCTTGGCCAATGCAAGATCCTCCAGCTACATAAATATTCCCGTTCATCACGGCGGCCTTTACTTCGCCTTGACACTTGGTCAAGTAAGCAACGTTCTTCCACCCGGCACTCTGTGGATCATACGACTGCACCGTATTCAACTTTGTCCCTTGCCTGCTTCCACCAATCACGTACAGCTTATTCCCCAGCACCGTGACAGCACACGCTACCCGGCTACCCGGGAGTTTCATGGCAGTGTCCCACTCCATACGCTCGCAATCAAAATACTCAATGGATCTGGTTTCCTTCATGAACGACCTCTCCCCTCCAAGGATGTACAACCAGGTGGCACAGGATCCTCTCATAGGTATACCGGCACACTCGCAATGGCATATCATTGCTTCCTCGATCATATTTTGCAGAAATATATCACCCTGTATCAAGCTCTCCTTGGAGGCTTCACGAAGTCTTTTTGGCGGGATGAACGAAAGCTTTGCGGCGGGAAGTAAAAACGGCAAAAATTTGCGATTTTTCTTCGCGTCATTTTTTACCCATGTGAAAATCATTTCTAAGATTTCATATTCGTCATCGACGTTGATTTCGTCGCTTTCCAGCAAATACTTCAGTTGCTTGGCATCCAAGTTCAAAATTTCATCGCACTTGGCAACCGCTTTAAAGTTCGCCTTGACGTAGGCCTCTGCCTTGCTACAAAGTTTAACGCATGCGTATTTCTCGCTCAGTTGAAAGATTCCAAGGCAGTTATCGGGTTCTAGTTGGTCAAGCAGAAAACTGTCACAAGCCTCTTTCGCTAGGCCGAAGCCTAAGAGGTCTGATGCCAAAAGTAAATCTTCCACATTACTCTCGGTGATTGTAAGCTCGCCAGTATAGCAAAAGTCAAGAAGTAATTCCATTGATTCACTGGTTACTCCCTTGATGTCCACCTAAAATACAGACAAAAATATTCACATTTTATCATTGCTTTCACAAAAACAGATAGCTTTTGCCTGAACCAAGCCAATGTTTAAGAATTAAAGTCTTTGCAAGTGGACCTTTATGTGCATCAACCTGCCAGGATTATTTATTCAAATCATGAAACGTTTACTAAAAATTAAGTTAACTAGCAACAAATTATGCTATCATGGTGGTTAGTATGTGATGAATTTTTAATGAATTAAAAAGTCTGGGTTTCTTTTTTGATTATTATTATTGGTTTTCTTTTTTGATTATTTCAAGTCACCTGCCTCTTCAAAAAATTTGTGGGATATTGCATAATTGTGTGGTATTAACGTGTAGTCACACACCTGCATAAAAATGCATTTTATTAGAAAGTGAAAAATTGCCCAACTTTTATGGGCTTACTTTTGCTCTATTTTCTCAGCAGTAAGAAAGGATGTGACTAATCTTCATCCCTACATCTTCCTCCCTATTTCTTTGGAATTGCTACATAAATCTTTTAGATTCGCAGCTAAAACCAAACCTAAGGATTTGACATTTTATGTAAAAATTTCACAAATCTGACACATCTGTTTGCACAACTTGGTTAGGATGATCTATATATCTGTATAATTGTGACAAATGATATGTCAATGAAATGCTTTTGGCAGATTACACAAGAACCCAACTATCAGAAAGATTATCAGAAAAACTATCTTTTTCATCCTGAGTTGGCCAAGACAATGATCCATCTCTACACTAAATGAAACAATTTACATTTGCTTCACTTAAAAGTGAAAGAGGTATTACCAATGAAATAGATTGCCATTCCCGTTAACAGATAACCCCATTTCTTTTGAAGATTTTAAAATCTTGCTAACTATTAACGGTCATTGGTCCGTCTATAACGGTCAAGGGTCCGTCTATTTAGAGAATGCTGATAATATAAACCCGCTACTTGTAAAAAACAGCCAAATAATTGAATTATAAAAGAAGTTGAAATGACTGAAATTACTACCGCTTCAAAACAAACCTCATTCTGAAATTTCTCATTCATATTACTGCGGAACATTGCACTGAAATACGGACTTGAAGACACAAGAACAACTTTATGTACATTGAAGTCTCTGTCGCCAGCATGTAACACAATGTCACAGAATTCTCCACTTTTCTTTAACTCGTAAAGACTTGACATAACATTCGTGGCAAAGTCCTTTTTTATGACTTTCTTCTCGTTTGTCTTGTCGCTGCACGTCTCTTTTATATTCGTCGCCATTTCCTATACGATTGTATTAAATATATATTGTGTATGAACGTTCATTTTGTACAATATGAAAACAAACAGTCTTATTGGAATGAAATTTCCGGGGGCGAACAAAATATGGAGTCGACAACATATAATAACGAATTGTTAATATTTCAAATAAAAACCTATAAAAAGCCTTCCTTGTATTAAAGTATACCATTAACACAATAACGTTAGCAACAAATTCTTTAAATTCATTTATTTTTTCCGGTAAAAATACATATTTGTTTCCACAAGTCTCCCCCGGAGTAGAGCGCCAGCCGCAAGTTGCAAATTACACCATCTGTGGTTGTCTCCATGACAACCATAGTGACGTCACATTTTGTGTCCAGTCCCCGAGATGAAGCGTGCGAAAATATTGTTTATTCATGATTTTTGGGAAGATCGTAGGAGAAAATTAAAGATATTTTGAGCACAAAAAAGCTCGCAAAAAAGGGGATTTTTTGTGAAACGATCGGTATAGAATGGGTGCAGTACTTGGAGCGGCCAGTTGCTGTTCTTTGGCGTCTTGTGCAGCTCCCGTAAGTGTCGAGAATTGTCCAATTTTCAGTTCGTTATGTCAATAAATTCAACCAAAACTAATTAAAATACGACATTGATCTGTGTTATCAATTTTTCTATATTGGATAGTGTTTTTCATCGCTTCGTAGCGTAAACTACGAAGAAGACGTTCAATTCGCGATTTTTTTCAAATTATATTAATTCAGATTTTGTTTATTTACGTCTATGAAGAACAATAGTACACCCAAATCACCCAATGTACTAGTCTAATGCAACTGGAATAATAATTCAGTTCAGGGGTGGGTAAATTTAGGCTGACGCCTTTTAGTACGCTCAGTCATGAGCAGAAAAAACACTGAACACTATGCTTTTTATGAAAATGAAGCCACTGAATTTCTTTATTTCATGTAGAAATTTCAAGAGTTTAGCTAAAAGGGAGCTTCAACTGTATTATATATAGGTTGATATATATCTGATGTTTTGGGTCAGTTATTTCTGTTCAAATCTCAGGAAAATCTATTTTAGCTAAAGGCAAATATGGGTATATAATATGTACTTAAACCTAAGATTTGAATTTTGTTCTGCCATACCAATACTTCATTATATACGATCATGTGTCCTCAACATACAAGGATATGCCAACACATTATATGGTTAATTGAATGCCAGTATATATTTAAGACCCAAGATTTTTTTGGCAAACTTTTATATAAGATAATCCCATAGCAACCTTTCTTTTAAAATGGAAATAAAAGAAATAGTGTAAGGCATAGCTTCCAAGAACCATGCTCAAAGTTCGTTGACATGATTTGTCATGGCAAGAAAACATGGGGCTAGAGAGGGCAAGCCTAGGGAGGGTTGCCTAATGGAACACAAATTTTTCTTACTTTTAAAATTGCACATCTGATTGTCAGGCTGCATGTTGCTGTGGTCCTTCTGCATGTTTTTGCTGCTGTTCTCGTTGTCCGTCATGCAAGAACTCAACTTCCACAAGAATTGTCTACAGCTTCTTCCTCTTTCTGGGAAGTATTATATCCGGCCTCATGTTGTCGTCTGGTATCAAGGAAAAGTTGACAGACATTCCATATTTCTGTTCCACATTCGACAGTAAACATGACTGTGGCAACTTTGTTGGCTACCTTGCAGTGTATCGGGTGTGTTTTGGCATGGCGGCTTTCTTTTTCCTTCTAACACTGATCATGTTTAAAGTTCAAACAAGTAAAGATGGCAGAGCTAAATTTCAAAATGGGTATGTGGGAAAAACCAACTGGATATAGTATTTGAGAGTTCATTCAACTAATTTGGGATGAATATGTCATTTGATCTCTAGATCAATTGACATTAATGCTGTGCAAAAATTACACATCCACACATACTTGCTGGACAGCCATATTGTATTTGAATGACTACATAATGCAAACAGTCACCACAGAATTTGTTTTTCTATGTTTTTAAAGCTTTTGGATTGTGAAAATCCTTCTCTATGTTGGATTAATAACTGCTGCATTTTTCATACCAAATGGAGATTTTGGCAAAGGTATTGACAGAGTAATTAATAACTAAATAAAAAACTTTTCTTGCATACAATTGCAAAAAATTTGTTACCTTACAGTTGGATCAATGTTAATCCCCATGTGACTGTTTTCATGGTTTTATCGATCTTTTGTTGGTCATCCTTAATGCTAAATTGATATTTCATCTAATATTTTTAGCCTGGATGTACATTGGAATGTTTGGTGGTTTCTTGTTTATTCTAATTCAACTGATATTGTTAATTGATTTTGCTTACAAATGGAATCAGTCTTGGTATGATTACCCATTAATAACAAAAAAGCAACACATTTTAGATCATCAAAGCGATTCTCCATAAGGGACAAATATTAGTAAGGACTAATATTTAGGAAAATCTTAAAATTTCTTTAGGATGGAAAAATGGGAAGTCAATGGACAAAAGAAGTATATATATGGTATAAATATATACTATACAATAATATACTATGTTACAAAACTAAAAGTAATTAGCAAGCAAAGTAAAAACATGACATTCTTTCAGTTTGAATGAGAATGGGTTTCAATATCTTTAACTACATGGTTTTTCTGAACCGTAGGTCTTGCGGTGGCTACTGGTGTAATGTATTTGATATCGCTTGTTGGATTTATATGTCTATTTATATTCTACACAAAGGTATATATGTTGTTCTGCTGGTTTCTCATTGGTATTTAAATTAGACTAGATTTGATTTGAAATCTCTTCAAACTGGCACTTTACTTACTTGTTTGCTAATATGAGTACCACCATAAGTTGAAAAGTCATGGTGGAAAATCAGATTTGTAAATTGCATTTGGCTTGGCCAATTGGTGTTAGCTGGTCATTTAACCTGATTAATGAACTTCTAAGATTAAAATAATGTGAAACCACATCATAGTAAAGGGAGAAAACTCTCAAGAGGAACTATTTGTTTTTTAAATCATGGGATATGGCAAATAATATGCACACTTTAATAACTTTCTTTTATTTCTAGTCTTCTGGTTGCCAACTAAACAAGTTTTTCCTAAGTTTTAACTTGTGTTTGTCAGTAGCTGTTTCTGTGACAGCAATTCTACCCAAGGTTCAGGAAGGTGATTCTTTAAAACAAACTTTCATTGTTGTCCGCGCATCGCATCGCAGTCCTATAAATCTCCCCGTTTCTACATTTTAGCCACCAGTTTGGTAGCTAAATTGCAGTTGACTCCAACCATTAATTCACTCTAAGTATTTAACTACAATCTACTTTATAGGTCAACCAAATTCAGGACTTCTACAAGCCGCAATCATTACTCTCTACACAACATACCTAACTTGGTCCGCTATTTCCAATAATCCCGGTAAGTTTAAATTTGTAAAAGTAGCCAAACTGCTGTAAGATTCGTCTTGAAAGTTTTTTCCATTCAACACAAAGTGTAGCACTACTTTTTTGCACAAAAATGCCAGCGACAAGTGACTTCTTGTATCTTGGCTTGTGGTCAAATGTAAAATTTGAGCGGGAAAACTGAGATAACACACTAGATTCCATACGTCAAAAAGGAGTTGCGTGCGTCAAAATTGGCTCGTATAAACAGACAATGTCAATGATCAATCTAAACTCTCTTTTACCGTTTAAATTGACATTGTTAATGTTTATTTGACTATTTCCACTGGAAACATCCATTGAATAGCTGTATACAGTGTAATGTATAACGCGTTTTTTTGTCACCTTAGATGAAGAATGTAACACGGGCATATCGTCTGGTTTTCAGAGCCATTCTGTGATTGCAGCCATCCTCATGTTTATCATGGTCGTATATTCTTGGTAAGACTATTACCATCAAAAGGCAGATGAAAGCCGGAGGGGGGAGACCAGAAATTTTTCATGTTTTCTGCAGGATCAGGACATCATACTCCCCCCAGATGTTTTCTGAGTCGATTATAGCCTTTCACAATTCCAACTTCTTCTTCATAGTCTGCGCACGAGCAGCTCGTCTCGTCTTGGTGGAATCGGCATGACCAAAAGCGCTCAAATGGAGGTTTGTGGAAATTTTGACCATGCCTTGCCACCAAGCTTGTGAAAAACTGTATAATTTCCATGTCTCTTACTTTCCAGGAAGTACTCTTGCCAGATTATGGAGAAGGTGAGTTGGTGAAGAGTTTTTAAACCGCTGATTGTATATAACATGAAATTGTAATGTTGTAGATTGTAAGTCAGTGAATCTCTTTGATGAGAACACGTCCCCCATAAGGACACCATTCTAAAACGAACACCTCTCTAGGATGCATATTTATCTTACTCGGCACCTCCATAACAAGACTGACCCTCTAATGAAGACAGATTATCAAACTCATTCTTCCACATCTCTACAATTCGGATACCCCTGTAACATATCTATCATATATTGATTGGACATCTCACGTACACGTAATACGAACTCCTATCTGGGCTATAATGGCACCTCTCAAATACAGACATCTCTCCAGAAAGGACGCCTTTCTATACAATGCACCACTGTCTGACTAATACAAGCTCTATACAAAGTATCAGTGCAAGGTTTAAAATGAAATTTACCTAAAAGTTCTGGAGGTTCAACAAGAACGATGGATAGCGACCTTAAACACAATATTTACTTCCTCTTCAGAGGGTGTTGAGGCGAAAAACGACGACGATGCTGAAGAAGGCAAACCAAAACATCAGAACGTTCATGACGATGAAACACTTGGTGTGGCTTATAACTATTCTTTCTTTCATTTCACGTTTCTCTTGGCTTCTCTATACATCATGATGGTCCTCACCAACTGGTACAGGTTCGTATATTCGATTATTTTGTGAAGTGCAAAGTTTTGAGATCTTGTCTAGGTCCGTTGGTTGAAAAATACCATCGCAAAACGTTGGAGATTCTAAGAACTCCATTTCATCTGATTCTAGTCCTTCTCTGGAGTCTTAGAGCTTTTCTTCTTAAGAGCATCCTAAAGCTTTCCTTCTTTGCTCATGCAGGATGATTTGTTTTCCGTTATTGATAAAAAACGACGAGAATAAGGAACAGTATTTCAATAAATCGAGACTCACAATTCCATATCATATCTTTAATTTAGCCCAGAGCATTCAAACTTCGACACATTGAACAGCAACATGGCGTCGGTGTGGGTGAAGATTATTTCAAGTTGGTGTTGTCTTGGGTTGTACTTATGGTCCCTAATCGCACCAATAGTCATCCCTGGCCGGGATTTCTCATAAAACACAAGGACATTGAACGAATTGACACTAATAGACACATAATGGCTGTATGCTATATAAGGTTTCATATGTATTTAAAAACAAGCAAGTATAAAGCGATAAACTGCTGGTATTGTATGTAAATTCAGATTCTAGTTGAAACTAATCAAAGATACTGCATATTATAAAATCTCTCAAAGGCACGTTTGAGGTACTAACTGCATGGTACTTTAGTCAGTGGTGGATTCATACCAGGGGACACAAAGAAGTGTGTCCCTCTCTAGGTGTGATCAACAAGGGTTAAATTCAGTGATGTACCTAATTGTGAGCAGGATATATCATATTTCATGCACTTGGAGCTCACCTTGGTCTAAAATTCTGCTGAAACACTACTGACTTAAGTCTTTGCAATGTATTAAGGCATGTCTTATAACTGCACGTATATGTATATAGGAGATGTACACAATACATCCATAAAATAATACTTCACTATACTAACACACTATACTAACGTATATTAATCCGAGGTGTAATAAATGTTGACATTGGCAAAGAAAAACTGTGTTCGATATGATCTGGGGCTATTTTAACCTGAGATGGCTGAACTTTCCTGACACAAACACCAAGAATTTGCACCTGAAAATAATGCGAACAGAAAATATCTGGACCGACCTAGTACTGGGCGCCATTGCAGTATTACTTTGCAATGAAAATTGCAAGGTTTTCGACAATGTTTTATGAAATAAATTGGGAAAATGAAAACGCAACATATTCCAAAGAATTCGAGGTTGTCCGATCAGAATCATAAAATGTGTGTTTTTCTTGTTAAAAGTTTGACCAGTGCTGTAGAAAATAGTAAGCTAATGACACCTATTTACAATAAACATCGCGGTTGAAACTCTCAAAGCGATGTTAATGATGCATAACTAGCCTTGCATTTTAAGTCAGCTATTTCCACGTGATATCACAAATGAAGCGAAGCAGATAATCACCTAATCTCAAAACTTGAGATCTGGTTTCTATATTATCGTCAACCACGATTGATTTTGCATTACAAATCCTCGAGAAAAACCATGCATGTTACTGATCTTTGCCGTGGTGTTTTACGTGTTTGAGAAAGATTTCTCCCTCCCGTTTCTGACCTTAATGAAAACTCTTTAGTCTTTATTCCAATCCTCCCATCCGTTATCTCAAGTGCAGTTCTCCGAGATAGACTTTCCTGTCACTACCCACTGACAATACTGTAGAATAGTTTAAAAAAAACGTTTGGTCAATTGGTTCGACAGTAATTTCAGGCAGTGAAATAAATAGATAAAGTTACGTTAGGGCAACTAGTTAACAAAGAACAAGAAATTCACAAATGGACAGTTTCAGCACAGAATACCCATCAGAAAAAAACTGCATTGTTTTTTGCGTAAGTGTGATTCGTCATGGTTCGTCACTCAGCAAGTACTGTAAATAGAAGCAATCACCCCACTGCCAATGTTAAATATGGCGCACTATTTGAATATCGGCAGGGGGGGGGTGATTGCTTCTATTTATACCGTACTTGCTGAGTGACGAATCAGGACGAATCACACTTACGCAAAACAAAATGCAGTTGTCTTTCTGGGTACTTCTGTGGTTTCAGGGTGAGAGTCTGCAGTATACTTACATATTGGTTCTTTTGGATGAAAATCGACATCATTGACAGAACCATCGTGACCTGGCAGCTTGTACAAAATCCGTCGAGATTGAGTGTCCCAAACATACACAAACCTTAACACGAAGACAACTTTAGTTTGAACCCATCATCAACACTTTTTATATATGAAAATCTCGAACACATTTTTGCCAGGACACATGTCAAATACGTATAAACGAATTGAAATTTGTTCTCAACATATCTAAATGTATAGATATATAAAAGAATTTACCTGTCAGCCGACCCGGCGGCAATCATTTTTCCATCGGGAGACCAAGAGCACTTTATCAAATTCTATTCAAAACAAAAAAAACAATTTAATCATTGACCCCCCGTCTTGGGTAGCGATATTGCTTGCCGTATTGAGATCAGGAGAGAGGAAGGATATGGTATTATTTTTATACGACTTCGTCAGAAAAATTTAGGGAGAAAATTTACAGAATCTAAATTGTCTTCAAATTGTCTTCATCCGCTAGCTGTACACACTGGTTGTGCAATGCGGGATTTTAAACGTTCTAAAATTGCTTTCATATTTAAGATGCTTGGGAAGGAAGGCGTAAAATTTATTTAATATTTCAACCGGAAACTCTTATTGACTGATTTAAAATAACGCATGCTTATCTATTTCAAACTAACACACATTTATGCAAATTCAATTTTAGATATCCAAAGTTTTAAATGTACAAAATTTGACCTGTAAATTGCACCTTGCATTGCCATCACAAATGAAAACCATTTCAAGAATCGTTTAAAATAATGTATGATTTTCTATCTCAAAAGTAAGCGCGACAATTTACATGCATGCTGACCATAAATAGACGGAAGTCTTATGTTGCTATTCCGGGTCACGACTGTTGTAGTTTTGAATAACGTTTTATTACTAACTACACGCGTAAAAATCATCATGTTGATGCAAGTTGTTAAAAACAGGAGTGAACAATGTTGTGCTGCACCCTGTGAACAGTATTGTTAACAATGTTGTTGGAGCTTGTTGAATCATCAATGTTGTTGCAATTTGTTACAACAACATTACATCAACATTGATGATTCAACAAGCCTTCAACAACATTGTTAACAATACTGTTCCCAGGGTGCAGCACAACATTGTTCACTCCTGATGCCACAACCTGATCAATTTTTGGCCGTGTAAATAACTCTACAAAATAATACTTATAATACTTATAAATTTCAAGATGGCGGACGATTACCATATAAGGCATGTATCACCTTATAAGGCATCATATACACAGGGATACAATGACAACCCTGCAGTCACGAAATTTTGTTGTGCAAATATATATCGCATAACAGTTCTGGCATCTTACAAAAGATTAATCTGTTCTTAAAAGCTCCAAGCTATCAATAATGTGAAACGATAGTCTTATAGTAATGTTTCTTTTGACATTGGTGGTGATGAGATGATCTTTTGGTGAATAAAACCCTTAACAAAGTAATGGCTTGCAGTAAATACGAGCTTGGATACGATGACAAAGTAATGGCTTGCAGTAAATACGAGCTTGGATACGATGACGATCGCTTTGCGATTGTTGTTAGTCAAAGATTTCACTGCCCAATTTGTTTGCTGGTTCTTAAAGATCCTGTCATGTGCAAGAACGAACATTACTATTGTTCTTCATGTATAAAGAAATATTTGGAAAACTCAGCGAATTGTCCCTCCTGTCTGGAATATCTCAGCGTCGAGACACTAAAGCCAGCTCCGAGAATTGTCATGAATTATATATCCGAGCTGAATATACGGTGTGATTTCCACTCTAGAGGTTGCCCGGAAATGGTTCAAGTTGGTGAACTCAAACGTCACGTTGAAAGTTGTGGATTCTCTCCCGTGCAATGTTCTAATGACGGATGTAATGTTGTCGTGAATGCGAGGGACAGGCTTCATCATGAGGCTGAGGTATGTGGTTTTAGGAAATTAAAATGTCATGATTGTGGTCAACTAAAGAACGAAATGAGAGAAATAAAAGATAAAATGTTGCTTGCTCAGAATGTAATGAAAATTGAAATGAAAGGAATGAAAGATGAAATGAAAGGAATGAAAGATGAAATGAAAGGAATAAAAGATGATATGTCGGCTTGTAACAATCAGAGTAGAAATGAAGTGAAAGGAATAGTGGAAAATAAAATTGAGGCAATGAAAGAGGAAGTGAAGCGTGAAATAAAAGGAGAAGTAAATAAAATCAAGGAAGAAATAAAAAAGGAAATGAAGGAAATGAAAGTGGAAATGCAAAATGAAGTAAAAGAAACAGTCATGACAGCAATAAGAGATGCAATGGCTGGGATGAAAGATCTCACAGTCGAAATGCAAGACCCAGGGAAAAGTTTACAAGGGGCATGTTCTTCAGATGCAAGGGAAAACATCCTTCTTGGTAGAGAGGGAGAAATGAATAAGATAAAAAAAATGAAAGATCTGAAAGTTGAAATGCAAGACCCAGGGGAGAGTTTAAAAGGGGCATGTTCTTCAGATGCACGAGAAAGTATCTTCCTTGTTGGAGGACAACACAGGGACGAGACTGGGATATGGATAAAGAATAAATCGGGTGAGTGTTTCAATTGGGCTGATCAAACCTGGAGATTGCTGAATTTTGCAAAATTCGAAGGTCGCACATCTGCTTGTTCATTCCTGTATCGAGGACAAATGTTTGTTGCAGGAGGAACTGATGATAGTGGTCATCAAACAAATACTGTGACATGTTTAAATTTCGAAGATCCAGAAGCCACATGGAAAGATTTCGCTGTCAATCTTCCTGTCAAGTGCCGTGGTCATAAAGTTGTTAACAATGACGATTGTCTCTATATGTCTGGAGGAAAGACCGAGCAGATGAAATCTATTGGCAGGAAACATCGCAAACTTGAGAAAAGGTCCAATCATTTTGATATTGTTTATGAAGTGCAATTAGTTCGGCCATATTCTAGTAAGATCTTGACAAGACTACCCCAACCAAGGTCTTATCATGGCATGGAAATGTTTGATCAGAAATTGTTCATTCTTGGAGGGTACGATGGCAGAATGATCACAGCCAGTGTAATCCAGTATGATCTCATCAAGAATGAATGTAAAGAAATGCCTCGATTGCCATACCCTGTGCAAAACATGGTGACAGTTTTATGGCGGAATCACGTGCTTGTGATTGGTGGGGAAGATGCAAGTTATCAGAAATTGAATAAAGTGATAATGTATGACGTCATTACAGGACGTTCTGAAATGTTGCCCAATATGAGGATGGTGCGATGTGGTTGTTCAGCGGTCTTAACTGACAAAGTTGTAGTGGTTATGGGAGGGCGGAATGCAGAAGGCAAAGATCTGAAGTCAGTGGAATGTTTTGATTTGGAGCGACGAGTTTGGGAAGATCTGCCTGACATGATTGAGCCAAGAGCATACGCCACTGCTGTTGTGAAACCAAACCATTGAACTCAAAGAACATTCAAGAACGTTGTTCTTAGACCGTAGCTTTAAACATGAACTCTTTGTTGAGATTGCTGAGACCTTGATTACACACTGAGAACTTATAATACATATAGAACATATAAAAACACTCCGATAAAAAATACAGCTATGCTCCCCAATTGGTCAATCATATAAAAAATATCGATATTTATACGGCCAAGGCGCGATTTGCAATGTGTCAAAATTGTTTTTCACACATACAACTAAAAATTGTTGCTATGACTAGCAGACTAAAGACTAAAGTCTAAAGAAGTCTAAAGATTAAAAAACGATGCGTCTGGTACAAACCTTTTCGAAATTATGTTGAGCTCCCATGAACACCTTTACACATCTTTCTACCGGGGCATACGGTCGCACATCCCATATACGAACTATAAGATAGATAATATTATTATCAAGTGTTTAGAAAAGATTTCTATACATTTTGAGACGGAGATTTCAATATTGTACTGATGGAGACATCACTATTGTAGTGATTAGATAAAAGATAGAGTAATATTATAGTAATCTGATGCTTATTCAATGTCATATTATATAAACAGATTGTGTCCACAAATACCTGTGTTATCCATGGCATTCGACAGTAGGAATGAACCATCTGGACTGAGTTTGAAACCAGAGACTGTGTCTGTATGTCCGGGCATTGTGTAGAGAATATCATTTTTACGTAAATCCCAAACCTTGAATGGACAAAAAATTATACACTGTACTGTAAATAAAATAATGAAATCAAATTTTTGTGTAAGTACTTTAGTGAATAGAGGGTAACAAAATCATGAATATCCTCGAAATAGGAAAACAGTCTCTGAATGCCCCAAGTGTATATTCTGTATTATTCTGAACAGGTTGTCTTAACCAGGTGGACAACTTCTCTGGTTTTCTGAGTTAGTATTGGTAATCATGCAGTAGAAAGTTCAATTTGACAGCTGCTGAGGCAAGTTCAACTCGGGAAAATTTTCAAATTAAGTTACATGAAATGACTGTACTCCTCTCAGCCAATCAGCATCCAGTAATTTCATCATGCTTATAATGATCAAAGTAACCTTATTCAAAATTATTCATTATACACAGCCCTGGAATACCCCAAGTGATGAAATTTAGCCATTTACTGTACCTTCACTTCATTGTCAATTCCACCTGACAAAATTTGATCTGCAGTATCATTGAAGCACACTGCTGTCACCTGAAAGAACACCAGTATTTTTATGAAACTGCCTTGAACAGAAATTTACAAAGATGCAAATACAAAAAGCTTGCAAGATGCATCTTACTTGATAAATATCTTGGAAGGTCTGAACAGCTCCTCTCTTTCGTATGTCCCACAGCTGATAAAACAATGATATCAAATGTTCAAGATTATGAAAAACTATGCTCAAAGTCTCATTTGGATTTTGAGATACCTATCCAGTGAGCTTACAAGATCATTCATGTAATGACACTGGACAGGCCTAACAAAATCAAATTTAAGCAAGACCTGGAGAAAGACTAAAGGAAAATGACCAACATTTTTACATACTATATTCATGGTACTCACTGTTGTGGTGGTACTCACTGTTGGTCACTCATGGTACCCACAATTGTTTTGATTGTATTTGTAAACTACCGTTTACATAGTCTATGGTACATAAGTTGTTGTGGAAATGCCTACTATGATTGATAAGGTGTGATACCTTAAAAGGTGCGAAACTAAAGCGCTAAAAATACTGCAGGACATCAACCTCATATTTATTTATACTTATACATAAGTCAGAAGAATTTCCAAACATACTTTTATGGTGCTGTCATCTGAACCACTGACAATCATCTGATTGCCCCGTCTTGATGGACAGCAAGAGTTCACAAATGATTGATGTCCTTTCAGTTTCTTGATTCTGCACCCTGTTTCATAATCCCAGCAACAAACTGTCTTGTCTGTTGATGCTGTGAACATTGTACTAAAAAATTGTGGGAGTAGATTTCAGTTGTAGATGACCCAAGGGAACAAAATTAACAAATATATCACATCCTGTACATGGCACAAACCTTCCATCAATATTAAATTGAAGTTCCATAATTGCTCCAGTATGTCCTTTCAACACAGCAAAATTTTCACACTCATCATAAACATTCCATAAATCTTGAAAATAAGATTTTAGTATTACCACTCAATTATATACACTTTTTGCACTTTAGAGTTCAAAGTCTTATCTAAGGCTCTGACAATCTAAGTGGAATGTCATCATCAGTTTTTGATGATTTTTTGAAGAAAATACACTCTAATGTACTCTTCCCTTATGGTACCATGGTGTTTGTCCCCCTCCCAAGTGACCACAGTTGGCCTGCCCCCTCCCCCCATCACAAAACCACACTGGACCATGCATAATTAAAAAGGTTAAGCAAAATGATATGTTGAATCTTACAAATTAATCGATCAAATCCTGCTGATGCTAGAGTCTCCCCGTCAGGATGAAATGCTGTTGTGAAGATCTCACTCTAATCAGAATAAAAAAATAATGAAATTTGTTCAATTGTATAGAAACCAGTCATTACAAAGAAATGCAGTATTCACCTCATGGCCAGACAATAACATGACAGGTGCAAATAATGAGCTGGATCTGGGTGGACCCTGAAATGTAAAAATGGTGAAGACAAACATTTTAACATGATAATCTTGAATATAAAATGAAATTTGGCATCTCTACAATTCAATTAGTCAACTGACTCCATTCATCAAATACACTGAAAAATCTATATTTCCAGTAAACTTTAGAAATTTGCTGCCAATTTTGTAAACATGCCTTTGATTGGCTATGAGGGGAAAAAGATGGCAACTAAATCTTTTGTAAATATGATCCTGGATTGGAAATTCTTTAACTTAAAGGGGCCAGTCTTACGGCTGGCAAATTTGTGTCTGAAGTTTAATTGGAGGTTTTTCTCACTCTGGTTGCAAATCAGGTTGCACATGGTTGGGGCAAAATATGAATTAAAGTCTTGCTTGCAAGAAAACTGCTTATTTAAATGTATATTTTTCAGCTATTTCTAAAGGCTGCAGCTTAAATATAAGGTTCTGTGAATCCTGCAGACCCTTGGAAGCATTTGAGACGCGAAGATGCTAAAACTCTTCTCAAAAATTTAACATTATATATCATATTTTTACTTTAAAACATTCACTTTTCTTACAAATCAAATGCTCACCCCTTGAATAATACTTTGTTGTTGGTTTCTGATAGCCAACTCATTTTGTTTCTGTCTCTTGGAAGGAACTATGGCAAAATTTTCACCCTGTTTTCTTTTAGCTGAATTGGCTGCCATTTTGTCTTCGTCTGTCGAGCAAGGTGAAGAGGTCTGGGGGAGACAGATTCCTGGATTTTACAACCAATTTTCACCGGAATTCTCCGCAAATAAACTATGTTTGCTAGTATATTTCCTCTTAAAATTCAAATTTTGTCAATAGTAGGAGTCTCTTAAACTGATATTTGCACGCTCAAGTTGTTAAGATGCTTTATTTTTGGCGAATTTCCACTGTGAAGTCAGTCACGTGGAGACCAGTTTCTCAGGAGACCCGCACAACACCCGTACCAGCCCGAAATTAGGTGTCATTTTAGAAAAAAATGAGCGGGAAAATTGCAAGTCAAAATTTTGAAACTTTCACAAAGAATCAAGTTTAATATTGAGGTAATTTGCGCGTTATTTGTAAAATTATTGTTTTTTCTATAATGCTTCGATAGAAAAACGCAGTCTGACAGTTTTTCGAGGATTGTTAAGTCACATATATGTACGTAATTTTATTCATTGTGACATATGAAATATATTAAAATTCATGGATGGTTTTAATCTAGAATGCGCTACAATTTTTATCCCCTTACAACTTATCGGTGGCGAAGCCAGCCTGACGATGTAGTCCCGCTATGCAAATATTTTTATAATTATTCATTTCTTTAGAAATTGGCTGTTTTCACCAGCCACTGAACACCAAAATTTAATGTTTTGGTTTAAATTGTTTGGCTGCATGGTTATGCCCATTCAACTAATCACTTTACATTAGCCTGAAGCTTGACTGAAACATAGCTCACATATTATACTGATCAATTGTGTAATAAAATTAAAAAATAATCAGGGGCTAAGAAATTATCAGGAAAAAGTTTCTTATTTTGGTTACCTAAACTTTACAGGCAGGGGGCACACCACCACCAGGTGTGGTGGGGGAGGTACCCTGTCTTAATGAATCACAAGCCAATTACCTGGGTTAAAATATATTTGTGAGATGAAAATCAATTATGATTTTTGGCACTTGACTCGATGCAGGTAAATTCTTGAGGTTCAAAGGTTCTTAATTTCGAGTGGAATTATAAAGAATTCAAATTTGTGAAGTGTATTCACAATCAATCGAAAAAAAATGCAACTGGGAGTTTAGTGTGCATAGTCTTGCCAGCATTGACATTGTCCATAAATTTTGAGATGAGAAGTTTTGCCCCACCTAAAATTTCAATATCAACATAGTTTTTGTTGTTGGCAGTAATATTCAATTTGGGATGTAAATCAGGTGTAATATTCAATAGATGCTATAATGATTATGAAAAAACAACTAGTTTTCATGAAATAATTGTAGTAATTTTGTGATCTGCAGAATGCGGTGATATGGCATTTAGAGTACTAAATGTGGCTGAGAAAAATGATGCAGCCAAAGAGATTGCCCGAGTTATGTCCCGGGGTGCAAATAGCCGGAGAGAAGGAGTGTCACGCTTTAACAAGATTTATGAATACCATTATAATCTTTTTGGAAGACAATGTGAGATGACAATGACATCCTTATCAGGGCATATGATGGAAATAGAGTTTTTTCCAGGCTATCAAGCATGGCACAACTGTCAGCCATTGGCCTTATTTTCAGCTCCAGTTCAAAAGAGGGTGAATCCAGACATGGACAATATTAGGAAGACACTTGAAAAAGAGGTCCGCAAATGCCATGCTTTGATCGTCTGGACCGATTGTGATCGAGAGGGTGAGAACATTGGGTTCGAAGTGATTGAAGTTTGTCGAAAAATTAAACCGCGTATCGATATCTACCGAGCCAGATTTTCCGAGATCACAGCCACTTCCATCACGAGAGCATGCGCAAACTTAGCGAGACCAGATGAGAACACCTCTTTCGCCGTTGATGTTAGGCAGGAACTTGACTTGAGAATTGGAGCTGCGTTCACTCGATTTCAAACGCTACGATTGCAAAAGCTTTTTCCTGAAGTTCTCAGCAAGCAGTTGATCAGCTATGGTAGTTGTCAATTCCCAACACTTGGCTTTGTTGTGCAAAGATACAAAGATATCGTGGCATTTGTTGCTGAAACCTTTTTCAAGATTAAAGTGAAGCACAACACACCAGATGGAGAAGCTGAGTTCAATTGGAAGAGAGTTCGACTATTCGATAGGCTTGCATGTGCAGTCTTGCACGAAGAATGCGTTGAGAACCCAATGGCAACCGTTGTTAACCAGATCACCAAACCCAAGTCCAAGTGGCGCCCGTTACCCCTCGATACTGTTGAGTTGGAGAAACTGGCTTCTCGGAAGCTGAGGATTAATGCAAAGGAGACCATGAAAATTGCGGAGAAGTTGTATAATCAAGGGTTTATTAGCTATCCTCGAACGGAAACGAACATTTTTCCGTCTTCTTTGGATCTTAATAACCTCATCCAGCAACAAACGGTTGATCAGAATTGGGGACAATTTGCAGCTAATTTGCTGGAGGAAGGGGCGAATCCCCGTAGAGGTACCAAAACGGACAATGCCCATCCTCCTATCCATCCAACCAAGTACACTGGAACCTTAAACGGAAACGAGAAAAGATTATACGAGTTCATTGTTCGACACTTCCTAGCATGTTGCTCAAAAGATGCTCAAGGTGTTGAGACTGTTGTTGAGATTGATATCGCTGGGGAGAAATTTACAGCAAAAGGTTTAACCATCATTGCCAAGAACTACCTCAATGTTTATCCTTACGATAAATGGTGTGATAAAACATTACCCATTTACCAAACAGGAGACAGGTTCATGCCTACTTCAATCGATATGGTAGAAGGAGCGACTGAACCACCATCTCTGTTGACCGAGGCAGATCTGATTGCTCTAATGGAAAAGCATGGTATTGGTACGGATGCTACGCATGCCGAACACATTGAGAAGATCAAAGCAAGGAGATATGTTGGGGTCCAGCCTGATGGCAAATTTGTTCCTGGTGAGCTTGGCATGGGTCTGGTAGAAGGCTACGATGCAATGGGTTTCGAGATGTCAAAACCGCATCTTAGAGCAGAGCTGGAGTCAGATCTGAAGAGGATTTGTCTTGGTCAGAAGAATAAAGATGTTGTTTTAAGAGAACAGATTGAGAAATACAAAGAGGTGTTTGTGCAGACATGCGAACATGTAAACCAGTTAGACGAAGCATTAGCGGTGTACTTTGGGGATCCAGAAGAACTTTCTGAAGATCCTGTTGCATCCCAGGTTGTTCATGCTGAACCAGTCTTCGCCTGCCCTTCTTGTCAGACCCAAATGTGCCTAAAACAAACACAAGACAAAGGATTCATGATTGGATGTATGCGTTATCCCGATTGTACATCAAGAGCATTCTTCCCCAATTTTGTGCTCCATGCACAAGTAACAGAGCGTATTTGTCCTCGCTGCGAACCGAGACCAGTTTACATCATCAAGTTCCAATTCAAGCGAGGTTCAGTTCCACCAATGATGGAGCTAGAATACTGCGCATGTATACTATGCGATGAGAACCTTAGAGAAATACTAAGCTTTAGAATCAAACAACACACAGCATCATCTGGGAATCAACGGAATGCAACAAGAAATAATCGAGGTAGTCAGATGACGAGCAGACAACCTCAACAGCGTCAACCTCGTGGCCGGCAACGTCCAGCTCCTGGCCAGAAACGACCTCCTCCTGGCCAAAAACGACCTCCTTCTGGCCCGCAACGACCGCCCCGCGCTCCCCAACGATCATCATTTGACCCAGGCTCAAACAACCAGCAGCTCCCTATTCCAAAGCCTGATGTATGTGTTGTCTGCAGTTGTAATGAAAGGGCTGGCTTACGTACTGTGCGAAAGGAAGGCGTAAACAAGGGTCGGGAATTTTACACGTGCGAAAAAAGGGAGTGTAGTTTCTTCTTGTGGGCTGACGATGCTCCCGACCAAAACGAGAACGGGTTCAGCCAAGCAACTGATCGAATGCCAAACAGCAGAAAGAGACCTTTCCAAGCTGTTAATGAAACGCAAAATGAAATGCTATGCCAATGCAGGCAGCCAGCCGTCTTGAGAACAGTTCGAAAGGACGGACCAAATCAGAATCGCCAATTCTATTGCTGTTCAAAGCCTTCTGGACAACAATGCCGATTCTTCGAGTGGCTTGATGGTGACGGTGGTGGGCAATCTTTCCAACAACCTGCAAGAAACGTGCAAAATCAAAGAAGACAAACTTACCAACAACCTGGTGCGAGGAATGCCCAAAATCAAAGAGCAGCTCCAAAACGTCGATGTTGTGGTATCTGTCGCCAACCTGGACACAGAAGAAACAATTGCCCTAGGAAATAACTTCTCTAACCGTGACCATGTCAAAATTCCACAAAAATTGAGTTTGAAATTGAAATTTTTATGTTGTACGATTTATCATGTTATAAATCAATTTGAAGACGAACTTCAGTATATTCTACGGACATCTGAGCTTGTTATACTATTAATATTCTTTTGTTTTTAAAAATGTGTTTAGAGGACGCATTAAATGTGGTGTAACAACTGCCTAAAATAGACAAAGTACTAAATCCCGTGACAACGGCTCTTGGGTCGAAACATCGTGTTGGTCTATTTTAGGCAGTTGTTAAACCGCAATCAATGCGAGGTTGTTGATCTTTGCGTGGTTATATTGCAACGTGGTTAAAGAGCACCTAATTACTTAAACATTTTGGAAACCATATAAACGTTCAATACAGAATGAAGCCATTCTTGAAACACGGATGTAAATTAAACTGTTATTCAGTTATTCTTGATTTCACAAATAAGATTTGTTCCAATACTTTATCAGTTGCATCAACGGGCAATGTGAACTATATTTTATTTTTCAATTCCACCCAATCTAATTTCACTCCCGTGCAATCCTCGGGTTTATTGCTCATGTCATTGGCTGTAATGCTGTTAAGTTACAACTTTGTAACTATTGTTCAGTAATTGGAAAATACATCAATTAAGCGGAAATTTGGCAGCAAACGAATCAGTTTCACGACGGTTTTGTTCGAAAAATTTAGTCAAATTTGACAAAAAAAATGGAGTTGAAATTGTTGAGATGGAATTGCAGAAATTATTATACAGATGGATTTAGACAATTATTCCCTGTTAAAATACTTTGTACCAATAGTACACGTGTTTGGATCGAAGCCAACTGTATGTATTGTCCAAATGAAGGGCGTACTGCCCCTTTTCCACGGAGACCTGGAAACAAGGAATAGTTGTCATCTGCTGGTTGACTGGTATCCAAACACATTAGGGCTAGTAAATTGCACATTAATTGAAACCATCGTTTAAAAGGCTAAGCACACATTTATATCCAACGTAATTTGAGTTACAACAATCTTTCGATTTACCTTTCCATAGATGGGATTTATATGACTGTCGTAGCGCTTAGTTATTGCCCAAGGAGCGCTTTCATCAGCTCCGAGTAACTGAAAACTATGAAAATCAGACGACTATCAATTTTTCATATACGAGTTATAGAGATTAACAGATTATTTCAAATAACATTGGAAGAATCGAATCTACCCTCTAATTGGTTTTGGAAGAGCTATTAATATAGGTAGTCCAGAAGTATTAGTGTCCGGTTTCATATCAAGGTCTGTCGCGATACAAATACTTGTAGTTCTGGGCTACATATAGGCTCTTACCACTAATCTATGGATAATGTCAACATTCGTACAAAAGCACGTACCCTAGATCATGACTTTCCGAACAAAAGCCAAATATTAGTGTGCTGCTTGTTTCCACGTTTATGTGAACATCATAAGAGTGGCCGTGAGATATCAACACTCCTTGGACTGGGGCTGAAAAAAAATGATGGTATATGGGAAAAATGATCTGGGAAAGTGATAAAATTTCGAAAACAAGTCATATACTTAAAAAAACGTACCTTCTCTTCTATCGTGTTGCTCGTCTATCTTTTTCATAGCTTTCACTATACCCTTTAAGAAATTAAACGCGCTTGAAATGGCTGGTAAGCCCAGTGTTTAAATTGGAATCATACGAGCATCATGCGCACACTTTGCTTTTGGTGGGATTGTGCTGCGAAAAGTGTTTCCCAAATACGTACCTCGCAACAGGATCTTATTCTTGCTAAATTCAAAGCTTGTTGCCAAGCGAACATATTGATCGCCCACACAGGCAGCCATCCTTTAGGATCAGCTTGTATGACGTAAGTTACCTGAAATTAAAGTTATATTGTATACATACATAGATAGTGTGGTTTTATACTGAAATGATCCGACTCCATCCAGTGAACTGAAATAAAACCTGGTCAACGTCAACATGGCCAACGTCGACTTTTATAAGCCAAATTTTAAGGTAGTTTTTCTGAGTTTTTGAACGTTTGAGACAGAGGTAAAGGGTAATTATAGAGGGTAATTTTTGCTTCAATTTTTGGCTACAATCAACTATTACGCTGAACTATAGGAATTAGCGTTTCAGGTTTTATTCCAGCCCAATGACTATCACCCGAAAATATAGCATACAATCACTCGTGTGTGTATGAAGTAAATGTCGGCTCAGACGTCAACAGTAAAGAAAAGGTTTCCTTTGGTTCGGTTTGATCTTCATTAGCCCGGAGAACGAGATTCCTTTTGGTCCAGACTTGAGCGAGGTCAGAAGTTAAAATTTAAGTCCCTGGATGCGAGTATAAATAATGCTTTTGTATAAAAAAAATTCGAAAGGGTACAACTTACATCTAACACATCAGGGTCTTCACTACGTCTGAACACGTAACCAGAACTGATCATCTCGGATCGGATCAGACGTAGATGACTAAGTTCAGGACACTCTGGACGGAGTATTGACGAAGCCTGTGGAGGATAGAGAACGGATGATGTTAAATGTTTACACAACTTTAGAGCGAAGTCCCCTTCAGGCGTCCCCTCGACCGGGTTTGAGGAGCTTAGAGTCCTCTCCTTACACTCAACTGTGGGGTATTCACTGCCCAGTTCTCACTGTCCTCTCACACTGTGGAAGTGTTTGAAGTCCTCTCACATCCCACTGTGGAAGTGTTTGAAGACCTCTCACATCCCACTGTGGAAGTGTTTGAAGTCCTCTCACATCCCACTGTGGAAGTGTTTGAAGTCCTCACATCCCACTGTGGAAGTGTTTGAAGTCCTCTCACATCCCACTGTGGAAGTGTTTGAAGTCCTCTCACATCCCACTGTGGAAGTGTTTGAAGACCTCTCACATCCCACTGTGGAAGTGTTTGAAGTCCTCTCACATCCCACTGTGGAAGTGTTTGAAGTCCTCTCACATCCCACTGTGGAAGTGTTTGAAGTCCTCTCACATCCCACTGTGGAAGTGTTTGAAGTCCTCTCAGATCCCACTGTGGAAGTGTTTGAAGACCTCTCACATCCCACTGTGGAAGAATTCTGTGGAAGTGTTTAAAGTCTTCTAACACCACACTGACACTGTGGAAAATTTTTGATTCCTCGTGCAACCTACTGTAGAAGAGAAGAACGTCTGGCAAACTCACCACACCAAATCCAAACTCTCTACCACGTTCGTCTTGTCTGATATCTCCATACTCCAGCCAGCAAACATCTCGAGCGCTCACTGGACCAGGGGCGTCAAATATTGCCCATTTGATAGCGTAGAACGGCATATCAGGATGCTTGTAGTTCTTCGGAAATCGATGTAACATCAGACCGTCTGTAAAAAGGGCGTCTATAAAATATTGCAAACAAAACAAAAAGGTCAAAAAGACTTGTTTACGATGTCGACAGAGTTATTGTGGTTAAGTTTTTTGTTTGTAGACAAAATCCGAGAGTTATTATTAAAAAAGGCAGATTTGTTATTTTGAGTCGAAGCGAAAAATATTCAGGGAATCTAGGAACGCGATAATGCAGTTGGTTATGAAATGTAGCGTTAAAACTCTGCGCGCCTCGGATTAAATGAAATCAGAGATTAAATGAATTAAATCCCGCTCGAGCCTCAAGCAGACAACATCTTTTCTTCGTTTATCCTTTGCAGTGTATGAATAATAATAGAAAGTTTAAACTTCACGTGAAGATGAACAAAAGTTCCGCCGAGAAAGTTCGGCCTTGCCGTTTCCCAGCAATAGCTATAAAATGTAAGGACGTGAAACCCTGACTAACCAATCATGTGAAACAATCGTCGAAAAGAATCAGAAGACGGCGTTATCATCATAGCTTTCATCTCCTCTTTTGTTGCCTTAATCTTGGACTTTCCGCGAATCAAATGGATCTGAAATCACATGTACATACACTGCTTGGGATTCAGTATTCTCACGTTTATTACACTGCAGTTACATCAAAAAGGTTTTAAAAACTTTAACGGGGTAAGTTAACATACTTTGCTTCCAGGAACTTTCCCCTGATAAACGTCAACACCGTCTTTGTTACAAACAAAGTTAAAGCCCTGTTTAGACAAAATTAAGATGGTGAAATATGGACTCATGCATTTTCCTCGTTTTTAAGTGAATAAAATTGAACACTTACTTAAAATTTTTGGGGAATGAAAGATTAAAAATCAAATACTACGCGGGAAAAACCAGGAATGTCGCGAAAATCGCGCAGATCAAATTTGCTAGTAATTTAAAAACAAAAATATATCCGGGAAATTTTTCAAAATAATGCATTCCGGCAAACCTATTATTCTGCAATCCTGAAGCAATGTGCTCATAACAAAATCAAATACATTGTATGTAATTATTTTCTGGTAGTGATAGGGCTAATCACAACAATTACATTGAGATTTCAAGAATTATCAGAACTTGTTACCTCATTGGAATTTTCAGCATTTAAAAGGCTGTCGACCCAGGAATGAGCCAAATTCGCATACTCGTCTACTTCCTCTGGTGTCAATTCTGGATACTCTCCAAAAAAATCCTCAGCCACAGGATGCTATATGGTTAACATAATGTATCAAAATATGACCACCCCATTGCCATCAAGAGTGCATCAGTCCTTGTCCTGTGGGGGCAGAGCACTTGGGGCAGGTTCCAAATGTTTAGAGGTGATGTTATGACAGAGTGAATAGGGTCGCAAAACAACCTCAGCATCTGCGACAGAGGAAACAGTTCATCTTAAAGCAAATTGGTGCAAAAAATTCCTAGGCTTACACCATTTTTAAAGCCTTCCTGTTGTTCCAGTCGTGTGGCGCAGAGCAGATGGTGACAATGCGACAATCCAGATTTCAGTTTGTTCATTTTCCCATTAAGATATCAAAGGTAAGTTTTAAACTGTTTTAAAATTACCTTCATGCTGTGTTGTGAAATACACTTAGCTTCAGCACTTCGCTTTTTAAACTTTAACGTCAGTGGGTATGACTCTTCAGACTTAAATACGTGCTTTTTAACATCAGCAACACTGGTGAGACCTGAGCCATGAAATGCTTGGCCATTTATACCTTCGAGAACATATCTTTCTGGGAATAAACCATTTTGAGTTGTGTCAAATTATATGGATGAGTCGTTATTTATTGTTATTTAAACTTGTTATTTATTTATATCAGAAATATCTAGGTTCATAATTCAGTGGCAATTCTGTGACAATGTCACTTGATTAATGTTGTTAATGACAGGTTAGTGAATTCATGTTAATCATAAGTTAAATGGCAACCAGCTATAATTTGTTCCATCTAATACCAGACCATTTTATCAGCTGTGAAGTAGTATTGCCATGCATTTATGGGTTCAAAACAGCTCAACAGGGTACCTTTCAGAGTCGAGAATGCTTTACAAAAACGTAAACAACATGCACTGTCCAAATGTTCAAAACGGGCCATCATATATCATCTTGATCTAATGACCTCACAAGTTCTTTCAGATTTAGTCCAGTTCTTTCTAATTATATTGCCTCTTATCGTAGCCGTAGTTTTAATATAGTAATGTAGATCATAGCCTATTTGAATTCAACGACAGGGCAGGAAATTCAACTACAAATACTAGTTCATATACTAGTTCAATCTAATACACTATAAAAGATCAAAAAATCAAGATCGCTATAGTCAATTTGTAGCATGAACATGCTGTCCTTTTACTTAAAACTTAACACTTGTACTAATATCAAGCTAAAAACTCATATGCAGTGAACTACTGAGCCGAACCTTAACCTTGCCCAAAATAATTTAATAAATATGTAACAATATTTGACCTTCAGCATTTAATAATTTACTCACCCGGTATCTCATGTTTTCCCCCTTTAGCGACGTATATTTCTTCCCCGCTTTGCTTCAGTTCGATATCAACTTCGTCCGGTTTATTAAATAAGGCATCAAGGCCTTCGTGCTGCATTGCTAAATAAAATATTTACAAAGTACGTAAAAGCAATTATTCGAGTGTTTTTTACACACCTCACTTCTTCATCGTTTTCCACGTTGATCTCCACGATTCTAATTATTTTAATAATTAACAGGCCCATTGACGAGTTTGTTTAAATAGGTTTTCTTCAACTCTGCAAACGTGAGCCTTCGTAGCTCAGGGGTTAGAGCACTGGTCTAGTAAACCAGGGGTCGAGAGTTCAAATCTCTCCGAAGGCTGTAATTTTAAAATATTTTTACCTTCCCTTTCTCGCTAAATTTTATCGAAATGTGAGTCAGGCGACTTATTCGAATGGAATATCTTAATTTTTGGAAGCTCTAAATTTAGTATTTAAATAAAACAATGTTTAGAACTTCTCCTTTTTGGTAGCTTTTATAATTTGTTTTGTCGACTCCTCCAGCAAATTGTAGGGCGCGCATCCCGCGTACAGGTTGGCTGATAAGATGTATATTAGCAAATAGCAAATACTAAACACTCATTAAACGCTGGATAAATGTACATTAAAGATTGAAATGAGCGCAAATTCAAGCTCTTCTTGGGAGAAATTTGTTCACGGTAGTTATACGTTTACTTCTAGATAGTTATATGGCAGTTATATATCGGTGTATTTTATTTTTCTGTGGTCTATATAGAAGAAGACCTGGATGTTGAACCATAGGTCGCCCTGGCATCCCTCATAACTATTAGATAATTAAGATTAGAGTGTGCCTTGATTTTAAAACATTAGAAGATGAACTTCACCTAATTATATGTTAATAACATTGTCAGTGCCATAAAGGTATAAATTCTTTAATGCAATGCAATTGCTGACCAATTCACTAATATAGATCAAAACTATTGGTCCTTGCAAAAAAATATAGGGAACCTTTACCTCTTAGTAAAAGGAGAGGCTTCCCCCGCCCCTCAGTCCAAGAACCTAGAGCTGCTAAACTTTGCACAAAGATTTTTGCCCAAAATTTCTATTTCATTTCCTTCAGATAATCTTCTGTATGCGAATATTCTTGATGGCATTTTGTTACTAACTTCATTTGGAGAGCAGGTCTATTCCTGGGGACCAAAAATACATGATGTATGCTCCAATATTCAAAATACCTTCCTGCTGAAAATTTATTTGTTTGAATATGGATATGTCTGAATGCCTGGAGATTTATTTTGTGTAGTTAGCCAATCCTTAAATGTAGCCAGGGCATGTCATTAGAAATCAACAGTTAAGGTTTTCCTAATTTATTTAAGGATGAGTGTGTGCAGTTTAAAGGCATTTTTAATTCAGTAACTGAGAAACAAGGTAAGCTTCAGTGTTTGTCAATTAAATTATGGCTGCTCTGTTCAAAGCAAAGACAATATCCCACATGTACATGATGCATCCTTTGGTAACTCTATCTTGTAGTCAATGCACTATTTATATCTTATGTAGACCTAGCCATTTGTCAAGAAGGATTTACTCTTAAAAAAGATGAGAATACAAAAGTGCATTACAGCGTTTATAAAAAGTCATTGTGTAGGTATGTTTAATAAAAACATTTTGTTTTTTGGTGGGCCACGTTTTTTTAATAAGGTGGGCCAAAGACTTATCAATAAGCATTTACATTTCAATAAGTTATATTCGAATTTATTATTTATAGCATGTACTGCATGAGTGAGAACCGTCAGAATGGTTTGATAGTGTGTAACCTTCCCTACGGCATTTTGGTTACCACGTACAGCCAGCCAGCGAGAGCACAAGACGCCATCGAATTGGTAGAGAATGCTTGCACGTTGCTACGAAGCTGATATATTAGAAGACTAGATATTGGACATTTATGCATGAATGGTCGATGGTTATTAGAGAAATGTAACGGAAAGTTAAACTATGACTATGCAATGTGTAAATACTCCTGCAAGGGTTGTGGGATATTGTGTTTCAACCAGCAAAGTCCTAATAAGGTGTCTCAAATGCAAGTCTTAATAGTCCTATTAACTTCAGAAGTATAAAAGAATTAATATTTTTGCATCTGGGGTTATACCCCCCCCCCCCATGTAATAGAGATTGCGGGAAGGGCGTGGTCTTAAACGTTTAGAAGGGGAACGATGCCTCAATAATAAGTGACACTCGTTATCAAAGAAATGGGTAGATATGGTCATCAGGCGGATGTTTCTAGTCCATCATACCTCCACTGTAGCTCTACTAACTTTAAATATCAGAGTCAATATTGGCTTTTGTGGATTCTGTCTCATTACCTAAATTAGAGCCTTTCTTTCTTTAAAAAAACGCAGTATGCCAACTGGATTAATGCGATACATCATTCATTGAACATGGATGCAAGGTTACTTGTAAAGTTGTAATGATTTTATGAAGAACAGTACGAGTTGAAATTTTATACAACCCTTTGTAATGATTGATTGCGAGTTTGTGAATAATTATAATGTGAAAATAAAGACATCATTGTGTTCCACCGCACGTCATTATGCCACTAGAAGCTTGATGGAAAAGGTTTTCCGACACGAATAACACCTTAAGATCTACGGCGTCAACTTCGACGACGAGAGAAGTTTTAGAAAGTTTATTCCTATGACCGACCCCTTCCACCTTTCCGATTTGACTAATTTTGGTACGCCCTTTCCGGCTGTACTGATAAACTTCTTTTTAGTTTTAAATTTATCCGAATAGGGATGATCGTCAACGTCTATCAAAGGAAGAAAATCGCAGCAAAAATCGCAATTGTAAACAGGCCAAACTTTAAACCGTGCAACAAATTCTTGCAAACTTTACAGCGTCCATTTTTCTAGTTCAGTACAAAATTCAGTGAAAGAATTTGCAATCGTACCCGTTTTATTAAGTTTCTCTTTCAAGCAGAGTCGTGATGCATTTCGTTCTTCGTGTCTGAATAATATTTCGTCAAAGATTTGAATCATTCTGTCAAAGAGACAATGAAACATTTCATTCATCAATGACCACCAACAATATGCGTGCATCGCTAATGCGTAACAAGTCATAAAGTTCGGACAATGCAGAAAATCACAGCGATTTCTTCCAAAGTCCAAACGCACGAACACACACATTCGCATAAAAGTGCTTAAATTCCATCAAAAACAGGCAGGACATGACGCTTTTTCACAATTTTACGCGACTTGTTACTAGAATTCGTTCTTTGCGTCATTTTTTCCCGTATGTTAAATGCCCTGACGTCATCTGGCTGACGAATCTGTACACGCACATTGCACATGGGAGTCTCATCCACTGACCTGTATCTAATATAGGTCAGTGGTCTCATCTACATAACAGTAGAAAACCACCATATGTTGAGTCAGCGACAATCAAATTTTTGTCATCGTTCTTTTTACACGGTTTTTAAAATGTTGAATTGTCATACCAGAGGCCAGTTGTTCAATGCTAGGTTAGCGTTAACCATGCATGGTTATAATTATTTAAATTAATGATTTAGAAAGTTATTATAAAAGTGTTTCAGTTTATGTGTTTCTGAACCACTGTTCGTTTCAAAACGTTTAGAAAATATTACTTTTAGACATTGAAGACGTAATGCTTTGGCCAACATGAGGGTTTCTATGAACAGAGGAAAATTCTGGCCCATTCGTTCACGCGTTTCCTTCGTACGCAAGTACAAACACCCTTGCTTTTCAAATGCAAATTTTGCTCATTATAGATAAGCCTTCACGGCAACCACGGGCATGTCACAACATACACGAGCCAGCATGCAATATAAATATTGAGGGTCTTTAACTCTGATACGACTCTTTAATCCACCTTCTTCTCACGATGAAAAGCATTGCACGGAGTTGAGAAGATTTGCGTGAAGGGTAGTCGACATTCGATGGTTTTTGCTTTGAAGTCATTCAGAAACATACGAAAGACCACAAAGGCTATATAATAAACCTACATTGCCGGTAACATTTTTTCTTTGTGTTCTGCGTCTATTTACATATGCCCATGAAAATGGCGAGCAGTGATTTCCCAGTCTCGTACGAACGAATGACTCGTGGAATTAAGAGGCTTTTGGACAAGAGCGAGCCGTTGACGTTATCACAGGGAAAGAAAGACGATCGTGTTGTGAACATCGAAGTGAGACGTTGTAATGGTAGGAAGTACGTTCGCGTGTTCCGTACGCCGAACAAAAGTCAATCAGACGGCGTGGACGAGCAATCTAGCGAGGCAAACCTGAAGCCCTCGACGGATGCAAGCGACCCTATTGTGGAAAAGACGCCGCAAAATTTTGCAGAGGAAACGAACGAAGTCTCCGCTCTGCTGTCTAAAATTCTGCATCAGATAAAGAATAAGCTCGTCTCGTCCACACCGAATGAGGCCATAGGCATAGCATTGCCCAGCACTGAAGATAAAGACCTTGGCATTGCGCTGTAAAAAGGGGATTACTGCTCGACCCTTAAGAGTCAGATTTGAGTGAAAACATTCTCAATGATTTTACCAAAGACGAGAAGTAAATCTTTACTCGCAAAGAAACGAAATCAAATCTTCGCCGCGACTGAGTAGAAACAGCCAACGCACAGCCGGATAAGATGAAAAAAACGAATGAAAATTATCCAAAGTTACAGTAGTTTGCTCATGGAAATCCCAACGGAAGAAGAGTTATAAGACGAATATATATCTTTTTTATGATAGACCTAATAGATATCAGTTCAGCAAGGAAATTCATTAAAATGGTTTCCAATGTTCTCACAATTACGACACAGACATGTCAGTATATGTCTTGACTAGTCTTAACTCTTTGCAGGAGCTATTGAATATTTTCTCGTGTTGTTTTGTCAAATAGACACATGCTGAATCAGTCGATTTAATGTCGATTAAAATTGTGTTAAGTATGAAAATACTACGTTATACATCCAACTGGAAAAGAAATAAAGCTGAAAGTGATCTTCATTTTTGTTTTGATACTTCTTATATAGGCATGCCAGCACTTGTGTGTTTTCATTTTCTGAAGAATTTCTATTATTGTTTACACACAAAGAGTTGCCGCGGTTCATATACAAAACTTCAGCCGCTGCGCGGGGATATCCGCTTGATATCCAATGATATTCTTTATTCGAAATTTATTCCTGTGGAAAGGAACTCGACTAAAACCTGCCGTTTATAGAACTGTGTCGAACCACAGTTATGAAGCTACCCGGTTATATATGCATGCATCCAACAGAAATTCACTTTCTACGCAGCAGAACGCACTTAGACCACTCGCCACTTCATGAAACAGCATTACGATTTTTGCAAAGCAGCACATTTTATATTTCGGGCATCACAGGGGGGCACCCGGAAATTCCAATCGTGATGGGGCGCATTAATTGCGCTAAATTTTCAAAAGCATTCCCATTTTATTTCGGTGAATTAATCCTTTTTCAACATTGCAAGGCTTGGACCAAGTGTGGATTGGGGACACCGCTAATTTGATAATATTTGTCTTTTTCAAATGATTTGATCGTATTGGGTCAATGATTTTCGTACAACTGATAGTCTGTTATACCCGGCCAGATTTTCATGTCAAATCCTTGTTACAATTTGGCAGTGACGTATCATGAAGAATTTGTAACTACTAATAATTATGGAAGATTGCATGGTATTAATAATTTAGCCTTTAAGTCACTTTTAATGTTTCCAGAAAATTCTTCAACCCCAAATTCCAACTGTTATCAAACTTTGACAACGAAAACATGGGCCATAGAACATGGTACAATCAGTTTTAAAGTTTTCAGACAGGTGGGCAAACAACACCATTCTGCCCCCCCGGATCTGTTGCGAAGATCTAACACATGTTTAGATGTTGCTCATTTAATCCATGACATTAAATTGGGGGGAAGAGGGGACGGGGGGCGGATACTTGAACATTTGATCATTCGCGTGGACGTTTTGGCTCGGGACCAGCCTAGTCCCAGGCCTCGTAAGCGCGCGCTGTTAATTATACGTACAGGCTAGGGGGGCCCACACGGTAACGTCACAAGAATGCAAGGCGCGGCTAAAGAGGACTAGGGACTAGTCTGGCTCGGGACGTGTGTTCTCGTAGAATAAAATTTTGCTTTGGTCCTATTTTTACCAGCCAATCACAGCTCGGAGCACGTCCTTCATAAAGGCCTCAGCCATAAAGACCCGTAGAATCTGTGCTTATCATAGCCTTTGAAATGCTTTCCAAAATATAATTGCAGACAGCCTCCCTTATTCATCGGCGTTTACTAACTAGTCTATACTAAGTTTATATCCATTAATCCATTTGGCATTTCACATTTTCACTGAGTATTTGCCCGATATATGGCAGATTGAAAATATCGCAAAGCCAAAGGCTCAGAAATCAGTTTAAATCAGTTTAAAACTTAGCTCCGAGTGTCAGTGCTAATAAAACTTATAGCTGACAATGCACTCGGAGGAAAGATAAAATTATAGAAGAGATATTCGAGGAGATATTGATACAAGTCGTTCAAAGTTCCTCGCCTGATTAAACCGTGCAAATCGAGAACAGTGAATTCCCCAACAGTAAAATCAAAATTACATGCACACTACATTTACCTTTGATGAGCTTTAGTAATTCCAACATAAATTAGGCTTTTAAACCAACTTCGTCGCTGAATTCCTGCTGAGCTTGACGACAAACTTTCTTCGAACGGACTTTGTTTGATCACTCAAGCAGTAAACACAATATGAGGCAGTATCAAAATGATAAAAAATAGCTTTCTGTCATTTTGACATCACGCTGCTTTCCATTCCACGGTGTGTTAACACTGTTAAGGTGTATTTACACGACCCAATTTTGTTGGATTCAATTCTCTTCGGCAAAGCAACTAAAAACCCACGCAGTACTGTTGTTGATAATGGGTCCGAGAAAATGTGGTGTAAACAGCCTGTAAGGCAGTTGTTTCCGACGTTTATTTCTTTTATTTGAAGAATAAATTTGACCCCAGTGTGTGGTTAGTGTCTAAGGCAGAGTTTTGATTATATTCTAAGAAAAAGAGGTTGCGATAATCGGTTAAATCGGGTTTTTTTTGTGATGCTTGTGATGGTTATTTAACCCTTTTCAGAATTAGAGCTATTAAATTACTGTCAATTGCGCCGCTCGAATAGACTATTATTACATGATTGATCACATACAATTCAAAACAGGAGAAAAAATTCGCATTTCGCTGAAACATTTCGCCCATGAAATCAGACCTTGAAATAAGTTTCCCAAGATTCAATAAGAATAAAAATCGGAAACCGACAAAGAAAATTAGAACAAAAATTAGAAATTCCAACTGCGGGAGGACTTTTTGTATTCCGAAGGTATGAAAGCGCAAGTGACTGAACGAACCTGGACTATCGCAGGATAAATCAGATTCTTATATAATATAATTTTTTTACCAATTTTATGTACGAATAAATAAAAAGCAAACTCCGTAGTTTTGTTACATATTTTGGAAGCCATTTTTCTAGTTGGCGCCAGTTTGTCTAGTCGTCGGCATTTGTTTGGATTTTAGTCTTTAGAATGTTTTGCCGATTGAACATATCAAAGCCCAGTTAAAAACAACCTAATTCATGCGATGTTTTTAAATCTGAAATACTATAGTCTTTTTTGATATTTAAATGTAAATCGCTATTTCATTTCGTTGATTTCTGTAACCGTTTTGCTCATAACTTGTCATATATGATAAAGTATACGTAAAATATAACTACTAAAATATAACTACTAAAATAATACGACGTTTTGATCTAAAGCCAATTGCCTTCACGGCCTCACCAGCCATGCAAGTTATACTAACTCTGTAAGGTGCTTGCTGCTTATTATCCTTAAGTAATGAGCTCATTCAAAAAACCCAAGAAAATTAAACATGCCTTTCTATTCCCATTTTAAGTTTTTAACACGTTTTAACAAATACACATACAAACGCATTTTGTTTGACTAACATTATTGCATCTGTTTAAACCCCGCAAAAAAGAATAAAGCCGCTAAAACTTGAATAAGTCACACTAAAAAGCAGAAAACAAAAGTACTAATCATATATTTAACTATTTAAAACTTGTTTAAATATAACTTTGTTGCAATTATGTCAAAAGTCAAACTACAAATTTTTCTCTTCCATGGGATTTAACACCAATTTTTGTCTAAGAATAAGAAGTTTATTTCCAATTCCATCGTTCTCTTTCCTTTCTTTCTTCAATGACACTGTCGAGAATTGGCGACAGATATTCTACATCCTAAAAAAACACCAACTGTAGTTCAACTCTGCACAAAAGGTAAGCTCAATACTGTGCAAAACCTGACTCTAGATCCCCTAAACCCAACAGGGTCTTCACATTTGAGGGTATACCTTCCCCAAACCAATGTAAAATGAATCTTCAGGAAATAAAAACAGAATATGTTTCATGAACTTGTTTGGTTGGATAGCATTCTTAAATAGGGAATGATAAGGTTACAGCAATTTTTAAGGATTGTTCTGCACTCAAAAATGAGAGGCTTTAAGATTTAAATTTTAATCAAATTTCCAAAATTGCATTTCTCTCTAGACAATTTTTTTGTCCTAGTCAAATATTACGATATACCGCAACAGCCTACTAGACATGACATAGCTAGTTTATATTTGGATGAATACTAAACCAATATTGTGTAAGATACAGTATTCAGTATGTTGAAAAATTGCAGTTCAAAAATGTAAACAAAGCCTCTCTTTTCTTTTCTTCACTGACCGTAAATCACCTCGTCCACAGTTGGACTGATACTTTTATGTGAATGTCTAGCTTTTACACTGGAGTTACCTAAAGTAGACTATAGTATTTTCTAACTAATTTAAATAAAGGCAGTCATGTGCAGAGATTGGTAGTGTTGGGCATCACATAATATACCTCCTCTGGCTTGGTCCATTCCTCTTTAGGAAGCAGCTGATGCTTCATAGAGAGGTCTAGGGCCCTCTTTATGCGGAACAGTCTTAAGTTCTGTTCCTCCTCAGGCAAACGTCGGACAGCTTCAGTCAATTCTGGTGTGTCTTCTTCGTTCATGAGATCATCTTTACGCAAACCTGGTGGATAAAAAATTCTTCATTGAATGACATATTGTTATGAATAGCATTGGAATTATGACTATTATTATGATATTGGTCAACTATACGAATATATCTATAGTTTATACGTTTATATGTCATGTATGTCATGAAGAAATTGCAGATATATTTTCCATAAAATAATTCTATTTAAATTACATGAAAGATGTTTGAAAACAGTTCTCAAAAGACTTCGTGAACATAAAGTGTTCTTACATATCTTGTTTATGCATGTGATTATATCCGATTGAAGCTAAATTTTTCGCTATTTAACATAGACAATTTACGATTTTTCAACTCTGACAAAATGGTCACAAATTACTGGTTAAACTTGCTTAGAAAACGGGTATTTTCTTAGGTATTTAACACAAATTTAACACAAATATATTTTCTAAACGCTCACCTAGTTGTCTATAGCCACAAGCATTCACATACCACTCGCGAAATGCGTTAAACATGCGTTGTCCCGAACTCAACTGCGAAGCAAATCTCCGGCTAATGTACGCCATCTTGAAAACGAGAACAAGAACTTCGGGGATACGGAGGGATATTTAAGGAAATTATAGTCAAATAATAGGATAAGACAGGAAGCCACAGGATCGATGTGATTATTTATAACACTGGTTTTCCAATTTCCAAAGACATTCAAAATGAATAAGAGATTAGCAAGAAATAAGTAAATTGAATCTATTTGTTATCTTGAAAACCTGAAGTAAAGTTAGAGTAGAGTGTAGATTGATTTTTTCGATTGGCGATTGATGATGATGATATTTTATGACGTCATGTGGCCTGGGCTAAAAACAAAGTGTGGACATAGCCATGCTAATGACGTCATACTAATGAAGACATTACCCAACGAGACAAAAATTGACAATTCACTAACAAATGCTCAACAATAAGATTCTTATACGCAGATAATAAGAGTATAAATTTAGGAAACGCTAATTAAACATCATATTTGAACACAGATCCGCTCTGTTCTCTGTCAATTTCGGATTCCTACTGGGAAACCCGATACAGAAGACAAACACGAGACTAGAGAAGAAAAAAGATGGACAACTCAGGTCAAGTCATAAGCTAAAGTCCAGGGGTGGCGCCGAGATTTCCCCGACACAGGGGCTAAGGTCCCCGACACAGGGGCTGGAAGCTGAACTATCGAAAATCAAATTATATCTGTTGTACCCCCTCTCCACCTCTCTGGCGCCACTCCTGCTAAACAATCCATATCTTGACATCTTCTTGTGACCGGGAATTCGTGCACGATTGAAGATCGCGGTGCAAAGTCTGACCAAAAGATATGGGACAGCAGATAATACATTTGGTCAGCCAGGTCAGGTCTCTTAGCGTTATCGCATGATGTAAATTGTGGTTACTTGTCCTAACCAATAAAGAGACGCTTGACGTGAGTTGATAAAAGTGAACTGATTGTAATCAGAAGAGATGCAAGCCACTTCTCCAGCCATATCAGTACTTCGAGACAATTGTTGGTCACCTTATCATCGGGAATACACGAGAATTTGTGTGCGTGATGTTTACCTGATGAGTGCTAGCATGAGTGCCGGCATTACAAGAAACATGTGGCGTAATCAGTTTATCTTTGCTGTATTTCCAGCTACATCGACTTAAAGTAATGCAATATAATTCATAATACAATACGTTCATCTCAATATAATCAGTTCCATATGGGCTAAGACTAAGATCCCGGCATTTCTCGTGAGCTCAATTCCATTTTACAAAAACGTCTATATATTAAAATATAGCAGGTGTATTATGCAGATGAACAAGGCTACATTAACACGTTACTTTGAGCCAAAATCAACCTCTGGGGGATTGCAAGGACTGGTTTAAACTATTTTTGAAAACTGATTTCAGGAGGGACGTATTAGTGAATGCTGTTTGTGGCCATTAAGTTTCCCAGTTTTCGGAAAAAGCTCGGCTCTGAGCTAGCCTGGGCAGTTGGCACACTAAACTCCCCAAAGGATAAAAGCTTATAAGCTTAAAAAGCTAAAACACTTTTTGGCAGGATCTGTAATACAAAACAAGTGTGGACAATCCGGGCTCTGCACTGAAAATTCTATTTCGGAGATTCCCACATATCTCACTTGGGATCATGCCCCCTCGTCCTTCAAAATTTAACCGCCAAACGGTCCTTCCCTAATTGAGGCTTAAATTTGAGCATGAAGAATATGAGAATATGAAATTTAGACACTTTTTTCAGTCTTAATTTCACTCTACCCAAGTCATATTTAAGCTTGCGACATATCAATTGCTGCACGTGGCAAATGGCTTTACAGATGCCAAAGGCTTTTATAACAGAAGAATCCAATTAACGAATGCTTTGCGAATAATATTTCTATTATATATAGGTTTAAAGGATGCACCAATCAACAAAAGTATCAAGTTGTAAATATAAGCTTAAATACAGTATTGTCAAGTAATCTTCAATTAGTGAAATGAATTTATCTTTAATCAATCCCTTATTAGCTTGTCTTTGACCCCATCATCTGCAGATATGTGTAACATTTGGTTGGTAAGAATGCCATTGATGATAATTTTGCTCCTTCGACAATCAAATAACTGAAGAGC